TACAGAGCCAAGAAGAAGATGATGACGATGATGGCGATGATGACGATGATGACGATGATGACGATGATGACGACCTGGGATGCATCAGCTTCGCGTTCTCACCGGACAGCCGCTCTCTCTTTGGGTTCTGTAGTGGCGGCCTTCTTCTTGTGTGGAAGCGCGCACTGGACCCTCCTTCATTGTCTACATCCTCATCTCTGAGCAGTGACAGCTGGCAGCCACGGGCCACCAAACTCGCTGGCGGCTTCAAGATCCCACGTCAGGACGGTCTCTGGACCTACGTGCCCCGCCGGCTGTCCATCTCGGAGGATACAGAAGGACGCTATCTGCTGCACACCGAGATTGGTGTTTGGGAGCTCCCGTCACTGCCCGTCGACGACAAAGTCGGGCTGCGACCCTCGGTGCGCCACCCTTGCAGTGTCGTCAGGACCGGTTGGCACATGGCCATCCTCTGGCAGAACCGGATGCTTACCAAGTTGCCGAGGATATACTCGCCGTCTCCTCCCGGCTTCTTGCAAAGCTTCGCATGCGATGTTCACACTGTCGACGGATCCACGAGCAGTCTCCTCATCGGCACCATGACGGGTCATCTTTTCTGCTTTCGGTTCCGGGGCAAGGAAAAAATCACCAAGGCGTCTAAAGAGATAGACTCAGCATGATCCGAGGCAAACAAGTCATACTAAGCATGAGTACTATAATACAATAAGAAACTGGAGTTGACCTACTTGATATAACCAGGCCAACTATATATATATCTAGTCTGTATGATGTACTAGCTCTTGAGCCGCTCTTAAGCCAACCATGACTCATTTTCTTCGTCATGAAGATGTCAATATAAGCTAAATTACTTGGGTTTTAGTGGTTTCAACAATCGCAACCTAGCTCTAACTATGTACGCCCCTTCACACACTACTGTAACCCAGAGTCAGTTGATAGGGACACAGATTGCTACTCGGGCTTGATTCTGGCCTAAAATGTTTATTTGATGGTGTCAAGGTACTTTCAGCCGTTTCTTGTTATAAAAGCAGACTGAGCAAAGTGCTCGCATGCCGGGACGCACGTATACTTGATGAAGGATGGACTGGGAGCAAGCGAACAGCAGCTTCATCAGAATGGCAAATTAACAGCAAAAAATACGAAAATTGAGATGAAATTGCGACATTCATTGACCTAATCCAATCTTGGTTTACAAATCTGTTTCACGGAATTTTGTCTCTTGACAGCTACTCGCGTTTGTTGACAAAGTCATTCTGCATCTCCTCCGCCAGCTGATCATCGCAGAGGATATTGACTGCGAGCAGTGCCATTCCCAGGCCGCAGTCAATCGCAGCCTTGTGCGCGTCCTTCTCAGCAGCTGCAGCCGCAAACTTTTTACTGTGAAGCGCTGCGTCGGGAGCTGTAGGAATCACGAATGCGCCGTGCATGCTTGGGATTTCGTGGCTCACGTTGCCCATGTCGGTAGAGGCCACGAGCGGCCTTTCTTGCTCTGCGAGCACCTTGTGACCGACAATTGCCATCATTTTCGAATACGTTTTGCAAATTGTGCGGTTTCCGACGACATTCTTATAATCGTCGGCCCTGGTTGGAAGAATTGAACATTAGTTTCTGGTGTCACAATGAAAATATGCCACTAGAGTTCGCACCTGATGTATTTGAACGTGCAACCAGCCGCGCTGGCGCCAGCCTCGATACATGCCTCAACACGCTTGTGCAGTTCCTGCCCCTGCTCGATTGTCGGACTGCGTATGTACCAGTTCATACGCGAGTAGTCTGGGATGACGTTGGGAACGGTGCCTCCGTCTTCAATCACGGCATGCACCCGCTGCTCGGTGCGGATTTGCTGGCGCAGCAGACTGACGTTGTTGTACGCCGCGACGGCAGCGTCCAGGGCGTTGACCCCGTTCCACGGCTCACCAGCTGCATGAGCAGACTTGCCGCGAAACTCGACTCGAAACTTGATGCTGGCGACGAGGTTCAAAGCGGCGGAGCCAGAAACCTCTGGATTGTCGGAAACTCCATGAGCGGGGACGGGATGCGACATGATGGATGCTGAAGCATGGCTAAAAGCACCAGCTCGTATAAGCGCAATCTTTCCCCCGCCGCCTTCTTCTGCCGGTGTGCCCAGAATGCGAACTCGGCCAGGCAGTTTCAATGCAGATAAAATTCTCGATGCCGCGAGGAATGCCGCCATGGAGGAAGTGGCGATGAGATTGTGGCCACAGGCATGGCCAATCTCAGGCAAAGCATCGTACTCGGCGCAAATGACAACCTCGCGGCCGCCATTACTGCCGTGACTGGCTTCGAAGCTAGTTTCTAAGCCATATGCCTTGCGAGTGACAGAGAAGCCTTGGGCTTGAAGGAAATCACATAGGTTGTCGTGCGCCTTGTATTCATGATAGGCTAATTCGGGAGTCGCGTGAAGCGACTGATTGACCTCGTACAGGGCTGCATCCGCCTGCTTGAGATGGGCCTGGGCAATGGCAAGGGCCTCACTGTAGTTGATTGTCGACGTTTTCATTTTTTTCTGCCAAACTTGTTCAAATGAAATAGCTAAATGCTTGATCAATGTTGATTGTTCTTTGTGGCGTAATTTATATAGTTAAAAGGCAAGGGTCTAGATCATGCGGGTAATTCATCAACTTGGAACTGTTGCGTCGAAAGCTGAACGGATAATAATGGCAGATGACGGCGCCACACCACTGTAGTGGGATTCTGCAGAAGTTGCGCTGCGGCTGAGTTGCCGAGTTTGAAAACGGGCCCAAGATAAATATTTGATGCCTTGCGGACCCAACTTTCATCCAGATATTCACTTTTCACCTTCCTTGTAAATACAGTTCCTTGCCGGATTTGGCGACTTTGCCGACGACCCTCTGAGCTAGTTGCTGCCTTTTTTTTTTTACCCGACGCTACATGTCAAATTTCCACAATGCCCTCATCAGGCTCCGGTCAGCGCATATTCAGCCGATCACGGACGGGATGTCGAACATGCCGGCTTAAAAAAGTCAAGTGCGATGAGGCGCGGCCTCAGTGTCAACGATGTCGTCGGCTCCGTCGTTTCTGCGATTACAGCAACCAAACCGAACTTGTCGCCCAAGAATCAATGCAGGCGAACCACCGAGGGGGTGAACTGATTCTGCAACTGCCCGCTTTTAGCAGCAGTGCCTGTTCCGTCAGCCTCACAACTGTGGACCATGAAGCGATTCGGTACTTTCGCACCACGTTTGCGCGGCGCAACCACACCAAGAATCCAGACTATTCAGTCTACTCCGTCATCTTCACCATTGCCCAATCCGAGCCCCTTGTCATGCACACGGTGCTGGCGCTCGCTTGTCGGGCCATTCAGCCACGCGACGAAGCAACGACCATCATCTCGCGTAGGCAAAACTGGAATCATTTGTTCCACTACTCGTCAGCGTTGGGCCGACTAAAAGAGGAGCTGGAGAAGAGCCCGGACAGCAACGAGTCTTTTCATTTCGATGCCTGCTTTACGGCGCTATACGTCATGCTGGTGTATGAGCAGCATTTTGGCGACGACGACGGCTTTGCGGGGCTCGCCCACCATCTCCAAGGTGCCGCCATGGTTCTTCGACATTGTGGGCATCACATTAGAAGAGACTTGGATGCAGAGACGCTGGCGACGCCGCCGCTGGCTATATGCCAGCGTGGTGGCTCCTCGGAAAGGAGGCTTTCTTTGTATTCGGCGCGCATTCTGATTTGGATGTCGCTGTGTGATGCAACGGCAGCGACGTACGGCATTGGTGGGTCGTTTAATGCTGCGTTGAACGAGATTTTGGGGTCCGACGACCCGGAAGGAATCGAGCGCCTGCACACGTTTTCCAACTCTCTCTTCCGCGTCGTGTGGGGTGAAGCGTACCCGCAGGCCGAGCTCACGGACGACATTGAAAATCGGAGCGTCTTCGAGCTCACTGTGTGCTGCTCCCGGGCCAGGTATTCTCTCGCAACCCTCGCCCGTGCTGTAAACGCCGGAGACGTGGAAGCGTCGCAGGCACGCACTCGCGCTACAAAGTCCTTGATCCAGTACCTTGCCGCACGGTATCGCGAGCTCCTGGAAGTTGCCAGCGGGCTTTTGCCTTGCACGGACCACTCGCATAGACTGGTGGCCAACTTGCGCGGCATCGTGCCCCATTACCACGCTGCCGTCATTGTCTTTTCGCGGCTGGCAGACAAGGTGCCAGATTATCCTCCCGTCTTTGTCGATATTAAACCGCACGTGGATGCCATCATGAGTCTCGCGCGGCAGGCTTACAGGCATCAAGGCAGCGACGCCATGGTTCGCATCGCTTGGCCCTTGCTCGTAGTCTCTCTGGAAACAACACACCAACCAACCCTAAATTGGATCATTGCTCGCTTTCAATCCATGGCGACCCTGGGCAAAAACATGGAGCGTGCTACGGATTTCCTCCGACATTCAGTGGGGCCCTCGAAAGCTACAGGTGGTGTTACGGCTTGTTGGGCGGATCCGGCCCGCTGGTTTCGCTCGACAGATGGAACGCCCTTCATCATCTGATGTGTCTGACCGGCCCGCATGACCTTGGCGCTAGCAGAATATTGCTTTCAGCTTTTAATGCACCGATTTTATATAATTTCGTTCCGCATGACGACTGTGGGATTAGTTGTTACTGATGGAACGAACCATTGCGTTCGCCTGGCGGGGCTCCGGCCAAATACGTAGCGTCTCCTGTGTAACACTACCCCGCGGGGTAGTGGGTCCACCCTCCCCCGCACAACTTCGGCTGTTAGCGCTTCGACCCGTCGGCTCCTGTGCCCAAACTAGAAAAAGCAGCCAACGTACCTATGTACAACCCTTTCTTCGGGGACGCATCTCTTGCGCCCGTTGCCGAGCTGGTAGCCGACAGCCAGCAGGTGGAAGCTAGATGCAACTTATCGTAGACTACTGGCGAATGTATTTTTATCCAGCCTCTTCCCCTGCTTTCGTGATTTCAAGGCCAATCATTGCTGGTCTGCTGTCTCTTGGAAAATAGCTTGGGGTCAAAACTATACCTCTGTTATCTCTCTACTCCTCGCTCTAGCAGCTCGCCCGTCATGTCAGTCCGCAACACCACTGACGATCATGAAGGGCAAAAGGCAATTTTTGAGAATATAGAAACGACAGAAGAAGACCCGAGAGAAGCGCGGAAGCTACTCCGAAAAATTGACTCGTGGTAAGTGAACAACATTCAACCGGGAGCGTTGTTTTGTCTGACAATAATATTTTTAGTTTGCTGCCGGTAATGGCAGTTTCATACATGTTTCAATTCTTGGACAAATCGGCACTCGCCTACACATCGATTCTAGGACTCAATGAAAGTCTGCACCTCGACGGGTTCCAGTTTTCCTGGTCCAACAGCATCTATTATTTCGGCTATCTGATCGCCTCGTATCCCCTTGGGCTTCTCATGGTTCGCTTTCCTGTGGGAACAGTCATTGCAATTTCAGTGTAGGGTGCTTCCATTGTCCGCTGAACTTGTGTTCTTATGTTACTGATCCATTCGCCATCAGCGCCATTTGGGGCATAATCTTGATGCTGACAGCCGTGTGCCACGACCACTCGGGCCTGTGGGCAAACCGCTTTTTTCTTGGCGTTTCGGAAGCTGCTGTTGCACCCGGCTTGGCAGTCGTCGTATCCATGTGGTACACGAGATCCGAACAGCCACTCAGACAAGCCGCTTGGTTTCTCGGCAATACGTTTGCTGGCATCTTTGGCGGCCTCGTCTCCTATGGTATTGGGCACATCAAAACGATTGCGCCATGGAAGGTATGCGCGCAATATCTGAATTTTTTTTTTTCGTACGAGCTGTTAACCGTTTGCCTCGTAGGCAGTGTTTCTCTTTTTCGGGGCCGCCACCATTGCATGGTCCATCTTCATTTACTTGTTGTTGCCAGATGATCCCACAAAGGCTCGTTTCTTGAGCGCATCTGAGCGAGAAAGGGCCTTGAGGCGAGTCCGTCGCAACATGACTGGCCGAAAAACCACCAAAATAAATTGGAGTCAATGCCGCGAAGCGCTGGCTGATGTGCAGGCTTGGCTTCTAGTGCTGATTCAGCTGTCAGGGCAGATTGCGAATGGCGGCGTCCAAGGCGTAAGTTCATCTTTCATCTATAAAAATCGTCTTGCTAAACCGCTGCCAGTTTGGGTCCATCGTCATACATGGTATGGGCTTTGAGACTTTAAAGACTCTTCAAATTCAGATGGTCGCGTACGTATTCCAGCTCATTTTTGTCTTGCTCGCGACAATCGGCAGCACATATCTACACAACACAAGGACCTTGTGGGTTGTCTTTAACATGACTTTTTCCATCGCTGGGGCGGCCATGGTAGGACAACTAGACGGGAAATGGAGCCGATTCTTTGGATATTGCCTCACTATGGGCTACACGCCGAATTTTCCCATTATCCTATCCGTGCTCTCCGCCAACATTGCGGGTTTCACAAAGAAGATGACAGTCAATGCAATGGTAAGCATTCTCAATGCCTTGTCAAATACATAGCGCTATCTAATAAACTATAGCTGTTCATCGCGTACTGTGCGGGCAACATCATTGGACCACAGCTCTTTTTCGAGCGCGAGTACCCTACGTATCCAACTGGATTTCTGGCAATAATGATTTGCTACGCCATTGGGCTTGTGGGGAGCCTGCTGCTACGAGCATATCTGGTCTGGGAGAATGCTCGCCGTGATCGGATCTCCCAATCAGCAAGCACAAACGCAAGAGAACTTGACAATGTTGATGACCAGACAGATAAACAACTTTTACGTTTTCGATATATATATTAGAGAAACCATCACCCAAATACTAGAGTCTTCTCATCCATACTAGATACTATCAGCATTTCCAGTAAACACTTAGGCCCTTACAACCTCAAAACCGCTCTCCATATCGTCTTGCGCCTTGCTAATTTCGGCAGCGTAGACGTTGGTACCACCAGTAAAGCAAACAGGCTCATATACCTTGTCAGGTATACTTCCACCCATATATGTCGACCTCGTGGTAGGTAGAAGCGATTTGTTGCAAAGGTCCACAACATGCTTCTTCCACGCCTCGGTTGCCTCAGCCTTGGCGTTGATGTACTTGATGCCAGATGACTCCATCTTGAGAATGGTCTCGGTGATCCATCTACCTTGTAGCTCCGTTGATGTCGGCCCGTTGCAGAGGAGAGTTGGGGCTTGCGCGCCATACAAGTAAAACATGTTTGGATACCCCCTCACAGTCAAGCCGAGATAGGTGCTCGCGCCAGGCGCCCACTCCTTTTCTAACTCGACACCATCAATGTTTCTCAGACCAAGCTGTGTCATTGCGCCAGTGACAATGTCCTAGAAAAATAGAAACTCTTGTTAGACCAGACTGTCTTTTCAACCGGCAGGGATAAGTATGATTGTAAAGTTCAAGCAACAGTATGGGTTCGGGTTCAATGTAATCTGGATTTGCGTGCACAGGGTGTGCAGAGAAGATCCAAAAAAGGTAAACTTACAAAACCTGTCGCAAGAGCAATCACGTCGAATTCGTGATGAGTTCCATCTTCAAGCGCAATCCCTGTTTCAGTGAATTCCCGAATGGGATTCTTGTTGACGTCAACCACGGAAACCGAGTCGCGGTTGAACTGCTCGTAGTAAGTGTTCTCGAGGCAAGGACGTTTGATGCCAAAGTAGTGAGGCATGTCCAGTGGTGCAAGGAGGTCCCGTGTAGCTGGATCGGTAATTCTCTCACGAGTCTTTTTTGCCCAAAAGTTGTATGCCTCCTTGTTGGCTTCCGCGTCGAGGAAAAGGTCCTTGTAATTGCCCAGCCAGTACCGGAAACCACCCTCTGTCCAAAGCTTGCTGTACCATGCCTCTCGCTCCTCTGCTGTGTCGTCTAGGGTATTGCAATCTCGAAAGCCGTAGAAGAAGCCACCAAACGTTTGCTCACGTTTTTTGAATAGTTCTTCATACTGAGATTTCTTGCCCTCCTGTTCCGCTGCCGTAATGTCTCTCTTTCGCATGGGTAGACAGAGATTCGGCGTGCGCTGGAAAACTTTGAGGCTGCCAGCCCGGGGACCCAACTCTTGCGTCATTTGTACACCAGACGCTCCTGTACCAACAATTGCACAGCGTTTTCCGTCAACGTCGATCGTCCCCTCCTCCGGCCAAAAGGATGAGTGGTGTATGACGCCCTTGAACTTTTCAATACCGGGCCAAGCAGGAACATATCGCTTGGCAGCCTATATGCATGGACGCTGTTAGCGTATCTGCAGATGTTGTCATGGGATATACATGAACGACTCACAAACCCCGTAGCTACCACCAAGTACTTGGCAATTGTTGTGCGGCCATCAGCCGTCTCAATGGACCACTTGCCCTTCTCAATGTCGAACTGAGCCCCAACAACCACAGTGTTAAAAGAACAGTCCTTTTTGATACCTACTACCGCATCAACATGATCAAAGTAGCGGCGAAGCTCACGATATTCGGGATAGTTGGAGGTCCAGTTCCAGCTGTTGTAGACCTCAGGCCAAGAGAACTCATAGACGGGTGCTTCAGAGTCGACACCAGCACCAGGATAGCAGTTCCAGCGCCAAGTTCCGCCAATGTCGTTGCCTGCCTCAAATATCACGGTTTTCAGACCAGCATCACGCAGAGTCTTGAGCATGAATACGCCAGCTGTTTTGCGTGATGACAATGATTAGAGAAAGGACGACATGTATAAGTGATTACGTACAAAATCCTGCACCAATGACTAGAGCGTCGACTTCGAGGTTTTTGGAATACGGCCACGTAGTTTCGGATGTCGCCGTTGCATAGCCAGTGAGCTCCGTCCTGAGGCCTTTGTAGGTCGAATGTGCTTCACCAGACTTGGCCATCTTGAAAAAAAGAAAATGCAAGTAATTGAGATAATGGACGCTATAGGGAAGTCTTTGCGCTTTATTTCGGCAATCTTCTTTTACATTATAGGAACTGGCAGTATACGACTTTATATTTCAATGAGCAGACAAGTAGCGAGCGCCATGCAGACCTGTCTGTCACTCTGCGGGTTAGAAATCCTCATGCTACTTTAGTCAGCCATAATCGTTATATAACGCTTTTTATATATATGTAGCTGCTTCTATTGCATGAATATTGCTGCTCATCTATACTAGACTCCGCGTTATTAGCAACAAGTGGCTTGTCCCCGTGCTCCAGTATTAGGCTGGCCAGTCAAATGAGGGGCAAATCGGTAGTTGAGCCTTTGTGGAGCATTTTGAAATGCCATTTGCCCGGTTGACTGGAGAATTCGGAGTTATGTTAAGCTACTTGACTATCAGTCGTGCCACCGTGTCAGCCTGCATCACAACGTTGACGAGGCGGCGGCTCCCCACTCACTACCTTTCTGTCGTGCATGAAATATTGTATTTCACATGCAGACCTGCAGGAAGAATTGTCTCCACATTCGTAAAGAAAAATCGGAGCTTTTCATCCAGCTATTTTGATTGTGCGATAAAGTCACTATACACACTTCAATCTAAGGTTACCAAGGTTACCTAAACTAATGCTTTCTAAGCGATTCGCTAGATATTGCAGATGGTGATGAGAGATGATAAATCAAGCATATATAATGGAATGCACCTAGGTTATTTATTCGAGGGTCGATTTCGCAAAAGGCAGCTGTGGGAGATTCTGAGTCGCATGAATTTCTTCCTCGTTGAGCTCTTTTTCACTCTCCTTCTCCAGTCGAATGCTTTTCAAGAACCACATGATGATGAGGTTCGGCACGCACAATGCCGTCGCAACAATTGCGAGAAGCATCTGAGATTCGCGGAAGCTGCGATCAATAGCCATGCGAACAGGAGATCCAGCATCGTATTTTTTCGCCGTCACGATTGACTGAAAGATGCTCATTGCCTTGGATTTGTCGCCCTCTGGGAGATATTCCAGCAGCTTATCGGGTAATGTGTTTCGCCATATGGCTCCAGACACACTAATAACTCTAGCATTAGTCTCGCGGCATGAGGGATGCCGTGTGATCATGTGTACGCACCTTGTCCCCACGGCGGCACCGACACTATTACCAGCTTGGAAAAGACTGGTTGCAACAGCGACTTCCTGCTGGGAGACGGCTGCCTGCACGGAAACCTGGGCAGCCGTCTGGAACAGAGCTCTTCCGATACCTGATATGACTTTGCAGACGATGAACGCAACTTCGCTGGTCTGCTTGTTCGCGCCCGGGTTGACTAGGTAAATCATCATTCCCTGTCCGATGATAACCAGGGGCGGGCCCATGAGAGCCCACATTCGCGACCTTTTGGTATATTTCATGCCAACGGCGACAAAAAGTCCGCTGACTTGAAAGGCGACTCGAAGTGAGTTGCTGTACGGATAATTAGTTTTGTGAATCTGCGGAAAACAAACCTCTGGTGCGCATGTTGTAGTTGCTTACTCTATACGGGTTGCGTGCGCAGGCGAGAAATGGCCAGCTACCTGCAAATAGCTCGAGAAGAAGATTGTGAACAGGCTGTACTCCATGAAATCGAAAACCTGGATAAGACAAGCAGCGATTACTGTACGATTCATCATGCGCGCTGGTATATATGGCCTTTTTGCAAACTTGACGTCCCAAACCACAAATGACGCAAAGAGTATCGCGCCAACCACAATCATGGCAATAAAAGACGCCTCCTTCCATCTCCCAGGGTTCAGAGATCCAGTGAGCGAAAGAGGAGTGAGCACGAGAGACATTCCTGCTACCAGAAGAATCAGACCCGGAAAGTCAATCTCAGTCCAGAAAAGCTGACAAGTCTGTTTCAACTTGGAGCTATATGCCTTCTTGCTTGCCAACCCAGGTGGTCGGGACTCGATCGGCGTTTCTTGTGTTTTTGCTCGCCGCTGGAGGTACATGACGACACCAATCAATGGCAGTGACACAATTGGTACAACGATTGCCCAGGTGCCAAATGCCCATCTCCAGCCTGCATTTTTGAGAAAACTCTCTCCTATGATCGATCCCAGGTACAAAGCAGGTATAGTTGTGATGGTCTCAGGCAAGGTGGACCAAAATGCGCGGTTGATCAAGGTGGTAGAGTCGGCGATGAATACTTGCTGCGTTAGGCCGAATCCAGTCGATCCTACAGCATCAAACAAGCCAGCCGCCTAGTTATATATAAGTTGGGATAAAAAACATGGTTGAAGAAATGTGACTTACAAAGTAGTTTGCAATGTTCCGACTGGCAGCAAAGAGAATGTAACTGACGGTTTGAAAGAAGATGGATAATGCAAACATTTCGCCTCGTCCAAAAACCTAAAAATCATCCTGTCAGGACACTCTTTCGGGCGTGAAATTCGTCAAGATGGGACTTGCGTCGCTCAGCTTTGCAATGATTGGATATGCGACAATGCGGGTAATGTTAATCACTACATGTGCGGCGCCCATGACAGAGTGGTTCTTGAACGAGCTGGTAACGTATGGTTCTACAACCATGCCGGAATAATCCGAAAAAGTGATGATCAATGTAGTGATGAACAGACTGGCAGTGATTTCTAGAGTCAGACGACGCGATTTCGACTCGTGAGCGGACGGCGGACTAGATACCTGGTGAAGGCGATGGCCAAAGTTGTTCGAGAGCCCGACTTTTGTAAAATGAGTGCCTTTTCCACACCTGCTTGAAAATCCTGCTCGTTGCGGTCGTGGGAATTTGCATGATGACCACTTGGTATACCGGCTTGGCTCCCGTCGTTGCTATCACGCCGTTTTTCTCCGCCCGGTTGCTGCTCTGGCGCAGTGCGTTGCACTTCGATGGCAACGTCTGATTTCATTGCTTCTTTTTTTGTTGCTGTGCAGCCCCTTGTCGTTTGTGCTGTGCGTTTGGTATGGGTATAAAGTCCATGCGATGTATTGGACTTCACGATAGATGTGTCGTCAAAGATTTTTTCGCTTCTACCTCCCCGCAAATCCAAACGGTCAATGCACAAGACTAGATGCCTGTAATCAGCGCATTATATGCGGCGCTATCGGTCTTTGCATTTTCATCCGAGTCGATTGTTTTCAGCTCATTTCAGCTTTCAAAAGGCTGTGGAGATGTAGCCATTCAACGTGCTTTCTGATTTGGTGTATATTCGCAGTGGAGCTAAGAAGTCGAAGGTGGCGTAAAAGTAGCGTGGCACGGAATATAACGGTGATCAATTTCATCTTATCAATCATATACTATATCCTTGGCAAGTACTTTAGAATGGGGATACTTTCGGGCCTAAGACAGACAGGACAGGGCAGAGAAGTACATGTGGGCAATTTAGTAGTATTTAATTTTGGAGCTTTGCGTACGGATCCATTTGCCAATGAACTGCCTCATGACTCGGGCTAATTTATGGCGCAGAATACATTACTCAAGACTCGGGCACGAAGATACTAGAACACTTTCTCTCACACTCTTTGAGTCGCTCGGGAGCCTGTTCGCGGGCACTCTCTCGGCACTAGCGGGCAGCACGCGCTAGCAGCTTCTCTGGCAGCTCCTACGATACCATCACTGGTAGGCCGACTGGTCCTTCAGAATGTTGATAATGTCTTTGATGCCGGGCGCGAGGTAATCTTTCACCTCGTGTAATAGGAATCCGGCCTACGGCTAATAATGATGATGGAGACGTAGGTGGCTACTTACCTACGAGATGTCCCGTCTGGTGGGAGACCGTCACAGTAATCACAATTTGGAACTTGTATTCGCTGTCTAGGCCCTCTTGCGAAAGTTGCCGATAACTATCTTTTTGGTAGTAAAGTGGTTTATTGCAAATTCGCTGTCCTCCCAGATGTGGCGGTCCGTCTTTGGTGGCTGGCTGGCTGGCTGGCTGGCCGGCTGGCTGGCCGTTTGGCTGCAACTGCTGGCCAGTTGGGCTTGCCAACGAGCAATACTTCCCAGTCCTGTCTCGTCTCGTCCTGTCACTGACCCCGAGTTGAATAAAGTTCAGACTAGACCGCCAAACTAGGGCACACAAAGACAAGACCAGGGCTTTGTCCGCCTGTTCCCGTAGATGGCCTGACCCCTTCGTTTTACAGCGAGCGGACCTTGGCAGTCATTTTTTTTTCAAGCTCTACTAGCCCGGTACAGCTCATCTATCGTAATGACCAGTATACCCTCTGACCCTATTTCGTCGCTTGATATTAACGTTAATGTGCTGAGAGGGACATGAAAAGGGAAAAGATTTCTGCAAAGGGCCGTTGTGCTCGTTTGCCAAGACCCACCACCCTGCCAATCCTGCGTTCCGTTTCCCGCTAACTCTCTGCTGCTGATAGTTCTGGCTTGGCACCCGTAAAATACCAACAACTCTAAAATATCACAAAGACATGGGGTGCATTTCTAATTACAGCTCAAATCCAACAATTTTCTGCTCTTTTACTTCAGCTGCGTGTTCACGGCCGCTCCCAACATCCCAACTCTGCCGTGGCCTTCTCCACCGCAGCCATGGACAGCCACCCGGTATGTGTAGGCTCCATAGGTACCAATAAGCGCTTTTTTGGCCATTGGTGTGCTGGCGCAATGGGAGCGCGTAGTCCTCCTAAGACTAAGGTTGAGGGTTCGAGTCCCTCGTACATCGGAATCGTCGTTGTATTGCGACTTTTTTAGCTGTCATTGCAGCGCGTCAATTCCCCCTCTACCAGTTATTTTTTGCACCCTCGTCTACTAAACCTAGGCATTTGTAGTACTTCTTTTGATGTCTATACCATCCCATCTATAGCCTACGGTTTCTGGCAACACGCCTGTAATCTCGGCGACGCAGCCAGTGCAGATTTGTGCTCGTTGTGGGTGAAAGCACATAGATCGGGTGATTAAAAATGATCACTTGGAAAGCATGCTTCCATATTCTTTACTCCGCTGACTCACAATTTAACCATGTTTCTAGTCACTTATAATGTACCGTTGCGCCGTTTGCCAGTCCGTGTTTGTCGCTTGTTGCTGTTGCTACTCTGTTTGCAAAACCTGTGCCTGCTTGGACTATTTATCCAATCTTTACTATACATCTTTGCATTATTAAACAAAAATTCAAAGGCTTTCAAAGGAAGAGGTTCAGGCATGTATCATCTCTTCGGTGATTTGTACTTGGACGATCCACGTCCTGGCTCGCCCTTATCTCGACGACTACAGCGCTTACAGCCATACATAGATGAGCTCAAGTTTCGAAAAAATGCTCCATGGCAAGGATGGGATCACCTTGCTGCATTTCGAAAAGTCGCGCATCATGAAGTAGCCGCCTGGGAAGCTCATGGCCAGAAACGGGAGATTCGATTTTTGATTCCGCCGGATGGGCCTCTTAAGGCACCCCTCGCTTTTCACTTGCACAATTCAAACTTTCAGTGTTGGCGATCCGTATTCTTCGCATGGCGCAGACGAGTCAAACCTTTCCATGAACCAAATTCTGGCTGCTGGATTCACGCCCGACAAAGTCCTGATATACGATTACACATTCCGTCGAGACCCCGTCGATCCGTTAATGGCGTATCCGCCAGACATTCTAAAGATTCACCAAGAGTTCACAGCAGAGTTGCGAATGAAAATGGCTGCTGTTGTCGATGTGGTCTGGGGAGCGCCAGTCCGCGAAAGAATGAAAACAACTCTGTCACTGGAAGAGCTCCCCTTATGGGGAGAGTACGAAGCAGCCTCGATTCACTTGGAGTGGGAGAAGAGTTCGCGGAAGTTGCAAAAATCTGTCATATTTGTACGTCATCCAGAGGCAATGATGTATAGTGAACCTTCGATTGTGGGCAAGCTACCGGACCTCAGCTTGCAAGCTGCACCGAAGTTGGCAAAAATGGACATTGCCCAGCATTTTTACGAAAAGATTCATCTTTCTAGCGGCCATGAGTTTCTTTCTGGAGAAAGCCGAACACGCCGAACGCGGTTGAATGAAGAGGCCAGAGCCCAGCTCGAGAACATCGGGAATCGGCTTCGATCTGCGAGTAGAAATGTCAGACAGATGCCACCCATTTCCTTTGTTTCTATTGCCTTGCGCTAGATTTCTATCTCTTTCGATTTCTCCTACTACATATCTGTATGTCTTCCTTTTTAAACTTGAAACACCACCCAACTTCAGAAAACTTCATTCTTACCTTATCCACTTCAGCTTAACACTACATATACTAACTTTGGTCGCAGGGGCATGTCGCTTCTGGATAGTCGCACTTCTGGCGTAATCTCTAAGATATGGTAACATTAAGCAGTAGCTACCTTCCTAAAAAGGCAAGTAGAGAGGGGGTGCTATTCGAGCGGCGAATTCGGAATCGCGTCATTTATGCCATGTAAAACCTACATAGGTCAACAAGAGTCCCTTTCTTTCCTCTATTTAAATTTCATTTTCTTACATCTCGCGATTTGCCTCTGTCGCGTTGAGCGCTTCCTCCGAGTAGCAAAATGTGGAGTCTTTCTCTTGGTTATGCAGCCACAATCGTCCTTGCTGCACAGTCAGCCACAGCGATCCGGCCAAACGGGTTACCCACGCATTTCGATGCCGCCAAACTTGCACATGGCGAAACCGCGTTGAAAAGTCCCAATATCCAGGAATGCAACATATCCGTACCTGTGGACCATTTTCATCACGAGATCCAGTATGAGCCGCACTCAGATGCCTACTTCCCCCTTCGCTACTTTCTGGAAACATCGTATTACAAGCCTGGCGGCCCGGTTATCGTCATAGCTGGGGGCGAGGTGACTGCTGAGTACCGGAAACCATTGCTGGACGAGGGCATTGGGCCTCATCTTGCCAGGGCTACCGGCGGTATCGTGCTCGTTTTGGAACATCGCTACTATGGCACGAGTTTTCCCGTTCCAGATCTATCCCGAGAGAACTATCGATTTCTCACCACAGAACAGGCCGTGGCAGATGCTGCCTACCTCGCGCAGCATGCCAAGTTTCCTGGGTTTGAACATGCGAATTTGACTTCGGCCAATACGCCATGGATTATTTACGGTGGCTCTTACGCAGGCGCGTATGCGGCCATTACTCGCAAGCTCTACCCGGAAGCCTATTGGGGCGCCATATCGTCGTCGGGTGTCACAAGAGCCGTTTATGACTACTGGGAGTACAATGAGGCAGCACGTTTATATGCTCCAGGAGATTGCGGGCCCAAAATGTCCAACTTGACGCATGTGGTTGACACAGCAATCTTCAGCAGTGATAAGACCAAGCCCAGTGCGATCAAGAAGCTTTTCGGTTACAACTCATCTATCAGCGATGCATCATTTGGTTCGAGCATCGCGCATCCGGCTTCCGCGCTACAACAAGAAAGCTGGGTACATGGAGAGAGTGACAACACCTTGGAGGAATATTGCAGCACCATCACATCGGAACAGCTTGCTTTCCCTGATCTGGAAAAAAGTCGTTCCACAGCGGAACAGCTTGTCAAAGACGCGGGATATAGTGCTGATACCTCGACCGCGCTTCTAAACTACGTCGGCCTCCAGAGGAGTGGCTCCGATAATGAGTCGAAGCAAAGAAGAGGATGGCCCAATCAACTGCGCAAGCGAGCAGCGCAGCTCAATGATGGCTATAGCTGGTTCTACCAGACATGCAGCCAGTAAGTCAGAAACTTGGTTACCGCTGAAAGTCGTTCGCTGACATATGAAAAGATGGGGCTTTTTCATCTCGGGATCTGGCGTGCCAAAAGACATATTAGGTATTCTTTCTCGAGCAGTGACGATTGAGTACGTCGCCAGCGGATGTGAGGAGGCGTTTGGCATCTCCAGTCCGCCGAATGTAGACTCCATCAATCGCCTGGGCGGCGTCAACTTTTCCTATCCACGCTTGGCTATTATTGATGGCAAACAAGACCCCTGGCGTGGTGCTACGCCGCACAGGATCGGTGCCAATGTCAATCGCAAGTCGACAACCGAGCAGCCTTTCATCCTGATCGACCCCGCAACTCACCACTGGGATGAGTCGGATATCCCAGCCAATGAATACAAACCTGGATACCCTCCGAAGCAGATTATAGACGTGCACAATCAGGAGGTAGCGTTTGTGAAGGCATGGATCAAGGAGTATCATGATTCTAGAAAGTGAGGATACAATAGACAACGAAATATTTATAGACGCTACTTTTATTAGTATTTGACTATTCAAAAAGTATATATATATTTTACAATATATTTTATTCTTTATCAAGTAACTGTGGCTGATGGAAACTCGGCAGACAGAATTCCACTTAGCACGGTGACGGGGCTTTGGGTCTTTCTAGGCTGACTTGGCGGGAGCTTGGGTGTTTTCTAACATAGTTTCGGATTGTTTTTTTTTGTTTAGCATGCTATTAGGGCACATAACAAGGGTATCACACTTTTTACATATTCCAAAAACCTGTAATATCAAGTCTAAGCCAAAAGCTACTCTGAGGTCTGCTAGGAAACACCCGCCTCCCGTGTAGGTAGCTGTCACGGTGGTCACCGTTCGTCACCACATGGCGGCCTCAAACAGGTACCTAACCAACTGGCGACAAAAAAAGGTCATGCTTGACACATCTACCGAGCACTAAAAGGCCGACTGATAGCCACTAAAACCAGCAATTGCCATCCGAGGGCCGGGCCCAGTCACGAGCCCAGTGGCACATTCAGCGGGGCCAAGACACCAACTGACCTCTTTTGCCTCTAAAAAAAACCAGGGTAGCCTTGCCCCAATTGGCTTGTTCTGGCGCACCTGGGCCACTGCGTGCATGTCACTACAAGCAAACACCATACAAGGCCGCTCGTCATCCCGACATCTGCCTGGGCAAGCACTCATCTCACGCTCACGCACCGGCCACACTGTGCTGCATCATAGCACGCCCGACTCACTTCGTCACAGCTCTGCCATTTCGACTCGCTTCAACCTCCATCTATCGGCAACGTTGTCCAGCCCGTCTCCCGCGCCATGTCCTTGCTTCCCCGCATCTTGATGGCTGTGTCGTGATCTCTGACTGCCCAACTGCGCTGGCCAGGCAGCCACGGAACCCGTTCCAACTGCTCGGCTTGCTCCGAGGTAGAAGAAAATTGGTCTTTTCTCTCTCAAGCGCCACACACATCCATCATGGCGTCATTATTCACGTCATTTACCACCTCTAGCATGCCCAAGCGGCTGCTGCGCTATGCCCTGTCGCGCCTGGAGCTGCTCGATGCCGATGCCCTCAATCTCGAAAACTTGGATCTTGCCCTTGGAAAGAATACCATATTTGAATTCCGAGATGTAGGACTAAAGCTGGACGTATGTTATCAAGAAAAAAAAGCTATTGCAGGGCGCACCTACTTACGCTCGTCGCAGAAACTCCAAAAGCTGCTCAACCTCCCGCCCGCTTTTGCTCTCCAGAAATCCAAGGTTCTGTCCCTACGAATTACCATACCCATAGACTTCTACAGCAGCCCCATCACCGTCGACGTAGATGGCGTCGATGTGCAGCTCAAGGTCCTCAACCCCGAGCGGGCTCCGACCGATGCGACATCCACCAACGATAATTCTGTACCAAACGCCGTGGACCTTGCCCAGTCTTTCCTCGACAATCAATCTCCGGACGAGCGGCGTAAGCTTCAAGAGGCTCTAGAAGCCGAAACACAAGATCTTGGGGCATCAATATCAATGAGCGAGGACGGTAGCCAAGATGGTTTCCCTACGGGCACGGGTCAACCGCTGTCTCTGCCCATGTTCCTAGCCGATTTTCTGCAGGGCGTCCTCGATCGCATGCAAGTCAAGATCAATAGAGTCAACTTCTCGCTTCATATGGAAACACCAACCGAGCTAGGTTCCAACTACTTGGAACAGATTTCATTTCAAATCTCTCTCGATAGCATCGACATCGAGGGAGTCACTACTACTGCTTCCACGGCTGGTGATGCGCTCAAGATTGTCCCCAAGGAGGGCAAACGTCACATCTCTATAGACAAAGTCCGAGCCTTCCTAGTATCAGAGGCCAACATTTTCCCAACCTTATCGCGATCCCCTTCAATGCTCTCGCCTTCGTCAGCCTCATCACCGTTCGCGACCCGCAATCCACCCTCTCGAGAGCCTTCTGATATACCACGAGCCATGCTTGAATCACATCAGTCCCTTCACTTCGAGCAAACCTTCAAGGAGCATATGGTAGATGGAACTTTGACTCCAGAGCCTGATCACCCTCTTGGCGACAGCGAAGACGCATTGGCTATTCCATACGAGATGGAAACGAATGACGACGAAAACCCCAGCACACCCCGAGCCTCCATATACCATGATTTCGGTGCTTCTATGCTTTCCGATAGCGATGAAGAGCCTGCATTCTCTACAGCCAACTCCCAACAAATGGAAGCATCGCAAACGTCGACTAACGTGGCACTCGCGGGCTCGTCAAAACAATTACCTTATCTTCCGGTCAATCCAGCAGCATCTGCTGTGGGGACATCACACATGCATTCATCTCAATTTAGCGCAGATGGTTCACAATATGAGGACCTGGAAGAATCGCGTCTCTATAGCCACGAGGAAGCCGAAAGTATGTATATGAGTGCTTTTTCACAAGGTGTTGCACAGTCACGGGTAGCGCTCGAGACGACAGAGCCTGCCCGACTGTCTCCCAAACCCGAAAACAGCATCGAAGAGCCTGCTGCTGAAGTTGCAACACATCTGTCTTCAGTCAATATTGCTGCATCACCGCCACGACCCGAACCTGAAACCGAACTTGATTCAGGAACAGTAGTAGAGAGCGATGGGAACAGCGAAAGGGAGGAGGTACCTTCAGAAATGTACCAGTCGTCTTCAGGCCTTCCGTCCATGCCGGGCGCTTGGGGCGAAAACTCGGTTGTTCACACCGTTCAAGTCGCATCCGAACCTGCTCAATCGACTGCTGCTCCTTCTGCGACTATCTCTGTGGATTCTGCATCGGCGGTCACTGAAGAATGTTCAGCAGACGAACGAGGAACAATTAATCCTGAAAACATTGCGTCGGAAGACGTGCCAACCCCGAAGGGACCAACCAAATTCGCCAAGAAGATTCTCGAGTTCGACAACCTATCTGTGTACGTCCCGTCTCTTCAGCGCCACGTGCAAATATGTACAGACGCCGATGAAGCTAGTTCAGACCCCCAAGCCTCGATGACGCGATCTATTCACCCCCAGCCTCCGGGAGCTTTCTCTGTACATCTTGCTCAGGCTCAGAAGGCAAAAGATGGCACTCGAATATCGCCGGTCGATGACAGCCTAGAAATCGTCATGTCACCAATGACCATCAACTTTGATGCTTCTATCGCCTTCCTTCTCTTCATGATCACGACGAAGCTTCTCAGCTTCGTCAACACGGATGGCGCACCAAAGTCTTCATCTGCCACCGCCAAGCAAGATGAGAAGGGAAGTCAGCAGCCGCCGTTCAAGATTATCCTTGAACAGCTTTCTCTCAACTTTTTGAACCACCTGAGTGGCGTTGCAGATACCGCCGATCGGTTCTTGGACCCATCTGCATTCGACTTCAGACAAGAAGTCTTACTCAACTTGACGTTGAAGGGCTTGGCTGTTTCGAGGCGCTCAGCTCCTACTGCGGCTTCAAAAAATGCCGATGCAACCTTGTATGAAACCAAAATTGACCTTGAGAGGTTCCGCTTTGGATACGATGACGGAGACATTGTATCATTCGACGCCGGTAAGCCAATGAGCACTTCTGTGCGAGATACCTTTTTATCAGCCGGAAATGACGTTTCCGTCAAAATCTTGGAGTCAGCAGAAGGCATTCGGACAGAGGTGGAAACTCTGCCGCTGGTATTCCAGCTGGAGCTACAGCGCCTAGACGAGACCTTTGGCTGGTTTGGTGGCCTGAGCAGCTTTCTTAACATGAGCACCTCAATAACATCTAGCACGCCGCCCGCCAAGACGCCACCCACACCGCAGCAGAAGCCCCGAGGCGTACGGTTCGACACTCCAATCAAACCCGAAGACAAATCAGCGGCATCCAAAAATAAACTCAACGTTCGCATCGGCGGCACCTTTATTCAAATACTTGGCAAGGAGTGCAGCATTTCATCAGAAAGCAATGCGTTCAAAATTGTTAGCAGAGACGAAGGTATCGGCATTGCATGCAGCTTGATACGGGTGTCTGGCCCCTACATCAAAGGCTCCATGGCGGACCCTGCCATTAGCTCAGACATTAGTGGCGTTCGTCTAGAGTTCCTATCTGCGCCGAGCAACTCTGATCTGGAAAAGTTACTCGAGCTCATCATCCCATCTAAAGTCAAGTATGATCACACTACCGACGAGATTATGGTCGATACACTATTGCGTCAGCGAAGAAAGGGCTCAGTCTTGCGCGCGGCCGTGGATGGCATCAATGTCCGGGCCAAGAACATCAGTCAACTGGGAGTACTGCCCAACCTAGCCGAAGAGCTTGCCAAGCTATCCACTGTTGCCAAATATCTGCCGGAAGATGATCGCCCTGGTCTTCTCACTTTGGGAAAGATTCAACGCATCAACGGCAGTGTTGATATTGGCGGCGCGCTGGGCACGTTTGTCGCCGAGGTCAATGAACTCGAAATTGGTCATATCACGCTCCCCTCGCTCGTCGCATTATCTGCTGGCGGCATTTCTGTTAGTAGAAACAAGGTTGAACATCTGGTTAAATCCACGCCGTTCACCGCTTCGCAAGATACACCAACCCGTGGACCGGTCTTGATGGTTCGAATGATTGGGGACGAGATTGAGCCTACCATTAAGCTGAAGGTTCGTCATCTTGTTGTCGAGTACCGCGTTCAAACTATCATGGACCTCCTAGGCCTGGCCGATGATGCGACCCCACAAGACTTTGACGATTGTCTCGCCGCCTCGGTAGCCAATTTGGGGGACCAGACTCACTCAGCCTTGGCTCGTCGACCACAGTCTCCCTCTCAGTCATCGAAAGGGGCAAAGCCTACCAAGCTCGATGTTGTCTTTTCCGATTGTCTGATTGGTCTCAATCCAATGAACCTGCCGTCGAAGTTGTTGATTGCTCTAACAGATGCTCATTTGGACATAGTATTGCCCAAAGACGAGCAAATGCAAGCGTCGTTCAACGTTAACAAAGCATCTTTGCTTCTTATTGATGACGTGTCAACCGCGGTTGATGACCCTACTTCAGTCAGGGCCAAGCCATCAGCATCGTCTACAACTTCTGCGCTGGTTAGCGACATGTGTTCCATGGGCTATGTGGACATTTGCTACATTTCATCAGCTATGGTTGTCGTCAAGGTAACACCCGGGGAAGACGGCGAACAGCAGGTGATTGTGGACCTTCGCGATGACTTGCTTGTTCTGGAGACGTGCGCCGACTCTACTCAGACACTTATTACGCTTGCAAATGCATTGAAGCCGCCAACACCACCCAGCAAGGAGAACAAATACAGAACCAATGTTGTGCCGATGCAAGATCTTCTGGCCTCGATCTCTGCAGAGGCATTTGGTAGATCTGAAGGCGATTATGACTTTGACCAGGACTTCGCAGGTGCGCAAGAGATGGCTGGAAGTGGCTCGGATGCTGGTGGAAGCGACAGTTCATTCCGCGTCAACTCTAGGTACTATGGAACCGCATCCGGCGGAGAGGAAATCTTTGATGCCACGAAAAGTATGATGTCTGATGTTGCTCGAATGGAAGATACCACCGAAGGTATTCTACTTACGGGATTCGACCCCACTACCAGCCAGGGCTCAGTGGATAGTGACGAACTTGAGGTTCATGAGAACTACTATAGTCAAGACGCGACTGGTGAGCAGACAGCCAAAGTCTGGAACTCATCGACAAACACCTACGACAGTGCACCTGCGACTCTTGTCAAAAGTAGCCCAGTCAAGGTGTCGATGCGAGATGTCCATGTGATCTGGAACCTGTTTGACGGCTACGATTGGCCGCATACTCGTGACACCATCAGCAAGGCTGTGCAGGAGGTTGAAAGCAGAGCGTTTGAGCGCCAGTCTCGTACTGTTAGCGCACAGATGCAAGAAGAGGAGTTTGATGATGGTGAAGCCATTGGTGACTTTCTGTTCAACTCGATCTACATTGGCATTCCCGCGAATCGCGACCCGCAAGAACTGTCCCGAGCGATTAATGAGGGGCTCAACGATGCCGCGACAGAAACGGAGTCGGTGGCCACTACCGCTTTCACGACAACCACTAGCCGTGGCATGCGACGTCAACAACCCAAGGCCAAGCGGCTGCGACTTAGCAGAAGTAAGCATCACAAGATTACTTTTGAGCTACAAGGTGTAAATGCGGATCTTGTGGTGTATCCTCCGGGATCAGGCGAGACACAAAGTAGCCTTGATGTTCGTCTGCAAAACTTGGACGTATTTGATCACGTTCCCACGTCGACTTGGCGAAAGTTTGCGACGTACGATCAAGACCAAGGAGAGCGCGAGATGGGAACTAGCATGGTTCATCTTGAAATCTTGAATGTCAAGCCGATTCCGGAGTTGGAGGCTGCTGAGATAGTACTGAGAGCGACTCTCCTGCCGTTGCGACTCCACGTTGACCAAGATGCACTCGACTTCATTACGCGATTCTTTGAATTCAAGGATGACAAGGTGCCAGTGCATGCGTCGCCTAGCGACGTGCCATTTGTCCAGCGAGCGGAAATTAACAGCGTTCCGGTGAAGCTTGATTTTAAGCCCAAGCGAGTGGACTACGCTGGCCTCCGATCGGGACATACCACGGAATTTATGAATTTCATCGTGCTGGAAGAATCCCGCATGGTCCTTCGTCACGTCATCATCTACGGAGTTTCTGGATTTGACCGCCTTGGCAAAACACTTAATGACATTTGGACGCCTGACGTGCGAACGAACCAATTACCTGGTGTTATTGCTGGACTAGCGCCTGTGCGATCGCTTGTCAATATTGGCAGCGGCTTCAAAGATTTGGTCGAGATTCCGATTCGCGAGTACCAGAAAGACGGGCGTGTTTTCAGGAGCATCTCAAAGGGTGCTACAGCATTTGCACGGACTACGGGAACTGAAATTGTCAAATTGGGAGCCAAGCTCGCGGTGGGCACACAGTATGCCCTACTTGGGGCTGAAGAGATGCTCGCAGAGAAGCGCGCCGACGACGGCAATTGGGACGACGACGAATTGGACGCAGAAGAGAAGAAGCAGATTTCTCTGTATGCTGACCAGCCCACGGGGGTTCTTCAAGGAATTCGTGGAGGCTATCGATCGCTTGCGCGTGACGTTAACTTGGCAAGAGATGCCATCATTGCGGTGCCAGGCGAGGTCATGGAGAATGCATCAGCGGCGGGCGTGGCCAAGGTGATGCTGAAGCGGGCGCCGACTATTATTTTCCGGCCGGCCGTGGGCGTTACCAAGGTTATCGGACAGACGCTGCTGGGCGCGACCAATGCGATGGACCCGAACAACCGGAGGAGGATTGACGAGGTATGCCAGCTGCCGCCGCTTTTGAAAGTTGATGCAACTGCTGACAATTTATCAGAAATACAAGCACTAGGCTCAAACTGCATGGGTGGTTTTTGGTGCATTAGCATGACGATTGTCTTTTATTACACTCAACAAGCAGCATGGCAAGCGAGATTGTAGTTTTGTTTATGTGATTTTTTCCATGTGCATTACATGTAGAATCCAGTCTTTACGGTGGTGTTTGTTTTTCTTTTTTTTTTTTAACAATATAAGGCATATACATTGATTCATAGCTTGACAGACAAGAATGGATAGGGCGATTGCCCATGTTTTTGTACTACTAGACTAGAGTAGATGAAGAATGCGATTACTTGCAGAATGCGACTAGATGCAGAAGGCGACTAGATGCAAGAATGAGATGTGGCGGTGGAAGCGACAGAGAGTGAAGCCAAGTCCAACCACCCGGGGTTTTGTCAATGAAGGAGGGCAAGTCACACTGGAATCAATTCAATCTAGATATTGGAGCCTGAATCTCACTTGTGGCACGAATGGGTGCTCTGTAGTTTGTCATGATACGTACGTCAATGTCCCAGCGCCGTCTATAGTGTTTTGTTACCTTTCTACTCTGTACCCAGTCCAATCTCTCTCGCCAACTCCAATGACTCCCACGAAACCCGTGAGAACAAAAAAAAAAAAAAAAGAAGGTAGCCACGAAGATTGATTAATAGCCATCCGCGATGCCCTGCATCTTTTCCTCTGCCTTTCTCTTTTGATTCGCCGCCACCCACCACCCATGCGTCTCGTCCTCACCAATAAAATTGCCCTGCGCGTCAACCTCGTCCCACGGCTTGGGGCTCAAGATGTAGTGCACATTCTTGACCCGGTCGTCTCGCCAAATCGCATCATGCACGCCCCTTTTCCGCATCGTCTTGAGCGCATTGTACACGTACGGCAGCGCGACCCACCGGTCGCGCCACAGCTCCGACACGACCTCTTGGTCGGGAAAGTACATGGCGTGGCCGTCGCGCTCAATCTTGTCCACAATCTGCCGGTACAGCACCTGCGACGGCCGCAGCACCGCGAGGCCGCCGTTCATCATGGCGACGGTCCGGCCGCGCGGATCGGCGCCCTCGCGCTGCGCGCGCTCCGGGTCGGCCGCCTGGCTGGTAAAGGCGCAGTTTTCCGGGATCCATGTCGCCGGGTAGTGCGGCTTCTTGAGCGGGTTGCACGCGCAGACGTGGCTCGCGGCAAAGACGCGTCTCGACGAAGTCTCGGCATTGTCGCCCGTCTCGCTGCTGCTGCTGAGCGTGGTGGGGGGTTCGTCGAGCGGGATATCCATGAGCTCGTCCATGTTGCGCAGCACCAGCATGTCCGAGTCGAGCTGCACGATGCGGTCGTACTCGGTCAGCGAAAAGGTGGCCAGCTTGGTAAAGGTGTCGGCGAAGCGCGGGTCCGGGGTGGCGGAAAAGTCGCGCGCGCCGACGGAAGGGTGGAGGTGGTTGACGCGCTGCGCGGGGATGCCCCGGGCGGCGAGCGCGGCGAGGCCGGCGGCCGGAAAGGTATCGGTGTAGAGCGCGAGGAGCGGGTATGCGGATTGGACTTGTCGGAGGGAGTGGTTGAGAGTCAAGACGCCGGCGAGGTAGTCAATGTTGGTAATGAGCGTGGCCCAGACTGTTGTTTTTTGCGACCCGGGGGGGATTAGTGGTTCGGCAGGGCACAAAACGGAATTCACGGCGGACGGAACGGCTTACCCTTGTCGGAGGGGGCGGCTCTCTTGCGCGAGGCAGACTGTGTCATGACGACGGGCGCGATGGTCTGAATTGGATGTGATATGGAAACGATGCAAGTTGAGGGATGCGAGAATTGAACGTGGGGAAGCTCTTTTTTTTTTTTTTTTTTTCTTGCTCATCGGCTTTAGGAAGCATTAAAACGCCAGTGACGTGCTAGATGGCCCGAGTCCCGCCGGCCGCTGGCCTGCATCGAATCGGCGCCGTCGATCTGGGAGGGGGGGGGTCGCCCCGCGCTAAATGCGAGGAGCAACATCGGCAAGTCAATTTAAAAGGGTTATGCTTATCAATTTGGTTTTTTTTTTTTTTTTTTTTTTTTTTATTTCTTCTGGCACTGAGCGCATGAAAAGTGCCGTCACGTCTTTGTAGCAGCAGCCATTGCAAACATTCCAAGGTATGGCGTGTTCAACGCGCGTTGAACCGCAAAGCGCAGTCATTGCTGTAGTGCCGTCATACCACCAAGAAGTGAACAAGAGCTAAGTGCCTCTGCTCGCATAGGAGGGCGCCTGTAATGCTTAATTCTTGGTCAAATTACTTTACTTGTTTTGCCTTTTTTTATTATTTTTTTTCTCCCCTCTTCTTCAAGGACAGCTTGGAAGCTGTTTCCATCTTGGAATCGTCTGACTCGCCGTCATCCGCCCCCCCCCCCCCCCATCCATGAGCGAAATATGCTCAGCGAGCCATCAGCCGCAGGAAACCGGCCGTCGCGGGCCGTACAAAAAACGATTTGTGTGCGTAATATTTGCTCTGGCGAGACTGAATATTGACGTTGCACCCGCCATGACTCTGTCCGACCTCCGCAGGCGCATGCGTCTTGAGTGGCAGAGGCGCTTCTGAATGTGGCTATTCGACCAGGAATGTATTCATGAAGGACCTCGAGCTATAGTCACAGCTTCCGACCCTGTGATGATAAGCCGAGGTAAGACCATCGAGCGCCACAGGGCGTCGACGACCTGAGCTAATCAGAACCTACAACAAGGTGAAGTAAAGCTCCCAGTGACTAGTGGCGTGTTCATGCCGCAAACACACTAGACAGCATGGTCGAAGCCTGCCTGCCTTTCGATTAAACCTGTAAGCAAGATTTAAAATCACCCACAAACCCTCATGTGAACAACATTGAAGCCGCCCCCGCAAGGCATTTTCCGCCTTGCTACTACAAGTGGCGTTTTCGTGAAGCGAGGCGCTGGCAAGCCCAGTCTTGGCGGGCGTTTTGCACGCTTCACGGTTGGATACGGCCTCTGTCCTAATCCGTACTGTTGAGATGCATGTATCATGTGCACTTTACTTACGCCCGAGCTTGGAGGACCCCCTCCGATTTATTCGCCGACGCCTGCAGTCTTTTTCTCCGATGAGAATGGCTTGTGCCACGTCTCTCGCATTCACCTTGGCTCTAAAATACCCAATTAGTCCCCCCCCCCCCCCCCTCCAAGGACGTGATATCGAGAATTCGAAAAAAACGAACGATTCATCAAACAAGAGGTTGGTCGTCGTCGTCGTCTTAGCCTTACTTGCCATGGGCGCCCAAAGCCGCACCAATGGCCCACCAGCACAAGCAACGAGTCGCGACAAACTCCTCGAGCATCGTCAAGAGCTCGTCAACCTCACATATAAGCGCGGACAGTTTGTCACATGTCCAGCGTGTCGACATGGAAGCACCACTATACTAGCCAAGGAGCGGCTCGCGGGATGGCGGTAAGTTGTTTGTATTTTTTTCTTTTCTTTTTCTTCTTCGTCTCACTTTTATGCCTCGTCTTGGAAAAAAACATGGCCCTTGAGGCATAGCCCAGCCCAGCTAGCTAACTGATCTCGTTCCCCAGATACGCAGCCGGTACCGCCGTCGCCATCATCTTTGCGCCCCTCACCCTCGGGGTCATGCTCCTTGTCCTGCCTCTTCTCTTCAAACCGCAGTTTGCCGTCCACTCGTGCCGGCGCTGCGGCCTGCGCCTCGCCATCACCACCGGCGGCTTGAGCGACTATGCCTTTACCATTGCCGCCGACGTATCCGACGCCAACTTTGCCCCGGCCGAGGACGACTGGCGGCCCGACCTGGCGCGGCTGCCGGGGGGAATGCGCGTGGCCCGGTCCCCGTTGGGCCCGCGGCCGGAAATCTCGGAAAGGGAGATGAAGACGTGCTGCAAGCGCTTTGCAGGCCTGAAAGCCAGGACGCGCATCAAGATGGTCTCGGACGACTGGCAGCGCAGTACGGTGCGGTGCATGGTCATGACTGGTGCGGACAATCCAGCGACGGCGCGGGAAAGAGAGCAAGGGCACGGGGAAGTCTTTTGTCAGATTTACCAAAATAATGTCGAGCATGTCAGCTCCTACGCGTACTCTGACGCAAACATCCAAGTCACCATGCGCGCCGCTGCTCCGAATCTAAACACATCCGATAAAGACGAGCCGCCGCCGCCACACACTGCAGCTAATAACGGTGGTGGCTCGTTGCCCTCCGACTCGACCGAATTCACCGAAGCGTGCCGCATCCACTTCTTTCCCGGCGACGACTACTCTGTCCATTTCCATCTTCCATCCAACAAACCCCCCGCGTACTCTTCCTCCTCGTCTTCCTCGTCGTGCCCGCCGCCCACCACCACCGTCGTCAACAGGTCTCCCGTGTCGAAGCGCTTCCGCACGCAGTTTTGGGGCGGCATGCCCATCTGGCGCTGGAAGTCGTCCGAGGGAAACCTGCTGTGGGTGTCGCGACGCTTCCGCGACGCGGACATGGCGGCGCTGACTACGACGCTGTGCCTTGTCGACGACTATGAGCGCCTCGTGGCGGCCGTCGACGGCTGGGAGAGCTGGCGGATGATGATGCCTGCTGCTGGTGTCGCAGCCGCTGCTTCTGATGGAGATGGCTCTGGCGGTGGCGGTGGCGGAATGATGCACGAGTGCAGACTGAAGCTGTATGCGGATCTGGATGCTGGGGTGCTGGGTGAGATATTGGGTAGCTATTGCGCGCTGCTTGTGCAGGTGAGGAGGGCTACAAAGGTACTAAAGGTGGAGGATGATATGAAGCGGAGTTCGTATTAGAAGAGCAGCCGGCATCATGCACATTGCCTTTGGGGGTTTTTTTTTTTTTTTTTTTGGTACAATTTGGTTATTTTAAAGTGGTGTATTTGGGGAAAGCGTATCAATTACACCGAATAACTTGATGGTACTGCAGAGAGAAGATGATATGAAGCAGAGTTTGTTTTAGAGCGCATCTGGCGTCTTGCACCTGGCCTTGTTTATTCGTACTATTTGTTCATTTTATACCACATCTGGCATCATGCCCGTTACCTTGCCGTGGAAGTTACTACCATGTCTTCTGCACCGGGGAGTGAGCCGAGGGCTCTCCGCTTTGTCTCGTGACGTTGGTCTAATCATTCTCAAAACAGTCTCATAAAAGCAGTCTACTATGGCCGCCGCCATTGCCGTTCCTTGCCCACTTGATACGGGTGGACCACGATTGCGAGTCGTGAGAGACTGCGACTACATTGGCCAACTAGGACCCGAGAGCAGACGGGCGAAGCATGGTACCAAGTTTAGATGCTCGTTTACGTTTACGATGAGGCACGAGCCAACAAGATAGATGGAGGCATTGCCCACGGCCTTTTTATTTCTTTCAACGCTATTGGCCTCGATTGGTTTTGCTATAAAGGCACATCCGCCCGGCAATTGGTCCAGGAGAAGGCTTGTCCACCTGCATAAATATTTATTCGCTGGTATCCTGCGCCTGACAGAGGATAGCAATGCGCCGTCATGATGCTGTAATAGCTCTCGACTGCCTCTACTCTAGGCCAGAAGCTGCATCAGCATCCAGGTTAGCCACTTAGACGGATAAGACTTGATGATACGAAGAATATCAGGGTTACCGGCGGTCCGCACGCGAAGCTTTACGAGCCCTCTATCGTGACCCTAGCTCATACCTGACGCAACTCTTGATCTGAAAGCATTATAGCAGATATCGAGTCAGCTGCTCACTTTGGTGATGCAGTGCTTGTAGATATTAGCTGTGCGATTCGTTGTCTTTAATCGTCATCCTTTTACGCAACAAATCGTTACCAGATCTTGATTTGGAGTACCTGCCTAGTTTTGCCCAAATCAAAGTATCAACACTGATAGTTACGACATAGTGGGCTCCTTTACCGACTCTATACACAAGGTCACTCTTTCGAGACATTGCAGCTTTGTCGCCATCTGATACCCATGACGGAGTACTGATCTAATCTTTCCCAATCGCTTGCCGGTACGGGCGGTTTATTGACCTGCTATCCCTTCATGCTGGCATACCGCTTTGCCACACTGGAAGCCGACTAATTCCAAGTCTTGACAATGAAATAAAATTCAACTGTTTTACTAAGAGGTTGGATATACTAACTCAGGACAAAATTATTGTATTATGATTAACCTATTCCAAAGCTACATCGTACATGTTCCTCCACAGGGGGGGCAGGCAGGTGATACAGAAAAAAGGTTACTGGCCAAGAAGAGCTTTAAATGGCAGCAACCACAGCAGCAGCAACCATGGCCATGCCGCCAGTGAGGACGGAGCCAGCGCCGACAATGGGCAGATCGGTAGGCTTGCCGTTGTTTCCGCTACCGGTGCCGGTAGCCTTGACAATGGGCTTGCCGCTGGCGTCGCAGAGCAGAGGGCAGTTGTCAATGACCTTGCACGTCTGGCCGTTGGGGTACTGGTGGGCCGGGTTGCACGAGTAGCGGCCCTTGCTGTCGTAGTCGCCGGGGGCGGCGCACTTGGACGACGGAGTGCCGGTCGAGGTGGGCTGAGCGGCGGCAGAGCTGGTGACGGTGACGGTGCCGGTGCCGGTGCTGGTGCCGGTGGCCTTGACAATGGGCTGGCCGTTGGCGTCGACCAAAAGAGGGCAGCCTTCGACGGTCTTGCAGCTCTGGCCGTTGGGGTACTGGTGGGCGGGGTTGCAAGAGTATCGTCCCTTGTCGTCGTAGTCGCCAGGAGCCGCGCAGGTGCTCTTGTAGATGGGCTGACCGCTGGCGTCGGCCAGGAGAGGGCAGCCGTCAATGGTCTTGCAGCTCTGGCCGTTGGGGTACTGGTGAGCAGGGTTGCAAGAGTATCTGCCCTGGCTATCGTAGTCGCCAGCCGCAGCGCAGTCGGCAGCAGAGACAGCGGCAATGCCAGAGGCAATAGTAAAGATGGCGGAGGAGACTCTCATTGTGACTGATTTGTTTGGTGAGGAAATGTTTTCTTTGTCAGCTCTCTCATTTCGGGAGGCGGATTTGGCCACTGTTTTATAGTCTGCAACGCCTCTTGACCATGACGGGCATTCTATTGACGCACTTCGTATAGCTAAAATGACGGACTTTCGTTGCTTTGCTCCACGCATTCCGCCAACATTGTCTCGTATATGTAGGCGATCTACAACCTACAGGGCCAAAGCAGTCCGGCACAGCTCCCCGCTGGAATGCTTGTCAGGGCAACCCACAGACGATTAACCCCCCCCTGAATTCGAATATGTACCGTATTTGTGATGGGGCTTCTGGCTTATCGCAAAAAATAATACATCTTTAGCAGCGCGGCTAAACAGGCCGCTTTGTTTGCCCTACATCTCAATGGATAAATAATCAACCATCATAGCAGACGTATTAATAAATATCACATATTGACGAGTACCACACATTAAAAGCTATATAGTTCTTACAAACCCAGATCCAAACGGCATAACCCGGACCGTACTGGTAGACATGGCCGCTGGCTGGCCTGTCGGCAAGTATTGGCCCGAGCGTGCAAACTTCCGCTCTATTGCTCCACCACTCGCGTCCTGATTCCTCATACGATGCCCTGTAAAAGTGGATGTCTGCTTTTGTTGAAAGGGCGCAAATGTAATTATTGATTTTATCGGGGTCTCCTTTTATTTACTGGTAGTTTATACGAGATAGTCCCCCCTGGGCAGCCCTGCAGGGCAGGAAGGCTTGGCAAAACAAGCGAAGTCCGGTATATACGGATATGAGCGGGGTATGACATAATACATACCAGTTCAGCGCGCCAGAGCAGCTGACCATGCTCTTGGGCAAGGAGCCAAGCCTTTTCAATCTCGTTAAAAGTTCGTATTCCCTTGTAGCTGCTGCATAGGTCCTTGCACAACTGTTTATACTGGAGAGTGAATACGCTCAGTCGCTGGATTACCGTGCTCACCCCTTCAATTTCGACTAATCCATCTCAATCAGGTCCAGCCCGCAGCAATATTATATTTTACTCCTCGTTTTCACAGCTGTCCTGTCGCACCTATTCTAGATATGTGGTATCAATCAAACATGAGCAGCAATACCACAAAGAACCCTCTATCGATACGTATCGTTACCTCTCCCCCTTTTCATCAGCTCCTGACAGACTGAGGGGCCGGAAAATCTGCTGATTTTACAGGACAAAGAGGACAAAGTGGCAGAGTTTGCGAACATAGTTAGTGGGCCGGTTCTAGAGAGAAACGGTACTGACAATGAGTTTAGACATGAACCGAGCGGCACCAAAGCGCGAGGTGGAAAGCTAACTTGAACTTGCTGGTTTCTATTTATACTTCTTTCTCAGCAACACAACATCCAAGCTTCGCTTCTGAACCCCAGATTGTTATGACAGCATACAACTCGTGGCTGAACCTTGGGAGTAAGCATAGCCTACTAATTGCCCGATGTGTATTGAGTAGTGCGACGCTAAGTAGCTGTCAGCCTTCCCATTTCCTGCTCCTTGCTGTAACCCCCGTTACACATTTTCTTTTCTCCGAAGCTCTCTGAGGCTCTCTGCACAGAGTCTTCGCTGCTTGCCTTTTGTATCATTTCCTGCCTGAAGCTGGCAATATCTACTAGCGCCAAGTAAGGAAGATTTCCTTCTCGTAATTGAAACCTGCCTGCCTCGGGCAACGGGGAACCATGCTGAGCGACGATGCCTCTCGGTCAACGCCATCACCGCCGAAGGATCGGGCACAAACGCATCTTGCAGCACCAGCACCACAGCGAAGGGCTCGGCGGGCGGACAACGGGTTGATAGGGTAGTGATCGGCCGGAACTGTCACCCGTGCCACATATTCCCCTCCATCTTGGCCGTCGATGGCTGCATCCTTCAGCGGACAAGATTCGGCTTTCTGTGGGCCATTTGCTGCACGTCGACTCATCTCCCGTCATCATCATTGTAATCCGTCAGCAACAGGGCTAGCTACTAGATCTGACAGCGACGACCAAATTGGCCATGTCGCTGCCTCGGTGTTTTATTTCCCTTTGTTTTTCTTTTGCAAGATGGCATCTTTTGCACAATCGACATTGTTTCAAAGCAACCTACCTATACCTGAGATAATTCTTTTCCTCAGAAGACGAGCAAAAAACAGGAGCCACGAAACAACAACAACAACTACCGCCAGGCGCGGTCCGTCTTTGCACCTTTCACCATGGCGGCAACACAAACCGCCATCACAACGCTCCAGCTAAAAGACTACGGCTCCTCCAACACAGCTGTACCTGTCAATACCGGCACCGAAGCCGCCCGAGATGTCACTTCATATACATCCACAACCACCCGCCGACGCGGCGCACACCCAGCCCCGGCCAACGTAGACGACGACGATGTCGCCATCATCGAAGCGTCTCGCGCGCTCGATCAAGAGTGCCCCGACGGCGGCTACGGCTGGATCATTGTCCTCAGCGGCGCCATGCTCATGTGGTGGGCGTCCGGAACCACCTACGCCTGGGGCGTCGTCCAGCGCAAGCTAGTCGAGGAGCATCTCGCCGGGCCCGCGACCCTCTCCTTTATCGGCTCCCTGCAGGCCTCCATGCCCGCCTGGTTCGCCGTGCTCGACGCCTTTGTCATGCGCCGCTGGCTCGGCTCGCGGCGCCTCGCCATGCTCGGCATGCTCACCATGGGTCTCGGTGGCGTCCTGGCCAGCTTCTGCACGAAAAGCGTGACGGGCCTCTTTATCACGTTTGGCTTTCTCGCCGGCGCCGGCGGGAGCTGCGGCTTTGCCGTCGTGGCTGCCGTTCCCGCGCAATACTTTCACACCCGCCGCGGCCTGGCCAACGGGCTCATCTTTGCGGGGAGCGGATTTGGCGGGGCGACGAATAGCTTCTTCATGGATGCGCTGATTCGCCACGTCGGCATGGCCTGGGCTTTTCGGGTGCTGGGACTGGTGACGATGGCGACTGGGGTTTTTGCCGGGTGGTTCATGACTGAGCGGACAAAGATTCCCGACAAGCGATTTATTGACATGTAAGCCCTGCTTTGACTCCTTCACTCTAAAAGTTGCTGATGTTAACTTGCGGCGGGCTTCAGGAAACTATTCAAGAATACAAACTTTACACTCTTGTGGCTGTGTGCTGCTGTCGGCAACTTTCCCATTTTCGTTCCGCCCTTCTTCCTTCCTCTTTACAACCAAGCGTTGGGCTTTTCTTCAAGCACCGGAGCCGGTCTTGTGGCTGGCTTTACCCTGTCATCAGCGATCGGTCGCATTCTGTGTGGATTTTGCTGCGACAGATTTGGTCCTGTAAATGTGCTCCTAGCTTCGTTGCTGCTCTCTGCTTTCAGTATGCTCGTCATCTGGCCCGTCTCGCAATCTCTGACTCCTCTTGCCGTCTTCTGCATCCTCAATGGTGTCTCAAACGGAGGCTTCTTTTCTTGCACGCCTACCGTCGCCACCAGTATATTCGGTAGTCAGCGTGTAAGTGTCGTCATGGGCATGATTATGACTGCTTGGGCCGGAGGCTATCTTTTGGTATGATTTCTTTCTTTCCGCTGGCCAACTTGAATCGGTTTCTTTTCACCGGCCAACTTGGATCTGTGACTCAGTCTAACCAATGAACACAGGGCTCTCCCATTGCTGGTTACCTGCTTCAAGCCTTTGGTGGAGCAGACGGTGGCCTAAAAGCGTACCGTCCCGCCATGTTCTACGCCGGCGGCCTGGCTTTGATCTCGGCCATTTTATTGGCCATTGTCCGTTTCCGCCTTAACAAAAAGATTCTTGCGGCCGTATAGTTGACTGTTTCTGATGGCATGTAATGATTCACTGCTATGAAATGAAAAAGCTTCATTTCATCTCCCCTACATTCACATTGACTGGGAGTTGGGAGTCGTTCACAGAACCGAGTCTTCCTATGAATCCTGAAAAACCACTAATGCTAAATAACGATGACGTATTGATGATGCTTTTGTTGAAGGCATCACGGCATAAGTTGATTCATGCCAGTCTGTTTGTTGTGATTTACCCTGAATCAAGATCTGTGTTGCCTTGAGTGCGTTGGCAGCAGACGAGGCACCAAGGAAACAAGAATTCTGGAATCAGGATTAGATGTGTTTTTTTCACTAGGCACATTTCTATCAACTATCATTGAGCATGGAAATCTTCTACGTACAGGTGTATCGGTAGCGAGTATTGTCAGAGCCACTTGACGGAGGCACAATGCATGGAAGACAGAGAGCAACCGCATCATCGTGTAGAGCAACGGCTTAGTGACAGTTGCCCATTTTCCCCATGAGCGCTTCTATTACGACTCTCAGTTTCCTGCCTGCCCATGCGCTTGTAAACGCTTCTAGAATAGGCTTCAATGTAAAAAACGGGGTCACAGTCTTTCAATCGTCCACCCGTGGTGCCAACCGATGACGTATTTCTAATGCGAAAAGGGTTTGTACAAAATGGACGAACATCTCTGTTGAATAAAGCATACTCATTCATTAATTATAGTAAAGAAAGCAAAACTTGAGAAAGCCTTCACTTTGTTAAACAGAGAAAGCATATGCCATCAAATAAAGCAGTATCATATTAACCACCCGTCGTGAAATCGTTACTCATGGAGCATAGTATGTGAATCATTCTCTTCGCTTCCGTCTTCTCCTCTTTTCCTCGTCACCATCTTCGTCTCCGCCACTCTCCACTCGCATATGTTGTCCTTGACTGTTAGGAGTTGCCCCGTGCGCCCCCTCGCTCAGTACCTCTCCGAGAACCTGCATCCAGCTTCCGCGACCATCCAAGGCATTCGTTACACCATGTGCCAGTCGCTCCACAGCCTCTTTATTAGTACCGCCTACATGCCACGCTCCCTGCACGTTGAAGTTGCCCGGCCGCTGCGATTGACGGCGAAACGCGCCAGATCGACTCGTCCACCTGTCGTGACTAACTGACCGTCGGTCTAGTCGCCGGCCTTCCGAATCAAACCGGTCAGGTAGGTTTTGAATTTCCTCCTCAGAGTCGGATTCATGACTACGGCCACGATCGCCCCCACGATCGTGCGTAGTGTCTGACGAGCGGCGCTGATGAGCAACACGTCCATCTTGATTACCTGGAGCAGAGTACTCTTCTTGGGTGAGAGCATCTCCATTGGCAGCCTCTTCTTGCTGTCTCCGGTGCATTTCCATCGTTTGCGTGCTTTTGGGGGACATTGGGATGAAAGTCACAGACTTTGGCGCTGCATGCGTCTTCTTTGGAGCAGTCTCGGACGACGAGTTGTTTATTGCGGCTGCTGAAAAGTCAGAATTCAAGTCATCTTTTCGTTGACGAGCTCAGCTGGAACCAACGCACCCTCTGAACTAGGTTTTGCATTGTCTGGATTTTGGGTATTGGTACTCACATATTCTGGTGGCGGATGAGGTCCAGCAGCTGGACCCGGTGGGGGACCACTTGGAGGCGGGCCAGGAGGACCCGGGGGCCCGAGTGGCCCAGGCGGATATCCAGTCATTGGGCCAGGAACGGGTGCCGGAGGTGGGCCGGGTGGTGGCGGAGGCGCGTAGCCCATGTAGTCCTGAGGTACGTAGGGCTGATACTCATGCGACTGAGCCGCGGCTGGATTATTGTACGGATTGTAGTCCCCGGGCCCTCCAGCAGCCGGAGTGGTGGGATACGGTGGATAATAGGCGCCCCCAGAGGCATGTAGAGGTGAGGAAGGTCTGTCATCACGGCGGTCATAACCGTCATCATAATCTGTAAACAGTTAGTAGATTCTGGCATAATGCGTGTTGCAGTGCTAACCATCTCGTGACCGCCGTCGCTCCCGACTCCTGCGCTCGCGCTTCTCGCGGTCTTTCTTGTCCTTGTACTCTTTGATGCCGAAAGCCGCTGCGCCGGCGGAAGGCATGTTTCGCAGGCGGCTTCGACTTCTTTTGCGTCCGTCATTGGAACCAGACGAAGAGTCGTCGCGCTCCCGTCGCGCGCTTCGGCGCCTCCTGCTGGGGCGATCGTCGTCGGACTCGTAGCCTCGTCGTGCAGGAGGGAGATCCCCTTCACCGTACTCAACTAAGCCTAGCTCTCTATCAGCCCCAGCATCGGAATGGAGGGATCGGGCCATCGACCTGCTGCGGCTATGACTTCTGGCCCGCCGGTCATAGTAACGATCATCGTCATCGCTTGGTGCGCGAGAACGGGAGCGCTCCCGCTCTTTCTTTTCTTGGTGATTTTTGTACAACTTGCCGGCGACGCCAGCGGCAGCGGCGGCACCAGCAATCTTGGCACCGGTGCGGAGACGGGACTTGCTACGGGAACGCTCGTCACCGCCACGAGACTTTGATCTGTTGTGCAAGTGGCGCAGGACGCCGGCGGTAGCTGCAGTGCCCAGGGCAGCCTTGGCGATTCTCGACATGCTTCTGCGGCGGCTCGGGGCACGGGTGGATCGCGAGCGGGATCGTGAGTCTTGGTAGCTGTCGGATGCGTAGCCGCGGGTACGACTGCGACCTCGGTGTGCTTCTTCCTTTTCAACCTTGTTGGCTTGGAAGTACTTGGCAGCGCCGGCAGCCGCAAGAGCGACGGCAGCAATGCCAAAACCGGTCTTGATTCGGGAATGATGATTGGGAGACTCATCGCGGTTACCCCAGCGGTCTTCATAGGCACTGTGAGCTCTCTTGAGTGCTTCGGTACCGAGGGCGCCGAGGGCAGCGCCGGCCAGAACTTTGCGGCCTCGGTTCTCGGGAAGATCCCCATACTCGTCGCGTTTACTCTGGAGCAAAGCAGTGACACCAGCACCGGCGAGAGCCCCTTCGGCGAGGTGAAGTTTGTGATGGTCAGAGCTCTTGCTGCGACTGCGAGAGCGGCTTCGGCTTGGGCGACGACGAGAGCGGGATCTGCGACGGCGACCGTTGGAGACGTAATAGTCTTCATCCTCACTATAGTACTCCTCCCGACGACGGTCGTCATATCTGGCCATGGCCCAGTCGCGGTCACGAGCATAGGGATCTCGACGGTAGTAAGGGTCTCGAGGATCGCCGCGATATGGCGCAACGGGGCCAGGACCGAACTCGCGGCGTTCGTGTCTGTAATAGTAGTCATCTTCGTAAGGGCCACGACGGACGAATTCGCGGTCGACATCACGCTCTCTAGAGAGGATCATGGGGCCAGATTCAACGCGTTCGTGACGGCCGTAAAAGGGAGGCTGCGATGCAGGAGGATCCTGGACAGGTGGCGGCTGGCGAGCGGGAGGTGGTGCTGGCACAACTGGAGCGTAATACTCGGTCTCCTTGCGATATCGTTCGATATCATGGCCGCGGGAGTCTTCAAAGGACTCATCGACCCGTCTCTCGACACGGATATCATCGTGGCGGGAGCGACGGTCCCAGTCACGTTCAGGTTCCATGACGGCGCGATTGCGCTCTGCGGGGTCAAAGCTGGATCGAGGACGGTCGACAAGGTCGTTGGATACTCGACGAGTGCCTGAGAAGCGAGAGCGGGTATCGTCTTCGACTTCTATACGGTCGAAACGGTCGCCGTTTTTGGAGGGGCCAACTTTGTAGCGCGTAACAGTGGTACTGCTTCGTACGGGTCCGCGGTCGTCATCTTCCTCCTCTCGGTAGGTTCGGGTCGACCTATAAACGTCGCCCATGGTTTCGGTGTAATGGTGTGTGGTCGGCAACGGCGAAAAATTGCAAGTTTCTGTGCGCTTTTGTGTATGTGTGTGTGTGTGCGTGCGTATGCCAAGTTTCGAATGTCTTGCTATGTGCGATAAGAATGACGAAATGAAGAAGAATCCAGGACAGTAAAAAGTGAGAGGCCAGAGGGATAATAAGAGTGGCTGGGCTGGCAAGTTTGATGGGTGGGTGGAAACAACAGGCTTGGGCGCGGGGCTCCTATTTGCTGCAATAGAACAGGTGAGCAGCCGGCACGGGCGTGGATGCTGATGGAGGCTGATGGAGGTTGCTGGACGGTTGCGGATGGGATGGAGGGGCCTGACCGAACTAGACTACTCGGTAGCTGAGAGCATGACAAGCGGCGTGATGCACGAGGTGAAACAGGCTGGATGTGTGAAGCTTTCCAGTGGTGTGGTGTCATTGCGGCCATGGCAGCTAGGCACTCTCAACGGTCCATCTGGCGCGGGGCCAAGTCATTCAGGGAGAAGTCGAGGACGTCTTTGGTATTCGGACTGAGGGCGTCGATCACGAGGCCAGTGGTTAGATGTTCATGTACGAATAGACAGCAAGGTAGGGCCAACGGGCTCCCCGTTGCTGTGCGTCATGCTGTGCGGGGCGGCTTGATGGGCAATTCAGGCTTTTGAATTTTATCTGTATCGGGGCTTGCTTGGCTGGCCGCCTTTGTTGCCTTTGTTGCTTCTTTGCCCCTCTTCTCTTACTTTGGGCGGGCCGAAGCGGAACCGCCCACGCCTCCTCCCCCACCACCGCTGGTATCAACAGTGAGGGCTCAGCGCATTTAGAAGCAGATTTTCTGCACATTTGTTGGAGTGTTTTCTTGGATAAAAAAAAGGAAAAAAAAAAAAAAAGAAACGTATGTGCAAGTGCAGTAGCAGCTTAGGGTGTCACAGCTGCCGCTGCCGCCCGCGGGCTGAACAAGCAGCTTGCGCCATTAGGTACTGCCGCATGCCGCGCTGGCATGTGTGACGTCGGAGCGACCCAAGCGGTACGTACCGCATGTCGAGCGAGATGTTGAAAGGTTTGATTGACCGTGGTAGGCATAAAATGCGGCATCCGGCATGAGATGGTTGAAAAGTGAAGATGAGACTAATAAAGTGGAATCAAGTCTAAATCCAAGCCAGTCAACGAACTCTTTTACTTGGACAAACATAATCCGTATGCTGGACAGCCCAGGCTATTTGTTTTAACTAGGTACCTTACCTAGGCAGGTAGCGTCTCACAGCGCTGTTGGCTGTTGGGCATCGAGATTCAGCGGCTGACTGTGCTGAACCACAGTGCTGGGCGCCTCTTTTAGCCACAGTGGGCGCAGCAGCCCCAAACAGCATCTCAGCCTGCGCAGCCTGGCTTGAGCAGAATTGCTTGAGCAAAAAGAAGAAAATTGTTTGCACAGAAATAAATCTGTTCAATGGGCACCGCGCGAGTCAGCTTTTTCAGTTTCCGTCCAGGTAGTGACAAGTGCGTCTCGCAATGACTTGCGACGGCTTGTCATTTTGATGCCATGTAGTGACCTGTTCCACCAAGTCCTGTCACACCAAAATTACACCAGCAGGTACCTGGAACCGCGCTTGTCTCAATCGGGCTAAAGGCCAGGGACCGCTGCGTGTCAAAGGTGTCCTCTACCGGGAGCTCAAGGGCCGACCGATCTGATATCTCGTCTTTCTCTCCACGACCACGCTTCGCATTTCTATTGCTTCGATCCCCCCCCAAGCCATCCGATTGGCTCCGACACTGGATTACGAACGGCATAGTTACGATCAGCTCTCGGCTAAACGACTCCCCACGCATTGGTTATGAATTAGCCTGCTACCTAGGTGTCGCATCTTGCATCCTCCTTCTACCACGCACCTCGAAACTCCCATCGCTCTCCCACGCGCTTCTGGCCTGCAGAGCCAGCGGATCCCCAGCCATGAACGGTTTCGAAAAGCATGGTTTCAACGAAGACAACTTTGGAGCCAAGGGCAGCGTCGTCAGCGCCTTTGATGCCTTTCGTACGGCCTGCCGCCTGCACTGTACTATTATACCATAACACATCAGTTTGCTAACGAATGCGCGCGCAGCCAAATCCAAGCCCGAATACGTAACCCGCACCGCCGGCGGCGGCAAATGGACCGTCGCAATGATCTTCATCTCCCTTGTCCTCATGGGCTCCGAGGTGGCCCGCTGGTGGCGCGGCGAACAGACGCACAACTTTGCCGTCGAAAAGGGAATCTCGCACGAGATGCAAATCAACCTCGACATTGTCGTCAACATGCTCTGCGCCGACCTCCACATCAACGTCCAAGACGCCTCGGGTGACCGAATCCTCGCCTCCGCCATGCTGCACCGCGATCCGACCAAGTGGTCCCAGTGGGTGGACAATGGCGTCCACAAGCTCGGCCACGATGCCAACGGCCGCGTCAACACGGGCGAGGGCTGGACGAGCCTCGCCAACAACGACGAGGGCTTTGGCGAGGAGCACGTTCATGACATTGTCGCTCTCGGAAAGAAGCGCGCCAAATGGAGCAAGACTCCGCGCTTCTGGGGCACAGCTGACAGCTGTCGCATCTACGGCTCCCTTGACCTCAACAAGGTTCAGGGCGACTTCCACATCACCGCCAGAGGACACGGCTACATGGAATTTGGCCAGCATCTGGACCACGATAGTACGTAAACTCCAACCTCGCTTTTCTTTACCGGGACTAATATTTGGCACAGAGTTCAACTTTTCCCACGTCATCTCCGAGCTCTCCTACGGCGCCTTTTATCCCTCCCTCGTTAACCCCCTCGACCGCACCGTCAACGTCGCCGCCGCCCACTTTCACAAGTTCCAGTACTACCTCTCCGTCGTCCCCACCGTCTACAGCGTCGGCCGCAGCACAATCCAGACCAACCAGTACGCCGTCACCGAGCAGAGCAAGGAAATTGACGAGCACTCGGCCGTGCCCGGCATCTTTGTCAAGTACGACATTGAGCCCATCCTGCTTGCCGTCCACGAGTCCCGCGACAGCTTCATCGTTTTCCTCCTCAAGCTCATCAACGTCGTCAGCGGTGTGCTCGTTGCCGGCCACTGGGGCTATACCCTCTCCGAGTGGTTCGTCGAGGTCATTGGCAAGAGGCGCCGCACCAGTGGCGGCGAGGGTGTCCTCGGCACAAAGGGCGGCTACGATGTCTAGGGATGGTGGTTGGATTGGGATGGAATAAATAAGAGCAAAATCGATTTTTTTTCAGGGCAAATTATCAACTGGCGTTTTTGGTGTGGCGCTGCATAAACACATTTGGCTGATGTGGCAGAGGGTGGACTTGTACATACTACGATGCATGTTTTTAATTACGTAGGCAATACTGGAATGGGATTTTATGTTAAGAGATGACGCGCCTATCTAATGGTGAAAGCTGTACCAACTGCAAAAGTAACATCAAGTACAGAGCCCATGCGTACCAAAGCGACAACGCAAGTTGACTTAACAATCATCGTGCTGAGTAGAGAGACCATAGTATATATCATATCGCGTCTAAACGCCAACTCTCACATGACAACATCTTACGCCGGCGTCTTCTTCACCCCCATAATCACGTCCTGCTTATCCTTGACCTCCCCTGCCAGCGTCGCATCCACCGCCGAATCATCCACGTCCAGCACGCTTCCTTTCACTTTCCTCTCGCCGGCGCCGCCGCCGCCGCCTTGCTCATCCTCAATCGCATCCGAGTCGTCCACATAAGGATTCGGCCGCACCACGCCGAGCGTCACTGTCGCGGCGTCCGAGGCGGCGCCGGCGGCAGCTGCCTTGTGGTACACGCGGAGGCCGACGACGGCGACGGCGTTCCACGGGTCCTTGGCAAAGAGGCCGTTTTCTTCGTCGCTGTCGGCCTCTTCTGCGGAGCTTTCAAATAATTTCGGATCGTCACGCCGCATAGCGTCGATTTGGATGTCGAATTCGCCATCGGAGTAGTCCGTAAAGGAGGCTAGACTCTCGTCGTTCGAGTCAGATTCAGACGCTTCAAAATCCTCTTGTTCTCCAACCTGATCTGCTCCCTTTGGTTTTGCCTCCTTATTTTCATCGGTATTCTGATTCCCAGTCGTTTTCTGGGACTCTGTGTGAGGCTTCTCACTAGTTGGTGCCTTGGACTCGGTTGTAGCCTCATCCTTGGCCCCAGCCTTGCTCTCATTCTTCACTCCGGGGCTTCCCGATTCAGCTTTCACATCTTCAGCCTCCTTTGGCTTCGCGGGCTCAGCACCACTCGACACAGAAGTCTCGTCCTTTCGCCCATCTTCATTAGCCTCGGTCTTCTTCTCTGTCAGCTCCTTGGCAGCTGCCTCCTTCGCTGCCTCCTTTGCTGCCTTTCTCTCCTTGCTAGCCTTGGCCTTTTCCGCCTTCTTCGTCTTCAATTTTTCCCTCTTCTTGGCCGCCCGGGCCTGAGCTCTCTCGTGCTGCTTCTTCTTCTGATAATACGCATCCTTGTTCTTTTTTCGCAACTCCTCTTTAACAGCAGCGCGCTTCTTTTGCATTCGCTTCTCCTCATACGCCTCGCGTATCTTCTTCTCCTCTTTAGTCTCGACAATACGGCCCCGGCTGTGCGCCAAGTCGTACGACTTGCCGATACGGCTGACTTTGTCGCGCTTCGTCTTGGCCCACTTGCGAATGGTTGCCTGAACTGGAAGCTTATCATCGTTCCGCCACGCCTTGATCTTGACGTACACCTCGTATGCGCCGGCATCGAGCTCCAGCTCCACGTTGACCGAGCGAAGGAAGCGGAGGTCTGGCTCGCTGCGTACAAGGTAGCCTTCATAGCCAGCTTTGTGCACGCGAAAGGAAAGCTGGAACGTGTACTGGCCCTCGAGACCTCGAAAGTAACGGTCGTTGAGCTGTGATAAAACAATCACGACTGGCCCTGACTGCGTTGTGGTAAAGGTAAAGTACGTCTCGTTGTACTCTTCAACCCAAGGAACGTGCAGAGTCGTCCAGATCTGGGAGACATTCCATTCAGGGCCAAACAGACGGACGCGCTCAAAGATCTGGAAGTGACGCAGCAGATCTTCATAACAGATCCAAAACTCACCATCCTCGCCAAACTTGTGACCAAGCTTCCGCATCCATTCGGGGCTCCATTCCTTGGAGCCGTCCGCCCAAGCACCTCTCCACTCGCCCTTGCCCCAAGGGTTACGCAGCAAGATGAGGCGCTTGTCTTCAATCTCCACGACTCGCTGAATGGAGTATGCATGTCCCTCGATGATACCCTTTTGATCTCCGAATCCACTGCCAAAGACACCAGTCATGCAGCCAAAAAGAAACTCGTTGTTTGCTTGCAGCAGCTGTTTCCAAAAGTGCTCCTACGCCATGTTAGCTCCGCTGGAAATCCAAAGGGACCGAGTAGGACCTGCCTTGTCAAGAATATCGGTGGCGAAGATATATGATGCAACACCGCCTGTGAGATCCTCGATGCCTTCGCCAGTCCATCCACCTTCGATAGCAGCATAGTCGCCGTGGGCTTTCGCGTAACACTTTTCCAGTAGTGGCAGCCACGTCTCTTGCGGATGACCACACTTCGCAAAGTACAGCGAGTTACTGTTGGTTTGGAACATCCATTTGTAGGCTTCTTGCGGGTTTCTGTATTCCAGCTCATCAAATGTGAGGCGATCCATCTGAAAATCGTCGTAGTTTGCTTTGGTCAAGTAAAGCTACAAGACACATTAGCACACAAAAATATCCGTCAACGTATCCCGTGCTACTCACGAAATCGTCAATAATCTCCGAAATCCATTCCCCGTCTCGATAAAAGACGAAGCCGTACACGCCGATATCCTGGTCATGCGCCACGCAAAGCTTCTCAATCAGCCCCTTCTTGAAGCTCAGCGCGCACAGCGCCGCCATGAGCCAGCAGTCGCCGTCACGTCCTTGCTTGACATCGTCGGCCGTCGGGCCCTTGATGTAGAATTGCGGGCGGGTGAAGATCTCCGTGACGCGCTTAGCGCTTCGGGGACTGAATTGATGCCCGGGCGGGCCTGACTGCGCCTCGTCCTCGTCCTCGTCCTTCGACTCTTCGTCTGTCTCGGGTTCCGTCGCCGCATTATCCAGCGACTCGAGGCAGTCGCGCTGACCGAACTTTAGGTCAAACTCAATATTAAAGTGCGGATCGCGGTACTTGAGGTTCACGCGACGGCAATCCTGGACGATTTTGGCCACCTTTGCCCGGCAGTTGGCGGCGGCGGCTTCGTAGGATGCCTCGGCGTTCTGTGTAGGGCTTGGCGCTGGCGTGGATGCCTGTTTGCTCTTCCCGCACTTCCCGCTTGGAATTACGGTGATTGCTGTATCAGTCAGCCTTTCTATTGTCCAGTATCGAGCGGAAATGTTCTTCTTTACCTTTGCCGGGAGCTTTCGTATGGAAGCTCTTCCAGAACATGTCAACCGCACGTTGCGGCGTCTTTCCTGTCTTTCCTTCCATTGTTAGTACCTCATGTGACAGCGTACGTAGGCATGTAAATTGCTGATATTCATGAGAATAAAGAACGGAGGAAGCAGGAGAAGCAGGCTTCGTTAGCCTTATTATGAACAAGCCTGCGTTCGATACATTTCGACCGCCCTCTTGTCTTGTCGAGACAAACTCGTCGCATGATCAGTCGCGCGGGGCTGTCTACTGGGAAGACAGGGCTCTAATTAGCTCTGGATGTACAATTTGGGACACAAAATGCGAAAAGGCCCTGTCGATATGCCCCGCCGAGCGGCCTTTCTTGACGCAGGGGCTTCGTTTACTTGCTGATGAGACGAGGATCACAAGGCTTCGCGACGCCCCGTTCCGCACTGTAACCCCACTTCCTCAGCCGCTGCTGCTGAGACAAAGGCAGCGTGGCAGCCTCATGAGAGGTAGTGCTTATCATTGACACATCAGTACGCTTGGCTTTTGGACGCCTTCCCAGCTGCCGCAAGCCTTATTTACCGCAAGTATTGTCCAGGAAAGGTGCTGTGTCAGCCCATGCATTGTTCATGCATGTCTGCTCAAGGGGCTCAGTACGGATATATTAATCACCGAGCCACGTTACGTCGAACAGCAGCCACTGGCATCAATGCCTGTGCGTTGCAATGATTATCCGCTCCATCATCACACACCAACAGGTTCGTCGAGGACAATGCGATACCCGCAGCACCCTTCTCAATAAAGGGCTTGGCGACACCTATAACGGTGGCAAAGCCGGCACGGCCGGTGTCGGCATCAGCACAAAAGATGCTGCGATCGATCGTCGATGTCCGAAGCTCCGACAGCCTTACAGGCGCCCACAGTTGCGAAATGCATCACTGCTAGTCATGCGATCTTCTTAGTGTGAGAATGCGGGCTGGCATCGTCACCGCCAACTTCAAATTAGATTGTCTTTGTGGCGAAGCAAACAAAAGTCGAGGGCATCATGAGCCGGGCAAGACACAAGCAATCAGCCACAGTGAGGGACCTGGATGAATGTGATGATGCTAGGAGACAGAGAAGCTATCTAGAGGTAGCTAACGATGATTGCAATGGTACGGAGTACAGCTCATTGAGTTCATGTTCTTCAGACTTTTCCATCCTTTTCTGTCCCACACTTTTTGCGCCCTCCCAACAAGGGCTCAGCAGCTCGACTTTTTGTTCAATAGTGGCAAAGGAGCTATGGAAGTGTGGATCAATGAATGACCAGTATATCATCGAGCTTGGCATTGCGCCTCCAAGCAAGGCGCACCCAGAACAGCCCACAAAGTCTTGCAAGGTCTCATTTCGGATCTTCGCCGCCTCGCGGCCCTTCAGCGCTTCGATGAAGATTTTGAACCTTGGCGTGTGGTGATTAAAGGATTTGGTCTGTCTTTACATCTTCTTTGGACTTCTGGACTTCTCATCCGATTGAGAACAAAGCGTGTCAAAGTCAAAACGTTTAACTGTTTAATATTCGAGCAATCGGGGTCACTATGTCGCCTACCGTTATATGCAAGTACGTTCCTCCCTGAATTGTTTTCCGGCCGCCTCTTTCCGGTATCCTAGATCAACAAAATGGGAAAATATCTCCAAGAGAACGTTATGAGAATATAGGAAGTTCTTGGAGGGAAAGGGAGAGAACTTTGCACCAAGTAAGTCTTTACGACATTTAAACACTACAGCTCCATGCCAATAACGCTTCCGACGAGCCTTTGTGTGGCAATAGTTGTAGAATCGAACTGCTTACTTAGAGCCTCCAGCCGGTTCCTTCTCGTTGCCCATTTCTCGTCATTAGACCAACTCTCCATACGCACGGAGCGGTCGGCACAGAATGTTGTGATGTCATCAACATTTGCGCACTGGCCAGTCTGTGCACAATCCTGTGCTACGAATTGAATCCATTTATCCTGCATTTCATTGCTGAGCTCAATGTTGGACTTTTGGTATTCAATACTTTTCATGTCCACTGGGAGTTTGCCAACATCAGCTTCCATATGGGCTTGGTCCGGGTCGGCATAGCCTTGCAGGATTCCCTGGTCAGTCTTCTCCAGCGCATGGTGAAAATTGCCAAAGGCGTAGATCAATTCGACGCCATGATGCGCAGTTCCTCGCAGAGGTCCTAGAAAGGGATTACCAAATTCATAATGGTGGTACTGGAGACCGAGTTGTTTGGGATCCTGGCCGTGGAGCAATGCTTGCTGCTCACGATGGGTCTTGAAGAATTTGTACCCACGGTATACTTTGTGCATCAATGTGCTGTCGCATACAAATTGAGAGAACTTCTCAGTGAATTCTTCATCGGGCAGTGTAGAAGAAATGCCATACGTCTGAAGAATCTCCTCGGCTGCTGCCTCTGAGGGGTAACTCGAGGTGAGAAGGGAGCGAAATTTGGCGAAGTCTTCATTGGCGATGAGAGCAAAATCTTTGAATTCGTCGTCAGCTGCACTTATCAAGAGTTGAACCTTGTCGTCAGACTCCCGGAGTTCACCGCTCGTTTCCCCAAGGTGTATGGAAACGCCGCAACCCACGTCGCTTTGGCGAATGGTCCACTCATCGACAATCAATGTAAACAGTGCCCAATGAAGCTCTGCAACGCATCCAAGTATATTCTTTGTTGGTAACCTTCTCAGAAAATCTAGACGGACAGCAGGACTATCGGCCTCGACTGACCAAAATCGGCAGAGGTTCGTCCAACGCCGGTCAGCCTTCTCCAGAGATGTTAGATCAAGGCCACCGACAGGGCCAGAGAGCACACCAGCCTTTCGAAAAAGCGTCCTCTTCGTGCCTAACTCAGCCTCGATGAGATGAAGATGGCATGATATTCCGCCAGCAGAGTGGCCCATGATTGTGATTTTGGCGTTGTCTCCCCCAAATGCAGCAATGTTGTGCTTCACCCACATGAAAGCAAGTTTCTGGTCGTAGAGCCCAAAGTTTAAACCCCTGATAGGGGCATCACTGCTTTGCGACGCAATTATATCGGATGAGCCACAGAAACCAAATATGCCGAGACGATAATTGATAGACACGGCGATGAAAGGCGTTTTGTTACGGAGGGAGCGAAGTACAAGTCGAGCAGGATCTGCACGCCAACTCGTCATTAGCGGACGCCTTATGCAAACCAAGACGCAGCAAAATCTCAACACATACCCCATACTGGATCGGTTCCCGCGCCGTCTTTGAAACCACCACCATGGATCCAAATGAGCACAGGCAGCTGGGTCGTCTCTGCATCAATGCTGTGCATTGCAAGTGCTGCCGTGCTCGGGCGCACAACGAAGAGGTTCAAGCATTCAAACTCATCCTGGCCAACGTCTGGAAACGGCAAATATGACTGAAACAATCGTGTGTCACCCTCGGGCGCCGGACATCGGGGACTGCGGATGGTCAATCCTCTGGTGTTGCAGGAGGAGTTCTCCTTGTAGGGTGAGGGCTTACCCATTCTCCGTAGCGTCAAAAATATCACTCGGTAATCGATCTCGAAGACGAGCATGCTCCCATCTTCGCGATACCTGGGCATACGGTATACCACGAAACTCGTCAATCTCCTCTGAGATTACTGATCTCTTGCCGATCACCGTTTGGATGTGTCCCGATGGCGTGGGCAAGTGTACAATGGGAGCCCGAGTTGGCTGATCTGATACCATGATACTGTAGCAATACCAACTGTTATTTGCAGCGCAAAATAATAGGCTGAAGAGCAAGCAGAGGGTTACTTAGTATAAGCAGTTCCTGATATTTCGGCAAGACAGTCATACGCCGAAAGTTTATCCACCTCGAACATTTCCGCCTAGTTACAGATCGATCAGCCCCGCCTTGGGAAGCTCCCATGAACTAGCATTGACTCCAAAACTAATAGACATGAGCGCCTTGATCAAGATCTTCAGCAACGTGGCATATTCGACCTGGTACAGACGCAAGGTTGTTGAATACATTCATCGGCAATGCTAAGCTCTCGCCGCCGAGCAGTGGATAGCGCCGAGAGTAGGAACACGGGTGCCTCACGATTCAGAATGGTGCAACGCGTTTACGAGTGCTGCTTTCGAAGACAAGAGACTGGTTGCTTTCGGGTCGACAGGAACCTGCCATGACGTACGCTACCAAAGCCCTGAGGCGCGGCGGCTGTCCTGGTGCGTTTTTCTGTTTCCCCGTTCAACTCGACAGGAAACAGCAACAAACATGGGCTTTGAAGGCCCAACATGCCATGTGCAAGACAAAGTCTACAGAAATGCACACAAGGCACGAGGAAATGTAGATCTCAGAATGAAACGGCACGCAGACGGGAAAGAAACCGAATGCCGAGATTAACGAAAGGACCTTTCTTCTTCTCCGAACAACCCAACGAGTCCAAAGACCCTGCCGACATGTCGCTATTCACCCAATGTGTCGAGAATCGCTCGCGGCGGGAGTTCGTGGCTATCTGGAGAAGAAAAAAGAGGGAAGAAGAAGAGAAGCGCAAAAAAAAAAAGAAGCTCTCTGATCTTGGCTTAGCTGCCCGGTGGGTCTAGCCCAGATGGGGGGTGCGCACTGCACGTGATGGATTTAAATCACGTGCAGCAGCTTGCGAATTCATCGTGCTTGATTGGCGCAGCTGAACCGAGGATCCGACCCAGCCCGTGTACCGGAAGAGTGAAGCCAGGACCCGTCACTCAAGTTTCCCTTTCTAATACCGAATCGAAAAAAACCCCAGACACACGCCACCGGGGGGGTTCTGCCAGACTTTGACGACATCACCGATCGAATTTCTTCTCTCGAGACACGATTTACCTTTTGTCCGCGTCGATATCCCGCCAAAATGATTGCCCAACGTGTCGGCGTCGCTGCCATGCGCAGAAGTAAGCCCCATCTCCGAATATACCCTCACATGCTTCGGCGAGCGTATGGCGCTGTCTGCGCTCCCGGCTGGCGGTTTTTCAATCGGTTACCGCATCATCTTGAGGATATAATCTAACGTGGCTCTGCTCCTTTTTAGCCGTTTTCAGCCAAAACATGCCCCGTCTGGCCATGGCTGCGCGCATTTCTACTACGCAAGCTCGGTAAGCTCAATTGCGACACCCCCGGCATGACAGCAAGCCTCAAACTCGAATCTTCAAAGAATTTCATGCGCTTAACAAATATCGCCGCGATACTAACACATTTTACCTTGCCTTTTCAGTCCCATCGAGACGACCCGTCTATCACCCCCCGAGGGCGATAGCATCCTCGCCAAACAGCGTCTGCAGCGTCCCATCTCTCCTCATCTCGGCATCTACAAGCGCTCGCAAACCTGGTTTTCCGCCTCGGCCTGGACCCGCATCACCGGCTGCACGCTCTCGGGCACCGCCTACGCCTACTTCCTCACTTACCTCATCGCGCCCCTCGCCGGCTTCCACGTCGAGTCCCAGAGCCTAGTCGCCGGCTTCGCCGCCCTGCCGTTTGCCGTACAGGGCCTCGTTAAGCTCGGCCTCGGCTTCCCCTTTGTCTTCCACTTCATCAACGGCATGCGCCATCTGAGCTACGACCTGCTTAAGGGCTTCGCTAAGAAGCAAATCCGTACCAGCGAGCGCACCATTCTCGGCGTCAGCCTGCTGACCACTCTCTACCTCGCCTTTGGCCTGTAACTGACTGGCCTATTTCAGCTAAATAAAGGGTCAAATACCGGGGTTGTTTATTTGTATCGAATATTCGCATCGATGTGGCCACAGAGACGATTGGGGGGGCGGCAGGGCGTGGTTTGCGCGCCACTTGTGTAACTAACTACGGATATCATCGAGCGGACTATCTGGGGGGTATAGATGTATAACGGCGTGGTCTATTGGCCAAATGTCAACTTGTTTAGAGAAGACGTGCACATTATTGCACATTTCCTTTGTCAGCTTCGTTAGCACACACTAAAAAGAGAAAAAGTGTTCAACGACATATGCGACAGTGTGAATTGCAAAGTCCTGGCCTCATGTTTCTTTTTGCACCATTCGGGAAAAAGAAATAGCATCGCGCCGCCGCGGCTTTTCTTTTGGCTTTATTGCCTAACTGTCTAGCCACGCCAAGAATTGATGGTATACATACAAACCTGATGCCCATAAAACGCCTCATTTCGCCTTGCCCAATACCCAAAGTCATAAAGTGTTTTACTCAAACGAGCGTGCTTCGAGGACAGTCTGGATCAGTCTAGTGTTGTTCGACGACGCAATCCTGTTGCCGACAATGGGGCCAATAAACTCATTTAGCTCGCTGAGCTGGGCGGGCGTAACGGATCCAGCACCATTGAGCACGTGAGCATCGGCGTGCGTGACCAGCGAGGCAACAGCTTGTACCAGACCTTGTACGAGCATTTCGTACTCGATGGATCCTTCCGACTTTTCCTTGAGAGGCTGCAGGATGCCCGAGTCGAAGCTCTTGAGGTTGCGGAGAATCAAAAGGCGGACGGCCTCGGGTCCACCAGCCTCGAGGATGCCATTGACGGCACCATAGAGCACCGCGGGTGGCTTCGTTGGGTCCAGGAAATAGCGCAGGCAAGTACGAGTAAGCTTTGGTCGGAGTAGCGCGTTGGAAGCCGAGTATTTGTGTGCCATGCGGCCGATGAGCGATGCGGCAAGCTGTCTCAGCTCGTACTGCTCCTTCATTGCATCGACGCCGTCGTCGCTGCCCAGCTTTCGCGCCATCAAGCACGTCAGCACCGGGGCAGACAGGGAAGAAGCATAAGGATCCAGAAACAGCGTCTTGTTCTCAATAAGAGCATTCGTCAGTTCCATCATTTGCTTCAATGTAAAGGTGTCGTCGAGCTGGTGTGTCACGCGGTCCATGATGAAGTTTATGAAGTAGGGCGCAAGCTGATGCAGGCCAGGGTCGTCTCTGACAGAGCCGAGGGCGGCTTGGCGCAGACGAACAACTTCTTCATCTGGGGTCTCGTCGAGGATGGCGGCTTGGATCTTGTCAAAGTACAGAATCAGCTCCTTGCTGACAATGTGCTTGACGGATGGGTTGCTGGGCGAGCTGTCGTTGCCGGCCAGGGCAGAGAGCGCAGGGTTTGCGCCGGTTCCCTTGGGTAGCAAGTCTTGGGATCTCGACTCGGCCGTCGTGGGGTTCTGGGGGATGGAGGGCTGGACGCCCTCGATGGCGAGCCAGTGTGCTGCCAGAGATTAGCATAGTCGCGATTCAGGCATCTCGCCATAAAGTACCTGTAAAGTTCATGTCGCGCGGCACCTTAGGCAGCGGGGCATTGATGAGCTTCTCAAACTCTACCTCCTCGTCGTCAATGTAAAACAGCGGCTGGCCGGGCCCCAGACTGGCCTCGCCGAATCGCAGCGGCCTCGTTGAGTCGTATCCATAAAGCGGCTCAGCGTCAAGTACGCGCAAGGCGAGAGAAACATCGTTGACGGTAAGCGTCGTGCGACGCGCCGCGCGCATCAGGCGCAGACTCTCAATGATGACTTGGCCGACGCGGTACTCTACATCCTGGGCGAGCGCCTTGGTCGCCTCCTCGTTGAGCGCGCCGATACCGACCGACTCGGCTACATCCTTTATATTCTCGGCATTCCACAAAAGTTTGGGCACTTCCGAAGCCATGGTGTCGGAAGGTCTCGGTCGCTGCGTGCCAGCGAACGCGGTCGAATGGTGATGAGTGGAAATAAGGTACGTTCTACGGCGCAGCACAGGCGACATGAACCAGCCAGAAATGGGTGGTCCGTGCGTAAGCGACTAGCCAGGTGCCGGGTAACTCAGCTTCAGCGAAGATGATGGCCTGTATTGATTTTGCGCAAACCTCTACAGAACTCGGGGGATAAACGATACATCTTATCCATCAATTGTGGCGAAAGGGATGGATTTGACAGAAAGCGGCATTGCGATGTACCCTTTGCGATGTCGTAGCAAGATTGTTGCGGTTTTTGGGGACAAAATAGGAATTTAAGAGCAAGAGCTGAAAATCGCCAGCAATGAAGATAATCTTGACGACAACAATACAGGCGACAATACAAGCAACAAAACAGGCAACAATTAAGGAAAAAACCAAGGTACTGAAGTTTAGACCCGAAAGGTCAAATCAAACACCCATTCTCCCCCTTTAGAAACGCCATCGGTTCACCCAACTCACTCAGGCTTTAGGATGTTCCGACAAAGTTCTTGGCATTATATTACATTGTAAACGGCTGGCTCTGGCTGCGTGCCGTTGCGACGGCTATGCGGCACCATCTATGCAGCATCCTGTCACTCGGCAGGCCGGCGTCTGAATGCCGCGTTCGACAGTTCATCTCATATTTCTGTAATAACAGCTACCTCCCATTTTCTGGCCACGCTAGAACAAGGTGCCTCTAATGCATCCACACTTCCGTTTGGCGCGGGGTAGCACGTTGACTGCCATTACACACAATAAAAGCAATTCTTATTACCCATTGCAGCTATTCTGACGTCAACCAAAGCTCATGTTTAATAGCTTATGACCACATATGTTGTGGAGCACATTAACGGAAAGGATTAGGCCGTTGTCTCGGTAGTGGAAGGTTGAGGAATTCCGCGCAATGTAATAAATAAACACGAATCTGCCCAAAGCCTTTCAACTAATAGCCACTGATCAATTATTACATCGTTTCAATTGAAGGCAGACTTTTCGCAAAATTATCATGGCTCCCAAGATCCTCGTCATCTTGACCAGTGCTGACAAGATTGTCAAGCTTGACAAGCCTACTGGCTGGTACCTGGTAAGATCAGCTCTATCAAACAAAGCAGACAACAAATACCGAGAAATTGGAAAGCTTTGTGGTCTGATTTGATAAATCAAAAATTTTCCTAGCCCGAGCTTGCTCATCCCTACGATGTTCTTGCGCCCAAGGCCGAGCTTGTCCTTGCCTCCCCCAAGGGCGGGGTAGCTCCCCTGGACCCCAGCTCTGTCGAAGCCTTTAAAAACGACGAGTCCTCCAAGAAATTTCTCGACAAGAAGCTATGGGAGAAGACGGCGCCGCTCAAGGACTTTGTCGGCCGCTCGAGCGAGTTTGCCGCCCTCTTCTACCCCGGCGGCCACGGGCCCATGTACGACCTCGTCGATGACCAGGATTCAATCGCGCTCATTCAAGAGTTTTACAAGGCTGGAAAGCCCGTGGCCGCCGTCTGTCACGGCCCCATCGTCTTGGCCAATGTCAAAATCAACGGCAAGCCGCTCGTCGAGGGCCGCTCGGTGACGGGCTTCACCAATGAAGAGGAATCACAAGCTGGCCTCACCGAAGCCATGCCCTTCCTACTCGAAGACCGCCTCAAGGCTGTCGGCGCCAAATGGACACAGGCTGACAAGCCCTGGGGCGAAAAGGTCGTCGTTGATGGCCAGATCATCACCGGCCAGAACCCTGCTTCTGCTCATGCTATTGGTGTTGCAATTTCCAAGGCGATTGGTAGGTCACAACTTTCTCAGGCTACGCAAGAAATTGTTACTAATCGATATGTAGGTGTTTGATCTTGTAGTTTGATGGATGAATGCGAAAATCTCGTACCTACGGAATCTTGGTCAAAATGAAGAATAAAGTGAGGAGGTTGTGGGCAACTCGTGGTATGTTTGGAGACGAAGCTGTAACGGGCGTGTGGAGAACTTGAAGAGTTGCGTATAAATAGGATTCTTTGGGGTTTCAACGACCTTTTATTAGAGCAGCAAGATCCACTTGATAAAGCACGTCGTATCGTGTCGCTTCGCTTGTTCGACTCGTTCTGTGACTTTTTTTTTTTTTTTTTCCTAAGGGTCTGGTAATCAGCCGCCAGAGTACAGCTCAGCGAGCTGCTTGGCGGCGCCTCACAGTGCAGTAGTCAACTTTGCACTTTCACTTCCCACTTCCGTAGTTATGTTTAGTCTTTAGACAAGAAGTCTTGTACAACCAATTATTGAGCGGCCTCAATTCAATAATGTCAAAACTAATGCCAAGAAAAGAGATTGGCCATCCGATGCATGGCCGGGATGACCTTGGATCTCGATTGTCACATGAACTTTGCCCTGGCGCACCCTCGTTATATCGCGCCTCGACAGATTACGGATACCATGATAACGCTATACACGCCGACCGACCACTGTCGTAGGCCGACTGCCGACCGCTATTGCGGGGGCGGGGGCGACCATTGAGACCAATGGCAAGCACTGTATAAATGTTTTGGGTTTGTGGTTTGACGGCTGAGCTACGCGGCCCTCGTTGGTTCATTGGTTGGGGCGGATACCCCCTAACTTGAATAACCAGATCCGGGCGGACACGGAGACTTTTTTTTTTTCCTTCGAACTTGCTGAAAAAAAGAAAAAAAGGTTAAATACATCTCATCTGTTCCACTTTGTATTTCTGTTCCACTTTGTATTTCCTCTACCTTGCAAAGGGGCTACTCGCAACTCTAACACAATGGCGGCGGTTCAAACCCGTGTCCAGACCTCAAAGGAGGAAGAGCCTATTCATTCTCGCATACAGGCAACCAAAAATCCTTTACGAATCTCACAAGTGAAGCCCTCGCCTCAACTTGGCAGCATGGCCTCGAAAAAATCTCCCGTCAAGATCTCACAGAAAGTCATGGTTCCTTTGTGCGCACTCATGTTTGTGTTTGCTACCGTTATATTTATTGAAGACCCTTCTTTTGTGAGAGCAAAGGAGACTTCAAGACTGTTTACGAAGAATCGTGTGCCGGTAAGTTCCGATTCGTAGTGGTTGCGGCAGTACAACGTGGACACGACACTGATGCAGGGTCCAGACGGGGCAACAATTCTTCACCTATCGCCAAGCGACAGCTCCAATGTGGGTATATCGCGGCCTGCACGCCTTTCCAGCTGCGATTTGGAGCATTGGCATGCCCTTGCAGCACGTCGACAGCCTTCGCAAGAAATGGCCCGTCTTGCACCGCTCTGCAGGCTACGTGCTCCTCTCCATGTCGCTGCTCCTCAGCATCACCGGCTACTGGTTCTTCATCTCCAAGCATGCCTATAGCCACGAGAACCCGTTTCATCTTCACAGCTTCAAGGGCCTGCCTCTGCTCGCATGGCCCACCTTTGAGGTGACGACCTGGTTCTTGGCACCATTTTACTGGTTCACCATGTACAAGACGGCCACGACGGCGCGAGCCAAGAAATTTGTGCAGCACAGAAAATGGGCCGTCTTGCATACCCTTTCCGCTTCCGTCATCACCGCGGAGCGTTTGAGCATCGTCACATTAAACGCGATTGGCATGGCCATGAGCCTATTACCGCAGAAGGTGGTCCATGAGTTTTTTGGGGTGGGATACACGATCCCGGAGATTGCAGAGGCAGAGCTCAGCGTATTTGCTTTTGCGAATGTGCTTGCATTCATCTTTGTCTTGTCGTGGCTATATTACGAATTTTCCCGCGCTGGGTATTTTGAACGCAAAGGAAGTGTCCGCTCCTCAACGGTGATGGAAACGAAAAGCGGAAAGAAAGACATGTGAGAGTATGGTAGCTGTCATTTTCTTTATGATGAACAAGAATATATGCATTGTGATACATTTTCTTATGATGAACAAGAATATATCCATTGTGATACATTTTCTTATAGTGAACAAGAATATATGCATTATATCACAACAATTTTGGGGGCTCAAGTCATCACTTATCACTAGAGGCAAGCAGTCGAACCGAAACTTGTAAATAAATGAAGAATGAAATAGAACTGGCTTATACCTGCAGAATTGTCCCAGCGCAGATCCCAGACTGCAAGGCTTTCAAAATTTTCGTCATGACCGCCTTTCTTGCATGAAAGAGATCCAACTAAATTCGGAAGCGTCTCTTCCTGTTGTTTCTGCCACCTCTGTCGCCGCCACGGCCGCCGCCTCTGCCGCCAGAGCCGTCCTGGTTTCTGCCATTGCCGCCGGATCCGTCCTGGTTTTTGCCATTACCGCCAGAGCCGTCCTGGTTTTTGCCATTACCGCCAGAGCCGTCCTGGTTTTTGCCGTTGCCGCCAGAGCCGTCCTGGTTTTTGCCATTGCCGCCTTTTCCATCATTTCCACCGATTCCACCGCCTCCACCGATATCATTGTTTCCACCGTCTGGTACATTGTTTGCATCATCTCCGCCAATTCCGCCGATTCCACCAATGTCATTGTTTAGATCATTTCCATTTCTGGCACCTCCATCTATCAGGTCATTGTCATCGATTCCGTTGTTGTTTCCATCCTTGTTTCCGTCGTTGTTTCCACCCCTGTCTCCACCCTTGTTTCCGCCCTTGTTTCCACCCTTGTTTCCACCCTTGTTTCGATCGTTTCCACCCTTGTTACCATTATTGTTACCATTATTGTTTCCATTGTCACCATTGTTGTTATTTCCAGGACGGCCTGTGTTGACTGGCTGATTGCCACCTAGAACAACCGACGGCGTTTGCACCGGAAATTCGCGAGTTGTGACATTGTCGGCCAGGAGCGCTTCAACAGCAGCTAGGTTCTGCTTGGCCTCATTCGATCCGGCTTCCTTGTTGGCTTGCACAGACTTGCTAAAGTCGGCTTGGTTGACCTGGACCTGATCCAGAACAGCCTTCAGCTCCTGCTGAGTCCCGATCTGGTTGGGGGAGTTGACTGTCGGTTCCTTGTCGGTCTGTTGCACGGGAAAGCAGCCGCCAAAGGGTCCAGCGACGGCATTGTTGCGACAACGGACTGTGCCAACATTTCCTGTGGAGCCTGTTTCGCATTTAGTAACTGATTCTTGCCGAGGTAGTTTCACTTGGATAACTCACCACCAGTGAGGTTCAGATCGTCAGGCATCACGACTCTGATATCGAATGCCTGGGTCTTGGCTTGCGAAAGACCATTTGAACCTGGCACGTTGTCCAACACTGTGAGGTTCTGTACAGGGAGTCAGTCTTGTCCTGTGTGTAATTTTCAAGTAATTGATGCGTACCTGAAGGTTTAGGCCAGTATTGCTTGTCTGGTCCAAGTCGCAGAAAAACGGCCCCGCGCCGTCGGCATTGACCTGGTGAATAGTGACAGTGACTTCGCTACCAGCCTTGACCTGAGTCACAGCGCCCGCTGCCAGGGCATTCTCAGTGTTTTCTCCAACATCAATATTTCCTTTCAGTTCCGTGCGACCGCATTGATTGGCAATGTTGGCCACAATTTCGGCGTCGCGGATGATGGTGGTATCTTGTTGGCAAGGATTGATACTGATGCAGTTACGAGCAACAGCGGGGTCGACTGAAGTTGATTATTAGCATTGATGCATCCTCGAGTATTCAGAAAAACCTACCTTGAAATCCCACGCTGGCTGGGGATCCTTGAAGGCCTTGAGCATTAAGGATGACGGCGTGGCAGGCGCCCAAAGTGAGAAGCGGCGCAGCCGCTATAAGAGATGTGGTCCAGCGCATCGTATTAGTAAATAGAGGAACGACTTTATGTCAAACAAGGTCTAATTATGAAAGGAAGTAACGATCTCCAGGATCAGACAAGGCTCTACCAGCAACAAAGAGCAAGTAGTTTACAACACTAGCGAATGTTGACGAATATCGACAAGTTCAGATTGCGGCGGACGCATACATATATATATATATCTATACATACAATGGAGCAAGAATAACCTGATTCATTTCGATGGAGAATTGTGAAATCAACCCCTCTCTATGCGATTTTGTTACAATGGACTGTATCTCTGGTGGGACTCGGATATAGCAGATTGAGTCGGCGGGTTTCGCAGCTGCACTCTTTCGGGCAACTTGCCTCGGCGCTAGTTTGTAGTTCATGATCATCGGGCCCAAATCCCAATCTGGGGCGCACTAATTTAGTACCCGACCACTGACCAACCAGCCAAGGCTCTTTTTGGAGTGATCAACCACTCCCTGCGCACATCTTTTTTGCCTGCAGGAGCTGCTCCCACCATCGTCACAAAGATGTCTGTTGCAGCCTAGGCCAAACTACACTCGGCAATATTTCCATCCTCAAAACTCTTTTGTATGGGGTCATAGTATTCAGGTCCTGTGGGGCACAGGCCAGACAAAAAATCACACCACAATCGCCATGCAATGTCTCGAATAGACTGGATGGCTCTGCCAAAGAGACCGCGCTTGCGCTCCTTCGCCTTTGACTCGCGATTCGGGGTTGAGATGCCGAGCAGGCTTCCATTAGCGACCCATGCTGAGATGCCGAGCAGCCTTTCATTAGCGATTCATGCTGAGATGCTGAGCAGGCTCTCATTAGCGACCCATGCTGTCCCTGCGCCTATAAGATTACTCTATTCCGATAACAACATTGATATTCGTTGGCTAATACTGGTCATGAAGATCATTTATGTTTGAAGTACTGGGATGATGGTCTTGCTAGTTGTGACGCAATGTCCTGGTAGCGTATGCAGAAAGCATCCCATATATCAGCTGAAAGGGGCGTCTGCGACAGCGTGGATTCGTTCAGCACTTCATACTCCGCATGTTGAAATGAGTAATCGGGGGTAAAGCCTTATTCATGAATCGAGCGGTCAAAGTAAAAAAGAGATGACCGCAGCCACTTGCTCTTGGTCCTGCAGAGAGATGAGGGTGAAACGGGAGGGGGCAGTGACACCATCACGGATTAATAATGCACTTCTCACAGTTTGCGTCACATTTGTCGGAACTTTGGTTCCGTTTTGTGGAAATCATGTTTGTTTTCTGCTCCGGTGACCTGCAACTGCTAAATTGATCCTTGCAACGAGTCTGATCTTGGCAGAAGATGTAAAACCGATGAGACACGGAATTATGTGGTTCTGTGAAGCTTGCTAATTATGTGCCTGCCGGGGGGGAGGGGGGGGAGGGGGGGGAGACCCCATGACTTTGGCTGATGTACACTGGCAGATCGGCGGCCCCGCGGCTAGGGGAAGAAGAAAACCCCGGACGCGGCTCGGTGAAGTCTACGAGTTTGAGAAAAAGCCGCCAATGTTCGAGAAGAAGTGAGACATGGGGGTGACTACGAAACCAGTTTCATCACCAGCCAAAACAATACTCTAGTAAAAGAGCCTAAATGCCGCAATGCAAGGTTATTTTAATGATTGTTCGGAAAATCCGAGTTTCAGTCGGATAATCAGGATGAAAACTAATTTCCTTTTTGATCGGGACTCTTTGCTTGGACCTTTGCATCTGCCAGATATAACTAGAGTGGTCTCCACGACTCGAATGGCGCCCCCGCCGCTTAAGCCCGGTCTATACCCATATTAACTATTAACAACTCATCCCATCTGTCAAAAGTCGAAAAGACAAAAATTAATCACCAATTTTTTTTTTGGAATAATCTGTTCAACACCAATTAATCGCTCGATAGACCAGATGAAGATTACCAGTCTTCTTCAAGCCTCCGTGACGGCGATAGGCCTCCTCGCGCCTTCAGCAGATGCCAGAGCACACCGTCGTGCTCATTACGGCATCACTAGTACGCCTTTTCCCCCGGACTCTCTATCTCCTAAACTGGCCCAAAAACGCTAACGGCATCTTGCAAAATGGAAAAAAATAGTTCGCAGAAATGTCGTGGCAAACGAGACAACCGGCAACACGCTGATTCCAGTGGTCGTCGGTGGTCCGCAAGATTTGTTTGTGCCGAATCTGGTCCGCGCAGCTGTGGGGGACGTTGTGCAGTTCCAGTTCAGCAACGGAAACCACACCGTGACGCAAAGTGAAGAGTCAGAAGGGTGCACGCCTCTACAGGCAAAAGACCCGAGTGCGGTACACAGTGGCCACATTCCGTTCCAAGACGGTCAAGTCGAGGTGGGCACCTTTAGCATGGTGGTGCAGTCGACAGAGCCCATGTTTTTATATTGCGCGACGGGCCCTCACTGTCAGACTGGACAAGTAATGGTTATTAATCCGTGAGTTTACTGGAAAAAAATGCTGCTGCTGATGATGATGATTTACGATGGCTAACGAATTTGGGGAAAACAGTACAACTGACGCCCAGCTGGCAAATTACGCAAAGGTGTCCCAGTCAACAGAGGCAAGTGTTGATGGAACGCATGTTGCAGGTGGCATTGTCAGCAAAATTGCCCTGGACAAGGCTGCATTCGTTCCAGCACCACCAGAGGAAGAAGGAGCATAAAGTCGCACAGGCTTGCGATTAATGAGCCTCTAGCTGGGGGCGAGCCAAAAGAGAAAAAAAAAAAAAAAGGAAAACAAGGGAACAGAGGCGGGGGAGCATCTGGGATGCCCGACCTACGTGGCGTTGTTGGTTTTTCGGTAATCTGCATCGTCTTGAACAAGACATCAACGGCTGGGCCGCCCTTACATATATCAAGGACTAATACCATCCTTTCTCAAAGAAAGGAAAAAACTACATAACTGGAGTTGGGGACTGGGAGACGGCGAGCCGTCTCAAAAGAAAAAACTTGAGCCAACTTATTACAATATAGTTGATAATTGAGCAAAGTCTGAAGAAATAACCATAAACCGCCATGGTTGTTGGTTCAGTCGACGACGCGGCCGGGGGGGGGGGGGGGCGGCTGCAGACTCATTGCTGCCACTGGACGAGGAAATCGGCGCCGACAATTCTTGATTCATTAGCTAATCGGCAGCGCTGAATGATGAAGAAAAAGGGGTTGAACTTTGCAAAAAACCAGACAAACATGATTAGTAGTGATGATTCTCCTTGAAACGGATTTTCGTTTGGGTTCCCAGCTCCGACACCCTGCCTGTGACAGAGTACGCCGTTGTCGTCGCCTGAAAAGGCCGCGAGCAAAGGCTTTTTATTCTTAATTTTTAATTATTATTATTTTTGGCTGCATGAACTTGCTGAAATCAGCCACCATATGCTACTGGTGTTGGCATATGGTGTCATCCGGCTCGCGGTGTAAGAACCTGTTGCGAGAGGTTTCAACTAGCGACGAATGGTAACCAACTTGGCCGGTCATGTCCGTGACGCAGTAATGGACTCGAGGCCCAATTCATGCGTCTCCGAGTTGAATCGGTACTTGATGGTCTTTCAAACACTGTCAATATCAGCCAGGTCGTGAGGTTGTCTCTCGCTTATTATCACATCACTTCCAAGGTAGTTTAACATTGCACAAAGATGGTCGCCGTACAGCTGCTACATAGGGCGGAGTGCTTAATCAGGGTCTATGGGTCTCGCGATCGAGCCCCAGCTTCTTTTTTTTTTATTCCGAGTCAAATGGAGGGGTATCACGGGACATAGGGGTAAATTTATATGCTAGAAGAGATACCCACCCAACCACCATGCCACCCTATCCCTTTGGCTGTGTTAAAGGAGCAAGCAGGTCACGAGATCCACAAGGGTAGGAGACGGAGATGTACTGACTAGGCCTTATCCATGTGCCTGGTAAGAAAGTCATTTTCAGTACAGGCGTACGCCACAGTACTTTATGGTTACGCTAAGATCACTACTAAGGGTAAGTACCACAGGTTTTAATGTTATGTGATTGGATAAGACCCTTGCAAAATACCTGCTTGCTCCTTTAACACAGCCAAAGGGATAAGGGTGTCCCTCGGCCCCCCTCACGCTATAGCTTCATTAGCTCCTTAATTAGCACTGTCCCTATGCCTTAAGCACTGTTCCGCGTGTTAACTAGAAAATCATTACCACGTGGCTTATAGGGCTGCAGGTATATCTCTCCTCGATTGACATACTACGAGATGGTAGTCATATGCCCTTTCCAATACCGGCCAGCTTCAAGCGCTCGGAGCATATTACCTAATCCGAGAGAAGCAGAATTACAAGACCATGAAGCAAGACAGCAGACTGAAAGAGTGGGTGCTGTTGATGAACTGGTCAAATCACAGCGAACGATAGGCTAAAATTAGCAGTGAATGCTGCTGCCCACGTGGGAGGACAAAACAGACCGCGCCTAAAATTAAAAGGCTTACTTTACCTAGCCGTAATCATCATTATATAACATCTCCTATTTGGTGTTTTTGCTAATATTCTAATGTTTTAGAAGCTAAAAAACTTGCTTATGATTATTTTAGAAATTTTAAGCCTTGTTATAGGGATTATCTGATCATTTCTGCGGCAGATGTGGCGACAGGCTTGTCGGCGGTCTGTTTTGTGCCCCCCAGACTGCCCAGCGTCCCATATTTTTTAGGCCATGCTGGAAAGGATGAAAAGTCTAGAAGATAGAAACCCAGATACAAGGTCGCCACCATCTTGCCATTGGCTATACATCACAACGTTTGAAGACTTGTGCTAGAACTGCAACGTTGCAGACACTGTCTTTTACCTCGCCTGCAACGTTTGTCTTTTCTAGTTTGGAATGGAAACATCATCGCATATACTGACTCGCGTCGGATATTTAGTCGACCGACTGGCCAAGCTGACACGTACAGCTTAAGCTACGGCCTAGGCTAGAGGACGTTAGCCAGTTTCGACTCGAAACAAAACTTGATGCGTAAGAGTGAGGGTTGTTGGGTAGCTGTTATCGCCACCCAGCACTGCCGGAGCGTGGGCCCAGCTATAGGCTAACGAATGCCGCTACTGCCATCTTCCAGGGACTCGGGTCGGGTACTTCGCGAATGGCTTACAGCGCTCATTTACCTATTGGGGCTCGGGCTGGGTTCCGCGGAACAACTGTGGCTGAGGCATTACGAATCTTGTTCATATTTTTATGCTCCTGGGCGGCACCACTTTGGCCTTGGTCAATGGGCTTCAGCAAGCAGTCTCGCTCGACATTGCCTCCTTGCGCTAAAACTAAAATGGCTCGCCGAACGGCGACCGTATCCATCAAGGTTAGAGTCACGATCTCTAGATGTTCTTTTGAATCAACATTTCCGAGTGCTTTTGTGAACGCAAGGGCGTCGGTGATCAGGCAAAAAGCGGCCATGCGCCTCCCGGGGGTCTTTATCAAGAAAAGCGCGGTACAGATTGAGCCTGCGTTGATCGCTCCACACGGGCCCGATGAAGCTATTTAAATGCATCTCGTCGCTGCATGTTCTGTTCTGCCGGTTCAACAAAAAGCATAAAACATTCTCACAAAAGAGAAACCCCAAGCAAAAATGTCGACAACGAAAACAGACCTCAATGTGCAAATAGAAATTGCCAAGACGGCTGACGAGGTCTTTCAGGCCTTTGAACCCATGTGCCAGGCTTTCGGCGTCCAGACCCAGGATGGCGTCTTCATGGGCACGCATCCCGGCTGGGATACGCCGCTGGGCAAGCAAAAAGGCGCAGAGCGCTTAGCCGCCCGATTCGCCGAAACAACCACCAATCGAGACGGGAAGCCAAACACCGTCATCATCTTGGCGACGGTGACAGACCCCGCGACGACGGGCCGCCGGGATATCGCTGGCTTGGCCATATGGGAACAGGCATCAGTCGTCCCCGGCTACGGTGATGAGCCGACCGAAGACGAAGCCGCCGATGCGCATCTTTATGAAATCTATCCAGATGACCCGGTTCAGCAGAATTACTGGACTGCCGTCATGACCGCGATGCACAGGCAGCGCTGGGAGGTTGTCAGGTCAAAGGCAACAGCGTCCCCTCCCGCCATCCTGGCCCTTGATGTGTGCGCCGTCGACCCCAAGTACCAAGGCTACGGGATCGGAAGGAAGCTTGTCGAATGGGGCTTGAAAGAGGCCAAGGCCAGAGGTGATTTGGAAGCAGTCACGGAAGCATCTGTCATGGGCCGACGAGTGTACCTGAAACTGGGCTTCGAGCAAGATGGCCCTGAGATTGACTTTAGCGCGGTGGATGCGTCGGTTGGCAAATTGCCTCTTCCGTCTCTTGTTTTTCTACGCACCAGGAAACCGTAAATTAGACAGATGCTACTAGGCTAATTGATGATCTTAATTGTTGGCTAATCGCATAGTTTGAGCTGGGACAAGGGCGACTTTAGCCGCATGTTCAGCCTAATCTACAGCGCCAGGCTCAGCCTCCGGCCAAAGCAAATATATTATTCCTCCACGATTCTCTAGATGGACAATCCTCACAAAAACCTGGTGAAATAGGCGACGTCGACCATAAAGATAGCAGACTCTACAGTGACGGCCACCATGGAGGCAATTCGACTCCTTGCGCGCGCAAAGTTAAAAGCGCGATTTCCACCAAGTCCACGCGTCTGTGCTTATTATGGATCAAGCTAGCATTACCGCAGCAAGCAAGCGATTTCGAGAATCCACGTTGAGTGACCAAATGAAGCCACAGCTTCTCACGATAAAAGTGGCCATTGGGGAGGGTTCGTGCTTTTGCCTTCGCGAGATTGACAATAAGTGTATACTCAAGCATCTCAATCTTCCCGACGGTCAAGCGCCTGGCGCATCACTTTGAGCATCAGACCGTACTTGCAGACCCGAACTGCCAAGATGGCTGCGGTGCCCAGCATCATGGTTATCCCGCCAAATGATTGAACGTAGAGAAAGTTCCCTCGCCATTTTACCAGTGATAACCCCGAAGTACTTGACCCTGTTACCGATGCAAAACTGATGACTGTCAAAACCATTTCAACCCGGGTTCCTAGTGTCTTCATGTCCAAGCAAATCGAGGCCAACGCCGCAGGCCATAGCGCCAGGAAGCAAGCAGCAAAAAATTCATTGAAGATTACAAAAGCGTACAGAACTCTTCTGTCCGACACCCCTATCCATACCAGCATCTTTATAGCGCATATCAGGGCTGATGGTATCGTCAAGTCAAGGATGCCGAGCACAGCCAAGAGGGGCGCCGATACTCCACGCCAGCTTCAGGTATCCCGCGTCCGCCGCCCGGTCGGAGAAAGTCCCGATAAAGAAAAGCAGAAATACTTGGATGCTTCCAATCCAAGAAACATCCGAGGCTGGCCGGGAGAGCAGCTCACAATACCAAGTCTGGAACGCGTCAAAGGCAGAGACGTAGCCCCAGGAATTGACAATAGTGAGATGGCTACCGAGAACCTGAGCCCAGGCCACGAATTCGCCATCTGTGACTGGCTCGGTCTCATTCTCAGGAGTCTGGATATGCTCTGCCTCTTCTGTGGCCAATGTCGTTGGGGACAATCCACGGCCGTACGGGACGCGAATATATGCTTGCTAAAGGTTAAATGTAATCGGGACCGGGAATCGATGGAGCGCTTCGCTAGGTGAGCTGGTTGCTTTAATTATGTGATTCTGCTTTTCAAATGTACTAAAAACCTAGCCGTGCTTTGAGGAGACACGTCGTTATGAGCTCTCTGGCATTGGGTGCCAGACAAATCAGCTGACGATACATACCTTTCGGCGCGCGACACACAAATGCTTGCTGTTGCACGGTTTTCTGGTAGCAATTGACCATTCCTGAATCTTTTATTTCTACGGTGACATTATCTACTGATGCAGACATGGCGATCAATGTAGCAAATTAGCCCCAACTGCTGCTGCTGATTCTTGGCGACAGTGGGCTTGAAACTCCAACACAGAAGAAAGAGCTAGGTCCAGCAGAATTATCCGGGCGCACCGAATCTGGGCCAACGTAGAGAAAGACCATTGCTTAATATGTAAATTTAATCTGCCATAATTACCTTGGACAGGAAGCTATCAATGGTGCAAGGGTGCCGAAGAAGCAGGGGATCTCGCCACCTGTATACCTCGAGAAAGCGCGATAGATCAAACATCAGCGATACATCAAATATCAGCGATAGATCAAATACCAGTGATACATCAAATACAAGTGATACATCATACGCCACGATGATGTCCAAAAACAGTAACTGTCTGCCCACAAACTTCAAACCTCCAGTACATTTCTACTCAGCCTTACTGGCCAGGCCTTCCCCGACTCTTTCTGGTATTCCAGAATGTCCAGCAATGTCAGCAAGGCATTTCGCCTCCTCCGCCTTCAAGGACCACTTGACCGACTGCCTCGTCTCCCTCTTTTCATACGGTCGTCTCTGTATCCATAGCGACCACTTTTCAATCACCGCGACCGCGTGCTTGACAGACACCTTGAACCACTCTACGTGCTGCTTCTCGCAAGGCTCACAGTATACCCGCACCCGGTGCTCCATGAGCTCCGCATGGACCAGCCTTTCTACGCGATGCGCATGGGGTACGGCCTTGCAAACGGCATCCGGAGCAGGATAGAGCTGTGCTGGTTCTCTGTGGCAGTCCTTTTTCCAGCTTTCAAGCCGCTGAGCCACCTGGCCTGTGGTGAAGCCGATCTTGACGAGGTTGTCGTTGCCGGATACTTGGTACAGATAAACGAACCCGTCCTTGATTTCATTTTTCGACTTGTCGTCCTCAGTATTCAGCTGCTCCCGTGCTACCATATCAACAGTGAACAGGGACTTATTGATAACCTCGTATTTTCCGAGGATTTTGAACTGACTTGTCTCGTACACGCCATCCCAGAAAGTGCGAGGGGATTTGTGCACCAGACGACTTCTCGGTGTTGGCGGAGGTGATGCAAGTATGATTTCATCGGCCTTGTCATTTGCAGTCGTTGCTTCCTTTGCTTTCAATTTCTCCTCCTCTATTCTCGAGTTCATCTCACTCTGGCAAGCCATACAAAACTCTTCCAAGCGCTTCACCCAATCGTCTTGAGTCTTGAAGGAGTACTTCAGATGCGCATGACACAACGTGTAGTGCTGCCAGACCTCAGCAAGGAGCGTCAGGGAAGAGTCTTGTTCAATCGAACCCATTGCCATTTCTATCATTTTCCTGACTGTTTTTTGAGCATCAGATTTCCTTGCTTGCGCTATGTTGTTTCGACAATGGTTGCCGTCCTTTGTAACAGACGTGCACTTGACCGGCGCAGGTCCCAAAATGAGTCGTAGTCGCCTTTGGAGAGACGGTGGGCGTGGTCCGCCCGGTAATACTTTCAGCCAATCGCTGATCCGAGCTTCTCGAAAGGGCGGGTGATCGTGATACTGACAGTGAGCCAGCTGGGCTAGACTATCAAGATGCGTCTCAAGCTGCAGCGATGAGTTGCACGGTTTGCAAAGCAACTTGAAAATGTCGTCCATTTCCTGAGTCTTTTCAGCTGGCATTGGGTTTGAGCAAGTTTCTCTATCACTCTTTCGAATGGCGCCGCATTTTCCATTGGAAATGCCCAGCGCTTCCTTCCATTTAATCAGCTGCTCGGCCTCGGATTCTTCGTCCTTGGATGCTCTGTTTTCAGTTGAATCGGAGGGGGTTGACCCAGAGGGGGTTGACTCGGAGGGGGTTGACTCAGAGGAAGTTACTGGAGTAGCACAATTACCTCGTGACTTTGGCGAGTCTACCGAGCCAAAATCCAGAGTCGGTTCAGTCTCTTTTTTTGAAAAACTACTTCTCGGGGCTGCTTTTTCTGTCCGTTTGACAGGTCGCGGCGATGTGGGCGGGCTTGGATAAAAATCGGCCGGTGAGGGCCTGGCGACGGCACTCTCCATCTGCGACATGATGCACTGTTGCTACGTCAAGCTACAACTCGAGAAGTTGTCTTTGTAAGAAGATGAAGTTAACACAGGTCGGCAGACAGACAATGTCAGCGGCGCGGTAGCCATCCTTGAAGGCTGAAGTGCATTCACTATTATGAAGGATGCCTCCATTTCAGCTGCCAAGCCCCTCAATCCTGGCGCTTACAAACGGAGCACCGTTGGCTGCAAGCCGTCAGCCGTCAGCGACAACGCATCTCGCATGCATTGCATGCAGAAGCCTACTTGACCTTTTGTTTTTAAAACAAAATTACATCCTTGGGATTGAGGTCGCAGAGTATCGGCTCGGTTGGCAGCCTTGTTTTCTCTGTTTACCAGCTTTGGGGGCAAAGGGAAAATCTCTCCTCCGTCGCACCTGTGGCAGGCGCCGCTTCACCTATTACGAGACTGGAAGCCCCTGGTATACGGGGGGGTCTCGATGATTCGAATTGGTATTACCGTTAATGAGGCGTTTTTAAAACCGATCATCGGTGAAAATTCTTGGCTTGGAAAGAAACTTCCAGGGCATTGACCAACGCCATACCCACGTTTTTTCAAAACCTGCCGATCACCGTTGCACAATGGTGGCGGGGCCAACAAACACAGACGCGATGACCTCACTTTGATGCCATCAATACATGGCCCCAAAAAATTATTTAAACAGACCTTTTTCTCCCCCTACCCATATGCCTCAATGTGGATCTAGTATCTTTTAGGATATCTTAACCGTCCTCACCAACAGCCTCATTGCAGCACCAACAGTACGCACAATACGTGTAGTCAGTCATGTCGGCCAAGACAGCTACCATGAGGCCTAACCTGCCCCCAAAGCGCGACTCAGAGCAGCTCGCCCTCTGGAGGAGGGATAAACAGAGCATTCCCGTCACACCTGCTTTTGGGTCTGAAAAGAAGAAAATGCACGCAAAAATCGACTCTACGACAGTAGGACAGGATTATTTCGACTTCAACCCATCACCAAAGGGCAATGTCATTTCTGCTACTTTCACCATCCCGCATATTTCGTATAAAAATGGAAAACTTGGATCGGTAAGAGTCCCCAACTCGGCGCAGGTAGATTTTCTGATACTAATCTCTCCAGGATAATGATCATCGTTTCTGGCGCTCTGGCCATCTCGATTGTTTGTCGCACCTGACGCTCAACGAGGCCCCTCTGCGGCACACCGTGGTTGCTTGGACAGGCGAAATAAACCAGTCCGATGACAAAGGTTCATTTTCTTTTACTGCGCCATCATCTACTTCGATTGCTCCGGATGGCCATGCCCAGGACACTGACGAGTCGAATCCTGACAAAGTGGTCTTCATTAGCACTGAAGAGCAGCAACACCTGGAGACGGACTTGTACAAAAGCCGCGAGAGGATCGTGCCTGTCTGGCTCTGCGCAGCTACAGGGCGCAAAGAAAACGGCATTGAGCTGCAAAACCAGTCCAGATGGAGAGAATACGCCGAGCACGACTTATTCCCGCTCTTCCACTACAAGCAACGGGAGCCCAAGGGCGGCGGTGACGAAAGACTCCGATGGAGCGACTACCATCTCGTGAATGCGGCTTTCGCTGATAAAATCTGCGATACATACAAGCCAGATGACACCATTCTGGTGCATGACTACTACTTGATGCTGGTGCCGCAGATGGTTCGTCAGCGACTTCCCAATGCCCGCATTGCGTTCATACTGCAGACGCCTTTTCCCACGAGTGAGTTTATACGTTGTCTGCACCGCCGACAGGAGCTCCTTGAAGGTGTTCTCGGTGCAGATATAGTCGTGTTCCAAGCGCATCTTTACGCAGAACATTTCGCAAACTCGTGCGCCAGAATCCTCAAAACGCAAGGCGGGCCGGAACAAATCGTCCACAAAGGCAGATGCACGCAGCTGGCGCATATACCTACTGGCATCGATATCCAGCACATCACCCAGCGTGCATTCAACACGAATGTCGACAAACTATGCAAAGAGGTAGAGAATACTTTTTCCGGCAAAAAGATTATCCTCGGCCACGACCCCATGAACAGTCTCAGCGGCCTCGACAAGAAACTGCAGGCCTACGAGCGTTTCCTGCAAGACCACCCCGAATGGCAAGAAAAGGTTGTCCTGGTGCAGTTGACGAGCCCTGCCATGCTCGAGGCCGGCGGCAAGGAGGAGGCCGACTTTGTCTCGCGCGTCAACCTCCTCGTCGGAGCCATCAACTCGCGCTACGGCTCGCTGGGCCACACTCCCGTGCAGCTGTCGCCGCTGCCGCCGCAGCAGGACGAGTACTTTGCGCTGCTGCGCCAGAGCGACATGGCGCTCATTACGAGCGTGCGCGAGGGCATCAGCACCACGGCGCTCGAGTACGCCATGTGCCAGCGCGACAGACGGGGCACGCTCGTGCTCTCCGAGTTTAGCGGCACGGCCGGCGCGCTGAGCAAGGCGGTGGTTATCAACCCCTGGGACGTCTCGGCGGTGGCGGGGCAGATTTACAAGGCACTGACGGCGACGCTTGAGGAAAAGGCAAAGTCGCATGCTGCGCTGTTTAAGCAGGTACAAGATGTGAGTGTCGAGCGCTGGTCGAGGAAGCTGTTTGGTTTACTGGAGCGTGCTTCGAGGAACAACTCTGGTCAATCCAAGACGAGTCCTATTCTAGAATAATTTTATTTGCAAAGTCTGGTTAGCGAGATGGCTATACATTTTTTTCATACCATTTTCAGAGTCATTGCAGATTTTTATGTGAGTCCAGAGAAATGTGCCCGTAGAATTTTGCGCCGGACCAAAATCTCCTACAACACGTTGCATACTCTCCAATTATAGACCCATTCGAGATCAGTCTTTACTAACTTAGATTGGAATTCCTTACAAGTTTCGTAAGTATGACATCTGTATCCAGAAAGCAGTCTCCACTGGAGAATCCTTCCAGTAGCAACTTCATTGCGGCGTTGTGAGCATCAAAAGACCAACGCAAGTTATGACATCACACGCCTTAAAAAAAAGAACAATCTTTTTCTATCAACGTCTCACAGCTATATAGCTGCCTTTGCATTCCTCATCCCAAGCCAACATGAATCCAACTTTGCTCATTTCTCGTCCGTTCACGAACCAGTGTCGGCTGTCTCTCTCCCTTCATGGTCGGTCAAGCTCCCGCGTCGCCGACTAGCTTGCCGCCGACCCCCTCCCCCGGGTCCTGTCTTCAGTACTTCTTTCCCATCGCGTCGTCCCGGCCCATGGGCAGGCAATAAAGGTCTCGAGTCCGAAGACGACGAGTTTCTGGTGCGCTGCCTTACCTCAACGCCCAAGGCTTTCGTCGACTTTTTTGTCCCGGCAACGATCCCGAGAACCCCGCGCAGCCGGAGCGGCCCGCGGGCGGTGGTACATTTGCTTTGGGGGGGGCATCTTCCTCGCCCTCATACGGGGGCAACCCATAGCCTCGGGCCTCTCCGCAGGGCTGCACCCCGACTCCCATCTCCCTTCCACTTTTCCACGTTCTCGCCCCGTCGCACGCGGCCAATCTCGCCAACAAACGCTCTTTGTAACAGGGTTAACTGCGGCGGCGTTGCTCTCTGATCCCATCTCGGCGCAGCGTACATGAGAGCTTGTGTTTCTCTTGCAGTTTATGCTGTTTAGCGTCTATCCCATATTGTTTGACGAGATACGAAATGAGATGCTTGTCATCTAGGTTTGTAGTTGCCTGTTTTACTAATGTGAATAGGTTTGTCGACAATCAATGCTCAGCTGCCTCTACCAGGCGCCGTTGTGGGTGCTGTTATTGCGCGCCATTTTCTTCCTCTTCGACACACAGCGTCAAATACTTGGTCCCCAAAGACCACACTGCGCAATGCCAAGATCGGGGGCATTGGCTTCCCAATCTGCATGTTCTGGCTCGCCTGGACGGGTCAATATGCGTAGTTGTGTCCCAACTATTGTCTCCCAGCCTTTGCGAGGCGATGAACTTGAATTGCTTTAGCTGAGACGCTTGTTCATTCGAGATCGGTCCATTGGATCATCCCAACCATCGCAGGGATATTTCTGTCCGCGTCGCTCATGCTCGTGTTCCTAGCCATTGTCAACTACATTGCTCAGAGCTACGGGCAGTTTTGCGCTTCCATAATCGCCGTGAATACGGTTGCGCGATCTCTCGGCAGCGCCTCTGCTCCGCTCTTCCAACAGCCATGTTCCATGCCATGGGTGTCGACGGCGGCGGGTCGCTCGTTGCCGGCGTGGCTACGCTTCTATCCGTCTACCCGTTTGTGTTCTCGCGATATGGTGAGTTCATCCGTGCTAGGAGCAAGTACACGGCGTTAGGTGTAGCAAAGCCCCCTAATGAAGATCCAGGGGGCGAAGAGCATCCAAAAAGTTACGACGATGCTGATCTGCAACAGCATCAGAGCAATCACTGAAGGTCCTTCGGGTTTGGAGGAGAATGAGACAATAAGAAGTAAAAGAGCAGCATATTTGCATAGATGAAATATACATCACAGGAATCAAAAGCATTGCTAAGCCAAAGCAAAAAATGTTTCAACTGCCTACTCGTTTGTGCAGTCGAGCGTGTCCGCCTGATCGCACCACAGCTGCGTGATCGGAGCCCCTCGCACGCCGCGGGCGAGCATTCGCTCGCGCATCTCGGACAGACGCGGACGCACATCGTACATGGACCTATTCTTACCATCAGACTCATACCGACTAGACCACAAGCTCTCGCCCGCCGCGGCGGCGCGCGGCCAGACAATGGTGTCGAGGCTGGTGGCGTCAATGGTTTCCGTCCAGACGGCAACCTCGCCGCCAAGGACGTTGGCGGCCGCATCGCCGGAGATGCCGGCACGAGGGTCTTGCGCGTAAATGAGGCGCCAGTTCTTGGTGGGCGCACACCAGTCGGTGAAAGGGTAGGCGCGCTGAAAGGCAGGGCCGTTTTCGTAGTCGATGAATTGGCCACGACCACAGTCGAGGTACTGTTCAGTTAGCATTGTCCTCTCTGTCTTTCGAAAAGATGACTTTCGGCTTCTTGCTTTGTCTCCTTTTGCGTTATTTGGCACTTACATAGGCATCAGAGCTGCTGACAACCACCTTGTGACCAGACTCGGCCAGCTTCTTGATCCCGTCCTGCGCCAACCACGACTGCACGACCACATCCTTGCCGAGGGTCGCGTTCCACTCGTTGATCATCTCCTCCCAAACCATGGGCACAAGCCCAAAGTCGCGGATTTTCTTATGCGCGTGGTCCAAAAAGCGCTGCAGCAGCGGCTGCAAGATGGACACGTCGTTTGTCTTCAGGTCGGGGTCCAGAAGCGAGTTGTTTGCCTTGTACTCGTCGCCGCCAGTATGGAAGTAGGCCGTGTACGGTGACAGACGCGGCAGAAGATCCTCAAACAGCTTATCCAAAAATTCTTCAACCTTTGTGTTGCCGAGGCGCAAGGACCCGCAGGGGGGTTGCGCGCAGTACTGCGTGTACGGACGCTCATTGTAGGCCACAGACAGGCCGGGGTAGGCATGCTCAATACCAACATGACCAGGCATATCGATTTCGACAATCACCTGCACGCCGCGGTGGACGCCGTATTCATGCAGATCAGCTATGACAGCTGGCGAATAGGTCAGGCCCTTGCTGTACGCGTGGCGCTCGGCGAGCAGTGGCAAGGCTGGGATCTCCAGGGGCCAGGACTGGGTGTCGGTCATGTGCAAATGCAGCACATTCATCTTGGTCATGGCGAGGGCATCAATTGTGTGCTTGATATCCTCAACTGCGAACCAGTGGCGGCTAACATCGAGCACCATGCCACGGTGCGGGAACTTGGGCGCGTCCGCGATGATGACAGGGGCCCGGGTAGTGTACCAGGCACCACCGGCCGAGTGCTTGAAAAAGAGCTGTGAGAAGGTCTCGAGGCCGCGCATCACACCGATGGAGGAGTTTGCCTGGATGCTGGCCCGGCCGTCGATGGTAACGTTGAGTGAATAGGACTCATCGCGCTGGCCGGCCAGCGGCTTGTACGTGTGGACATCATCCTTGCCAGTCTGGGTGATGGTGAGCGATTGCACGCGGTTGCGGGTGGTCGGGCCGCACTTCGGTTCAAAGTCAGACCCAGGCTTATGCAGCATCCAGGGCACGTAGCCATCGTCAAAGATGGCCTTCAGAGAGCGCGCAAGGGCGCCCTGGACAATGTTCTTGGAGGTAAAGTTGCTGCCGGCAGGTGGGCTGTAGCCGGGCTGGTAGGCGAGCTGTAGTGTTCACGTTCAGCATCTGCATTTCAATATCGAGCAGTGGCTGCTAGAAAGCTTTTTGGACAACTTACAGGTGCGTCATTATAGGTGATCTTGATGGTCTTGTCGATGAAGAGGGTCTTGTTGCCAGTGGAGATTTCGATGGGGATGGGCCACAGGGCCGCGACTGGCGAAGCAGCGAGAGCCGCGACGAAATACGACTGCAAACGCATGATAATTTTGTAGTCTGACTGGCAAGAGAAAATCGAAAAGAGAAAGAGAGGGAAAGACAGAAATGTAACCTGCTATTTATTTCATTGTTCAAGAAGATGGTCACGGCACATCTAATAGAGCAAAGCTAATAAATATGAGCCAAGTCTACTACCACAATGGTACTGTAGTTATGCACGGACTGGCCCCCGCGCGACGCCCCATACTTTTCCGTGGGGGTACCAAGCGATTCGCCGGGGCTGTCCGCATGCCTTGACTCAGTCATGCCAAGCAAACGTAATGTGACTAACTATGCGACCCAGGCATGATAAATGTGCTTTATGCTCCTTGGTTGCTCGGAAAGTATTTCAGTATTTGTCTTTGTTCCTTTCTAACATCCATACAACTCTAGAACTGCCGGCCGGCAAGATGCCAACGAATTCCACACACCTCCTCGCCCCCCCTTGCGCGTTCCCGCTTCATCTTGAGCCTGTGCTTTCGTCTCAACTTTTGTGCACCCGCCCGTCACTCTTGAGTCTTCCTCCGCTGCGCACTTGGTAGCAGCTGATACAGGGCCTCAAAGCTCTTGTGATCCGTTGGCCACTCGTTCTCCCACACGTCTGGCACAAACCTGGGCCTACCCACCACATTGGGCATGGACCACAGCGGCTTGACGCCGTGCCCGCTGTGGTAGATAAAGTCGATGCGGTCAGGTGGCTCCTGTGACTCCGGATGCACCGGCGACCAGGTGAAGGCGGGGTCCCGCACCGGGTCGGGATGCAGCTCGCGGAAAGTGTCCTTGAGTCCGGCCTCGAGCGGGTACTTGGACGTCGGCCACTCGTAGTAGCCAACGCCGCAGTGCGCGTCCTTGGTCGCCTCGATCCAGTCCAGCTGCGACGGCGCATTCAAGTCGCCCGTCAGGAACACGGGCACCTTGTCGGCGTTGCGGACGAGCTCGGCAATCGCAGCGGAGATGGCCATGATTTGGGACGTACGGCCGGATTCCGCCTCCCGCTGGGTGACTTGCTCGGCCGTCATGTTGCTGAAGCAAAAGTCATAGGGCCCATACGGGTCATAGCCGAGGTGCGCCGTGTAAAAGATGATTTCACTCTCTTTTCCGTCCAGCTGGATGCGCACGGCGTCTGCCGAGTCATCGGCGTCAAGATGCTCGACAATCGGATAGCGGGAAAGGATGGCCTTGTCGCCCTTGTCGTGGTGGTAGTAGCCCAGTGCCTTGGCGATGCGCGTGCCCGCGTCGCCCGGTTTGACCGTCTCCTGGAGGCCAATCACGTCCGAGTTGGTACTCGCCAGGTAGCTAACCTGCTTGTATAGGCTGTTGTGGACGAAGTTGCCGCCGACCCAGATGTTCATTGTCGTCACTTTGAGCTGGTCGACCATGGGCGCACCAACGGCCACCACGGGAATGTTGACCTGCAAAGTCTTCTTGGAGCCATTCTCGGCCGTAGCCTCCACCACGACAGCCGTTCGACCGCGATCCCCCCTGGATGGCTTGCCCGAGATGAGGCCGTCGCTGCCGACCTTGACCCAACCAGACTTGGACGAGTCCCAGACGAGCTTGAATCTGGGCGGCTGCAGACGGCCTTTGACCAGGCCACCCACGCGTGCAGAGAACGATTCCTTTTCTCGTGCATTTTGCGTCGTAAACTCGCTTACCATGAACTCAATAGGGCCCGTCTCGCCACGGTTCAGTACTGTGACGGGGCCAGCGAGCTTATCGTACCCGTCCCTGGCGAGGAACCAGGCCGTGTACTCGCCAGGCTCAGCGTAGGCGGGCTGGATCTGAACGGTGCCGCTGACTTGGGGCGCGTATGTCCAGTAGAGGTAACTGGTAGACTGATCGGCTCGGCCCGGGTCATAGCCCTTTGGATAGATGGCAACCCAGTTCGTCCTGTCAGGCGACGTCGTGCTGTACTCAAAGGCGAACGCGGGCTTGTCGCCGTCAAAATCGAGAGAGCTCGCCGAGCTGGCGGCGTTGGCCTTCCAGGTCAGCGAAGCTGGTACCAGTGCGGCTACCAGCGTCCAAAACTGCATCGTAAAACGTCTTGAAGTTGGAAGAATCGAAACTTGAAGGTCCACCGGGACGTGGACGAAGGGCACGGACAGAGGTATTTATGCGATCGGACTTGGCCCCCGTCTCTCTACTTCCGTCTCCATTGTATTATCGCGTTCGCTTCCCAAGATACATACAAGCTTCACCGTAGGCAAGCAACCGAGGCATAGTCGTGGGGACGTGCTTGTACCTATGTGCGAGGTTCTCAGACTCGTCTTGGCATGAAGACGGGTTCATTGTCCAATAGTTTTGGTCTCTAGTTGAACGTGCTGTCACAAATAATAAGCCGCTTTCCATCCGGACTATTGGTTCAATCAAGACAATATTCTCGCTATCGGCTACTTCTGTTTCTAGTACGTCTCGGTGTGGTTGTCCCGCTAGTTCCTAGCGTGACGCGTGAGCGTGACACAAGATGGTAGAAAGTACTGAGAGGTAGAAGTAGTAGATTTAAGAAAGTAGATTTCTCTAGTTACACTAAATCTTATTTTCGAATGAGGTAGTTCTATTAATAGAAAGTAGCCAAGTTACTTAGTATAATTCAGACTCTATTCCGGTAAGGAGATTCCCTCTTTCTACACACCAGCGCCAAAAGACCGTAGCTTCGAAGGTGTCGTCGCCGACGTAGACTTGAAAAGCTACTTGGGCCTTGCATTGCCAACTAGCAGCACCGTCATGGAAAACGGAACCATGTAATTTTGTGGGAAAACACAATGAGTGGTGAATGTCTACCCCGCTTGAAAATAGAGTTCATCATTGTATCTATAGATCCGCTCCACCACAGGGAATGTTGCAGATCGAGAAAAGACTGAATGAGCAAGTTGGCAAGTTGACGTCAGCTACGGAGTAGGGTGACATTAATTCTCGTAGCTTGGCAGCGACCTCTTTGGCAGACCAAATAGGCGGTCAGTGGTTTATCGCGCAAATGGTCGGCCGCTCTGAGCGGTTTCATTCGTTACCTAGGTACACCCACTGTATACAGCCGGCTTCCAGCGGTCAGTGGGCTGTAAGACGCTACAGTGGCCCAACAAAAGTTGACGCGAAAAGAAAAAGCCTACTACCCTAAAGTCGAAGTTGTAGTCACATGTAGTCCCTGACGGGCAGCTTCCGCGTCCGGCTAATGATAAAGGGTCGTTTATGAGGTTGGAATGGAATTTGCCATCGAGTGGCCTCAGATCGTTCCGTGGAACTGCACGGCGGAATTCGTGAACAAGCAGTCGGCATTACACTTCTTTCGAGTGTTGGCTCCGAGATGCGATTTGGAGCTGGTATAACCCGACGGTACCCGCCCCTAGCTAGGTGGGCAATGCACGCTGGGCAGTCAAAGCAGTGTCGAAGCGTTGCCTCGTGCCTTGTCGTCATGCATGTGAGCGTGCCTTTCGGCTCAGCGCCAGAATCGTACCTGCTCTGTGTGTTGATACTGAGTAGGGCTATTACTCGTGTTGGCTCTACGGGTTCTCCCGTCAGCCAGTGTTGTCCAGCAGCCGTGCTTGCTCAAAGACTTTTCGTCACACGACAGTGTCACAGCGCGCTGCATGGATATAATTATTTCAACAGGTGAGCGGAGTAAGCACGTAACTATCCAACATCGTCTAAACCTACTATTTGACGAACAAGATTGAGGCTGGGGGTGTGGCTCAGTAACGTCAGGGCGCCGAGGCCGGCTCTTCCATTTGAATTTGTACGGCGCACTCATAGTAATGCAGATAGTGGTAGGCGACGAGTGTCCACCCGTTTACTGTGCACGCAAAATCGAGGCTATCGCCAGACTCGAGGCGGCTGCTGCGAGAGCTTAAGGTACGCATCGAGACGGCTACTATGTTTGAGCTTTTCTTGGCCACCAAAGCCGCCTTGAGTGCCGGCGCCGACGAGGACGCCGACGAGGACGCCTTTAACCTTGGCATTCTCGACGGTCGACGCCTGCGTCGCCGGCTAGCTCTGCCTCGCATGGTGACAGTAATTTTTTTTTTGTAATTTCATAGCATTAAATATCTATGATCAAAGTCAAGGGCGTTGTGCCTAGCCTTTGGCAGGGCAAGGTTCGGGATCGGTGCCCTCAAGCGTCAAGCCTCAATTTTGTTCGTCAATTTGTTGGTTGAGTTCGCCAAATATACAGGCCCCATCGTATGCCAGACAAGGAAGGGCGACGAACCTAAATACAGGGCTAAATGTATTTCATCGGACAGGGATTTATTTTTTACAGTTTTACGGATCACTTAACTAGATACCTAGTTATGATGCAGCGGTCGGATATTCTATTACGAGACCGCTTTGCGCTGTTTTTCGGGGCCCGGGAATTGGATAGATGAGAGCCTACCCTGCAACGCCCTGCCTTTCAATCAGCCCCTTTCTTCAGACCGCAACCCCGTGTTATTTTTAGTTGGCGGCAGATTGGATTCTTGGCTGATTGGGCAACTACCGCAATAACATGGCACTACTGTGGGCTGTCGCCAATATTTTTCCAAGGACGACATTGAATCAGTACGCGAGGCGTACCAATTCAGTCGGAGCAAGGTGAAATCCAGAGCTGGCAAATCAGGGGCAAATTGGCAACCTCAGGCATCGAATCGAGGTCTGCTGGGAATAGTTTAGACAGAGTGCCTGCAGCAAGTGGCACGGCGAGCAGGAGGCGAGCAGGAGTCGAGCAGGAGTCGAGAAAAAAATTCATGAAGAATAAATGAAAGGAGGGTCGCAATGATTTCGCATCTGGATGGATATATATCGAAAGTCGAGAGCATTAGAGATGATGACTAGCACAGATCTGGGGTGGTGCGTGCATAAATCAGGCACAATTCGGGGATTTCTTAATACTCCGTACGGATAGCTGATCTACAGTAAGAACCGTCAGGGGAAATCAGGCACAATCCCCACCCTCTCAACCTCGGCAAGCCAATCCCCTCGCTCGACGTCCCTGATTTTCAGCCTCCAGGACTTTTTGAGTGGAATGGTGGCAGAGGCAGTGCATGCTTGTCTCAAACACAGCCTCCCTGCATATTTTGATTAATGTTCTTGTATTCCCACGTATCCGTACTTCGTAGTGCTGAATAGGCCCTTCTTCACGTCTCTTTGTGCCGCCAACCTCCAGGGGTCGTCAATCACGTATCACGTGGATCCCGGACTGTACAAGCCTTGTGCTGCCTCACCTCCATTTTGCTTTCTTCCCTCATTGTTCAACCATCCTCGTTCGTTTCATTCCTTCGTTTCCTCCTTTTCCGTCTCTGCATCATCCCACTACGCCGCTTGTGTTTCAACGCGGCTTCGTCACTCATTTGACAAAGCAGACCTTTTTTACACTCTCTGACCCTCATTCTCATAAACAACGTCGACGCAATTCTCTAGCAAACGACCTTAGCCATGCATCTGACTTCCACTCTCCTCGCCGGTGCCGCCGCCGTCGCCTCGGCCGCCGCCGACAGCAACTACCTCGGCTTCAACTCGGGCTCTACCCTCGCCGACCGCTCCGCCAAGTTCAAGAAGGATTTTGAGGCCGAGTTCAAGACAGCCCAGGCTCTCAACGGCGCCCCTGGCAAGTTCAACGCCGTCCGCCTCTACACCAACATCCAGGCTTACTCCACCGACGACCCCATCTCGGCCTTCGAGGCTGCCATCGACACCGAGACTTACCTGCTCCTCGGAATCTGGGCCTCAGGCGCAGACAATATTAACAAGGAGCTTAGCGCCCTGAAGAAGGCCGTCGATACGTACGGCTCCAAATTCACCGACCTCGTCATTGGCATGTCCATTGGCTCCGAGGATCTCTACCGCAACTCCCAAACCGGCACGAAGAACAAGGCCGGCCTCGGTGCCGACCCTGATGTCATCCTCAACTTCATCAAGGACTACAAGAAGGCCGTCGAGGGCGGCGCCCTCACTAAAGTTCCAGTCGGTCACGTCGACACCTGGGACGCCTGGACCAACAGCAGCAACAAGGCCGTCATTGACGCCGTCGACTGGATCGGCGTCGACGAGTATCCCTACTACGAGAGCGGCAAGGGCAATGACATTAAGAATGCCGGCAAGCTCTTTGACAAGGCCTACGACGCTACCATTGCCGTCGCCAACGGCAAGCCTGTTTGGGTCACCGAGACTGGCTGGCCCGTCACGGGCGAGAAATGGGACGAGGCTGAGCCCTCAACCGAAAACGCCAAATACTACTGGGACGAGATTGGCTGCCGTCAACTCTTTGGCAAGACCCCTACCTTTTGGTACAACCTCCGCGACTCCAACCCCGACAACAAGATGAAGTTTGCCATCACCAAGGACCTGAGCACCACCCCCCAGTTCAACCTGACCTGCCCCACCACCTTTGACACCGACAGCAGCTCCTCCTCGACTTCTTCCTCTTCCGCCTCTGGCTCTAGCACTGCCACTTCTCGCTCTGACAACTCGTCCACCTCGGCCTCGGTCCCAACCAGCACTAGCTCCTCTGGCTCCAGCTCCGGCTCCGGTTCCACCCCAGGCTCAGGCTCTGGCTCGGCCAATATAACCTCTGGTTCTGGCTCTTCTGGCGCTGGCGCAGCTAGCAGCGGCTCAGCTCGGCCCAGCACCGTCAACAAGGACTCTGCCGCCGGCAAGATGGTTGCCTCGAGTTCTGTCGCTGGTGTCCTTGCCCTCGTTGGTGCCTTCTTCCTGCTGTAAGCGCGACCAGGTCACTCTAATTGTACAGGGGCCAGCTAGTCAGTACTGCCCATAATTTGTTGTGTGTCCTTGCTGGTCAGATATGGACGCGGATAGACATTTGTACTTGAATTCCATAGACGCATCAATTTTTGCACCTCAACTTTTCATTGTTTATACTAGTCTTGACCGTGGGTCTGGCCATCTAACCATCCCACTAGATCGCCCACTCTTACCCGCCGTCGTCTCCATCAGATATTTAGGTGTTCGCTCCATGAATAATATATCGGTGCTTCTCATATAGGCCCCGCATTTCTGCGTTGCCAGCTGTCAAGGCCAGTCAAATCTACCGGAACACGCAAGGCTGATGCGAGACTAACAACTTGAGGCATCTCCTAGTAGATTAGTTGTGTCTTGCCGAAAAGTGGCGAAAGCCGATTTAGCGCGGATCTGGAAGGCTTTCAAATCGTCACCACGATTATCGAAGTCACGAAAGTTACGCGGGGCTAACTGCAAAGTAAACAAACAAACCCGCATTATGTGCTTCGAGACCGTTCTGGATTGAACAACGGATTTATAAAGATGTTCATCGCGAAGCGCACGAGTTTGTACCGTGCCACTGGCTGGGAGTGAGCTTTCTTATTCTACGCAGAAACTGCAGTAGAACGATGTCCAGTATCTCGGAGCTGTGCTATCCTATGTTTCGTTGCGCTTTTACTTGTGCTGTTTCGTGTAGAAACAGTCTATCCACTTTGTCTTATAAACAAGAGAGATGCTACGTCTCTAACTAGCTCCTTTGCTATCGCAGTGCTGTTCTGCTTTACATGTTGAAGTGCTGAAGTGGTCACTTCTGACGAAACCTTACGATAGCGACTGAGAAGACTGAGCCAGAAGAAAACGAGACAAGAAGAGACTGACTCTTTTATCAATTCAACGAGAACAACAAGAAGGTTCGCAAAAGTGTGGAAAGGGTTGACGAACCCCAAGTCTCCAGCCACATTTGGCGTTTTACTCGAGTTAATTCATCTCGACCCCTTTGCCGTTCAACTATTCTCAGGAACACCGAGCTACATCTTCAAGTTGTTTGATAGCTAAGACTGGATGGGATAAGCTCATCAGCCTTCTCGATGAAGCTTCACTAGTGAGGATACATGAGGGTACACGCTCGGAGAGTTAGTCTGCCTCCAAGGTATATAAGACGCTAGGTCAGCGCGTCTGACTATCGTAATTCTTCACAGTTTCCATTGCTTACGCCATTCTCCAACATCAATATGCCTGCAGTTCTCAGTATCCCAGGGGCCATGTGCCTGGCCCTCGCTACCTCGAGCCCCCTCAACATTGACGACGCTACAACCATCAACACCGACTTGCTCATGCCCACAGCCGGTTCCCATTTCCCGGTTGAACTTGACCCGGCCAGCCGCGTGCCCGTTACCACTGCCACCGGCATCGTGCCCGAGGTGGAGGCCCGTAAGCGCCTGACCCTCGCCACGGCGCACGGCGGCGCCCTCGACCTGCCTGCTGCTCCCACAGCGACCAACGTCATGAACGGCGTGGGCACTGCTGACAGCGCGCGCATCACCGTCCTCAACCGCCACGACGCGCCTATTACCACGGTGCTCGTCACTGGCGAGGGCGACGAGCCCGAAGGTAATGTGGGCGCTGGCCAGCTCGAGAGAGGCGAGTATGGCATCTTTACGGTCGTGGAAGGCTGGAGCGGCCGCGTGGCTTTGAACGTCGTGGGAAAGTGAGTTGGCCTGAGGACCAACGAGAATGAACCGCAAGGAGTTGATTGCTAATATGGATAGTTCTGTAACCATGGGTGACGAGTCCCTGATCGAGGGCAGCTTCACTGACCAGGGCCACGCCGTCGTAGGTGACATTAACGTGAGCTACGTGTAAGTTGATTTTCCCTGTCCTTTTTTTTTTTTTTTTTTTTGCGTCAATGCAAGACTAACAAACACGCTTGTCCGTAGGGATGGCTTCACCGTCCCTGCCGTCTGCTGGTGCAACGAGAATGGGCTCTCGGCTGGCTGCTCCAAGAACCTCCACAAGATTAGCGAATGTCCTGTATGTAAACTTTTTTACCACCTTTTTTTGTCGGCAGAAATCGTGTCACTGCTAACCCGTTGCCGCCAAAAACAAAAAAAGACACCCAACGGCCATGGTGCGTGCAGGAACCCCAGCCGCGGCCTCAACGTGTCGGAGCCCACGTCGTTTTTTGAGCCGTGTTTCTATCAGGGCGGCGCGTACACGTTTGACTGGGACCACGAGGCCAACTCCCTCAACGGGTACTGCCCGGACGAGCAGTACACCTGCTGCGTCGGTGAAATCTGCCACGCGTAGAGAGGGAGACGGGGACGAATTTCTTTTATGGATATAAAAAAGACAACGCATGTATACTGTTATGCCGAGTCTGGTAAGTTGAGCAATGAAGGAAAGGTGTGCAAGAAAAGTATTGCTGAGACGATCTGTCAGAGACATGTCGCCTAATTGCCCTTTGTTTTTATAGTACAACTCGACAATGGATATATTATAGCTGTGAATTAATCTGCATTGTCGCTTCATATTTTCCACATTCGGAACGATTGCCATGCTGTTAGGAGACCGGTTATTTGAGTGCTCTCGAGCAACGAGAGAGGGAGGCAAAGGGGTTTGGAGATTGAGAGCACATCCACTACGGGAGCGACATGCCCAGTGAGTCATGTATAGCTGGCGAGGGAAAAATGAGAAAAAGATTCACAATGATCATGGTTGATGAAATTTAACATGTGATATATATAAGTTGATGCCTGGAGTCCTTGCGACCCGCGGTGGCTGGAACAGCTGAATTTGGAGTAAATGGTTGTGACTCACACGAACTAGATAGATATTACCTGCGCGCATTGTGGACAACGCGTCAAGATAGTTTAAAGTCAATACCCCCTTTTTGCATTCAAGCTTTTCAACTTTTCTAAACTAACATTTGCCCCAACTATCGCTAGCTCTGGTCGACAACTTCAACAATGGATACTTTGCCGGCCAATGTCCGATACTCCCACTTGACGTGGAACTGCCCACTGTCAGCATCATCCGCGAAACACCTGATCCACAAACTTGAACTCGACGCTGAAAAGACCATTGTTGATATCGGGTGTGGCTGGGGCGAGCTCCTCCTGCGTGCAACCAAGCAATCAGGTGCTGCAGCTGTCGGTGTCGACACTGATGCTGATCTCCTCGCGCGCTGCAAGTCAAGCGCGGACAAGCAAAACGTCACGATTGAACTCGTCAATATGCCAGGCCAGGAGTGGAAAGTTCAGTGCGACCGCGCAATTTGCATCGGGTCGTCGCATGCGTTTGGTGGGACGCGACAGATGCTCGAGAGCCTGGCCACGATTGTCCCGCACGGTCGGGTGCTAGTCGGGGACATGTGCTGGGAGAGGCCGCCGTCGAAAGAGTGCGTGGAGGTGTTTGGGGACGAGGTGCTGTCCCTGAAGAGCATTGTTGCGCTGTGCAGGGAGACGGGCTGGAAGCTCATGCATCTGGAGACGGCGACGCAGCAGGACTGGGATGCATTCGAGTCGGGCCATCGCGCAGGGGCGAGGGAGTGGCTTCTGAAGAATCCAGATGACCCAAAGGCCGGAAAGGTAATGGAGGATTTGGCGAAAAGAGAAGACTGCTATTTTGGTACATACCGAGGACAGTTGGGATTCGTTTTTGCGATTCTAAGTTCGGAGGAAGAAACGAGAAGTCCTGTCCTAGCAGGGAATAAACGCCACCGGCCTAAATAAGAAATGATCATACAAGCATCCCTACCAGCTACGGTTAATCCTAGGTAGGATGCTGGTCAAGAGGCAAGACAACGTACTCACAGCCTTATGATAGGCGACGAGACTCTACTATCACTGGTGGTAGCGATGAAGCTACAGGTCAATAGGGGAAAATCAGAGGTCAGGTCCCCTTGTCAATTGAACAGGGGTCAAATCCCTGCTAGGACAGGACTTCTCGTTTCTTCCTCCGTTGAGGATTTTATTATAATAAAGAAATCTAGAATAAATTTATAATAAAAAATAATTAATCCTAGGAAGTTTTATATAATATATAGATTAGTTAATACCTTTTACTTTTAAATTATATAGATTTTTTTCTAAGTTAAGAGTTAAAGACTTTTTATTATAATTATAAAACCTAGATATTAAACTATTTATATTAAAAAATTATATTTCTTAATAGTAAAATAAAGTCTTAAATCTTCTAACTATAGATATAATAATTAACCTAAAAGTAAGCTTATAATAAAATATAAAAAAGCTAATCTATGTAGTATTATAAGGCTATTTAGATATTAAATTAGTTTTTTAATCACGATTTTATAGAATTAATTATTATATGTTAAAGTTAACGCCATCACGGGCGCTGTCTAGGTAGCTATGGTGGCTACCTAACCCTGCAGCACCCTACCACGAAGTGGTGGGGGCGTGGCACGTGTAGATCCCCTGGGTTCTCGCAGCTAATCAGAGCGCGCAGCGTAGATAAGTCGAACTAATGCACGATGCCCTATTTGGCAAACATGTCAAGTAAGCCAAGTAAAGCCAAGTAATAGACGCAGGTTGTTTTGCTTGGTCGACAGGAAGTCTTTACTTTTGCTTCGTTGACAAATATCGAGCAACGCTGTCCGCCCGCGAATCTCAGCCAAGGCAATCTAGACAGGTATTTCCTAAGCTTGTCAGATATTGTATAGATAGCGACTTCGGCTACTGCCTCTGAAGTGGCAGCCGTTTTTCCACGTCATGAGACACCTGCCGCTTTTCTTTTCTTTTCTGTCTAACTTGGGGTAACACGAGAGTCTCAGGCCCGTGTCTTGGGCAGCGTCTAGGTGGTGATGTTTCTAGGTAAGATGGGTAGGTTTTTTAACATTTGCCAGTCTTATTCGGAAGCTAAATCTACTAGTAGCTCGTCAGTGGTACTAATCTTATGTCCATCACCAATTCGTTTTCTTATGCATCTGGTGGCGCTCTTGGCACCATGCTTGAATTACGTGACGACAATTGTTGAAGTCTAAATTGCACAGATTCGATGTCCCAGCTGGCAGATGACATTCTTTCTGCAATAACGCAGATAGGTGAGGTGGCTCCAACAGTCACCAATTGGTCGACCATTCTGGGTCGTTCAAACAGCGCTACGGCTTTAAGAAGCACGGTAGAAATTATAAGTGTCTTGCTGCCTGGAACAGAAATGTGGCGGCGCTGCAGGGGCGCATGTCTGCATCAGTCTGGGGACAGCAGTATCAATGTGTACTCGCTTTCATGTCCGACCAAAAACATGCATCGCCTGTGGCATGAGAAATATAAACGGCAAGCCGCCCGGTACCGTCGTGCTAACCGCATCCCTTCACAATAACCCCTCTCCCAACCGCTCTGTTGCACAAAATAACCAAAATACTATGACTGTTTAGTGCTATGATGATTCGAACAACTGCCATCAGCCTGCTCGCTGTTCTCGCGGAAGCAGTACGCGCCCAGGCTGTCGCCTTGAGCGGCTACACGGTCCACGACGACTATACCCGGACAATGCTGCCGAGCTCCGCTAGCGCTATAGATAATGCACACCACATCTTCAACCAGCTTAACAGCGCTGGGAGGCAATGGGGTTCCTCTCTGGCCCACAACGGCGTTGGTTTCTTCCCAGCTATAGTTCCAGCCGGAACACTGCTCTACCATGGCGGCCACACCGATCAGCCGCCAACACATCCACAGTGGCTAGCATTCGATGTAGAGCATGCTGAGCTCTTCGCGGTGTCTCGTCTGAGATCTTCTGGCACAACTAGAAGGGTCCAAGGCGGGCTAACCAGGAGTAACCAAGCTCCAGCGCAAAAGCCCGTACTCATCGGCCTCCCATCTCATCACCGTGGTGATCCCGCTGAAGACTCCTCCAGTCATGGCCACCCGGCCGGCCCAGCTTCTGTTCCAGAGTGTCCCTCAGAAGGTTGCCGAAACATTCGTGGATATTTTCACACATATCAGGCGTCTCGCGATCTCCGTGTCCTCTACCTAGACGGCATGGCCGCCGCCAAGACCACCATGGGCACTCTTGACTCGCAGGACCACGTCCTTTGCGAAGGCAAGTTAGGCAATCTATCGGATAGCTTCACCTTCGGTGAAGATGAGAGAGCTAGCATGATTTGTGAGATGCTCACAGACTGGGGCTATGATGGCTTCGTTAGGATGGAAGGGGGCTTCGAGCTTGTCTACTGTGATTTCAGTGCGGGAGTCAGCTTCCTTTCTGCGCGCCGCACATTCTACCCCCAAGATAAGCTCAGCGATGAGGGACAACAAATATTCGAAGTGTTTAGGGCCGCCGCTGAGCACTACGACGGCATTGGCGCCGAACGCCTCAGAATTGACTTTTCTTCCATGGTGTCCGGTTGGCTGTTTCCAATCAATCTCACAAATGCTGATCCTGATCGGCCCGAGTTGCCTAGGTTCAGCTCTGTCAAGCAGCCTGAACTGAGAGCAATCAAGAGCCAAGTGTCGCATGCCTGTGCGTTGCCGCGACGGTTCACGGTTGATTGGCAAGCTACAACAGACATGATTGTTAAACGCTTTTCCAGGCGATTTATTCGAATGACGTCTCCGAACTGCTCATTGCATAATTTCATTGAAGAAATCGAATCGGCAACTCTGACCTATGTGGACGCCCCAAGACGACCCGGCGATACTTCATCACTTCCCGCGGTAGACAGCCCAATAGACTCTGGTGAAGTGTCCATTACTGAGGAAGTTCTACAATGTACGGAACACTTTCTGCTGCCGTCGACAAAGCTCAGAGATCAATGGGAAATCGAGGACAAATTGATACATTTGGCTATAGAGACTGTTACCCGCGACATTTGCACAGTACTGTTCTCTGTCAGGGCAGCTTTGCTCAAGGCGTCACCAGACGCAAAATCCGGAGGCTTTCGAATCAATACGGCAAGCTCAACCAAAGAACTACGCGACGCAGTCGAGAAAGGTCGTCATGAGCTTAGACGGCTCACCAAAAGGTTGGGTTGGAGCGAAATGAAAAAGGTCAGCGTCTGTCAACCAGATGAGATGATATTTGCTGCAATGTGGCCAATAGGAAATGACGAGGACCATTTCAACCCCGGTTGTGTGAAGATGAACGATTTGAACTTTACTAGGCAGCGCTACTGGAAATTTCCTCTGCGTAAATAGATGCAAAGACTGCTTTACCAAAGACGCTTTGCAATGGTGATTGCAAAAGGAAAAAAAAATTTGTGCTGTTTATCAGCACCTTGGCAATAGTAGATATTAGCGGGGCGATGTAATAGCTGGTCCGATACTGGCCTCCTACTACTGGAAAGCAGAATTTTGAAATGATAGAAGTGCGTCAATGTATTGTGAGACTTAATCGGCCACGTAATATAAAACGATTTACCTGGAACATCAGCAAACGGCGCGTTATACCACCTATAATCACTTTTTATTTAAGCCAACTATCTATCACGTAAAGAAAGCTTTATAGTTTAGTGGGCCTTAGGGTAAGGCTAGCTAATTCCTGTTCCTTAGGGGAAGACGTCCCGTCTTATCTCTGAGCGATAACCACTCGAGCGCCTGAGTAGTAAGTAGCTGGGTCGGTGGCGACCAGCGAACTCCGGGAGCTATACGTTGTTTTGCTCCTCGGTTCGACTTGTTCCTTTCTTTTTGTCCTGTCTTGCAGGAGAGACTATACCGAGATCGTAAGTCAAAATGGTTGTGCTCTCTAAGCGCCATCTACACGCAAGCGCGCGAACAGACCTCGGTGTTCCGGCCACGATGCCGCCCATCATTTGCTCGCCGAGCACCAAACACGGCAGCCCAGTCCAGGATCACCGATTTTGGTTTCAGTTTACAGAGCGTAAAGATTACATTTAAAAGCCTTGAGAAGATGATTTGATTTTCTGATGGAAATTAGAAACAGAAAAAGATGAGTTTGAATGGAAGATGACCAAGGACTAACACGAAAGTAGGCTTGCGTTGGTCTGTTTTTGCTGACAGCCCCAGTATTTCCAACTTTAGCGCCATCCACATGGGGAAGCTAAGCTGGTGATAGCTATTGCATGGATGGATTGATGAGGAAACATCGAAGGAGGGCTGGATTTAGAATATTCGCATGATAATCGTTATTCTGCAGAAAGCTCATCATTCACCAGGTGTAGATGTAAATGGAAAAAAGAAACTAATGAATGCTTGCAATGGGTAGACTCTCGCATCGAGGGCTGCGTAGTATTAGATGGCTTGCAAAACTAGTAAGCTATGCCTTGGGTAGAGGTACAAGAAAAGAGGTAATAACAAAGTTGGTTTTCGATAGCAGGGAATGCCTCGCATGCACTATGCTCGCGGCATTATGCCAGCCTGCGTGATATATATATATCAATGTTGTCACACCTGTCCACTGGACGTATTTATCCTGCACAGTTGAAAACATCAAGCAGAATCATTTGCAAAGGATAATGTGCTAAAAAGAGCAAAGTCGTCAAAGTCGTCAAAAGAGTATGTTCTTGGAGGAGGGGGGCTCTTTGAAAGCCATTAGATGGTCTTGGGGACGGGACCGAGAACGTCGTCGACCATGCCCTTCCAAAAGTCGCGAATCATGTGGCCGTGCTCGTCGGCACTGCTCTCTCCCGCCGGCGCATCGTGCACAAACTTGAGCTCGACGCCGTCAAGTGACAGGCCTTCGATGGCGGACAGCGGAGTGGCGGGAGCGACGCGATCCGGCTCGGCGGCGAAGATGGTAGGTTTGGAAAAGGCGGCCTCGGGGACGGGCGGCGCGGGGGCATGGGCGGCGCCGTAGTTGTCGGGGAGAAGAGGGACGCGTGGGCCGGTGGTGGCAGCGGTGGAGGCAGAGGAAGAGGCAAAGTCCATCGAAGGCAGGATCATGGCGTCAAGATGCAGACGGGGCACGCCGACCTGGCTGGCGCTCGAGTGGAAGGTCTGCATGAGGGGGCGGGGACGGTTGGCAATACTGGGCTGGGGTGCAGGGCGGTGGGTGGTGGTGATGCCGCGGGACTGGAAGGGGAGAATTGTTTGTCAGCTGCTGTACAGGATGGATTGCGGGAACAAGTATGAGGCATGAAGGAGGGCAAAAGAACGTACCTTGTTGTGCTCGCGGTCGCGGAGAAGCTCGGCATACTTTGGCATCAATGGAGCGCCGCCCTGATGAGCGGTACTGTCGAGGAGGGAGCCACTGCTGCGGGAGACGGCGGCGGGAGAGGCGGTCGAGCTGATGGCGCGGGAAAGCTTGGCGACGGGAGCTGTGACTCTAGACATGATGGGCGGTGATGTGGTGAAGTGTGCGAGAAGAAAAGGGGTTTAGGCTGGTTTTTGATGGTTTGTTGAGGGCACCCCGTGTAAACACAAGCAGTTGATGGAGGCAAGCGAGTCCGGCAGAACTTGGGATTGTTTATTTCCAAAGTGTTTTTTTTTTTTTTTTTTGTATTTAGTGTAGATGCAAAGCAGGCCTAAGGAGAAAGGGTAGATGATAAATAGAAAGAGAGATAGGATAGGGGGGAAGGGGGGAAGAGGGATGGGAAGAGGAAGGGCGCGTGACGGAGGCTTTAAATGTTGAAGCCGTCGAGTGTTGGCAGTGATGGGCTGATGGCGGGCTTGGGCTTGTAACTACCTAGGTACGACGTGGGCGCTGGCGTATGCTAAAGGGGTACCTGCAGCACGGCCCAGAATTGGGCGTGGCGACGAGGTACTGTCTGAGACATGGGCTTCCCTGGGTAAGGTGAGAGAGGCCTCTTTGGTGAGCTTTATTAGTGAGCTTTTAGTGAGCGGGCCCGCTGTAACAATCGCTGCCCCCCCCCGCCAATGTTGAGCCCCGCGTACAGCTGCTACAGCATGGTGAGCATTCCCGGCAACAGCTGGGATCTCTTTGTCAGATAATTACTCCCAGACTTGCCATTTAGATGAATTGCATGACTAACTACGTACGTACCTACCTATTGCAACCACCCCCCCTTGCGCATCTTTGCAATTGTGGTTATGGTGGCCAGAGGCATCCCATCGTATCAAACGTCCCCCCCCCCCTTTTTGCTAGCGGCCCTCGCCTAGGTACCTTTTCATATCACGGCCTTGACTGCGAGTACGGATACAAGACGCAAACATTATATGCGAGCTTTCTGATCTGCAAATATTGCTGACCCAAGCATAATTGGCACTGGGAACAAAAAGGAGAAAAAAAAAAAACGAAATTGCACATGCACTCCTTTTTCCCGGGTTCCGAAACCCGCTTGCTCGTCTCCTTTCGTAAGACATCACTTGAAGCTTATTTTGTATTACTCCCCCTCGCATCACCATGGCCTGTCCGCTGTAGTAATGGTGCATGTTCCGCCAAGCGAACTCCTTTCCCGGGGCAGGAACGTGGCATTGGCTTATTATTCCCACCAAAACAAAGTCACCGCCAGCCCCGGTCAAAAGCATGGAATCGGAGAAATAAAAGGAAATCTTTTTACTACTGGCGCTGCAGCCTCTCGGTGGTTTTTTTTATTCTGGCACGTATTTTCCGCGAGCCCATCTTTTTGGCTGCACCTCGAATAATGGGGGGGTGGGGGGTTGTTGTCATATCTTCCGGGCCGGCGGGCATATTTCACGATTAAATAGTTGAGCATCACTCTCTCACAAAACACACGATTCCCCCCCCTCCCCCCTTTCTGCTTTCTTCTTCAACGTGCAAGGACAACTCCTACCAGAGCGGTCTAGACGTCCGGAAATAGCTAACATTGTTGGGGAAACGAGATGACTGGAACGGGGGCCCTCCTACATACATGATACATGGCTTTCAACCTGGACTGGTAGTAACCTCTCTCAGCGAGTCGCTCGGTCCACTCGGGGCACGTTTCCGTTCCGGATTACCACCCTCCCCGGCCAAGTCTCAGCCATGTTGGGGGATCTACCTTGCCTAGCCTGCGCTTCTCTGTTTTTTTCTTCTTCCTCGCGGTCAAGGTTGCTGCCGCTGTAACTTATCGAGTATCCGTACTACGTATTTCAAAGACAAGGCGAAATGCTGACAAGCAAATGCACACAGAGAACAACGTTGCTTCGACATCTTCCAGCATGCCCACGCACCAGGAAATTTGGGTCGGGATTCGTTGCCATTTCGCGGCGGGGAAACCCGTCTGTCCGTTTAGATCCAGGCTTGGAAATCTGACATCGTGGCTGCCTGTTGGAACTCTTGGCCCTGCTTACATTCGAGATCCTGTGCAGGGCGTCGGCTCGGACTTGAATCACGATGATTGCAGAGTTTTAATTTCAGAAAAAAGAAAAGGGATCAAAACATTATCAGTACACACTCGCCAATAAATTACGCGATTTTGCCATGTTTCCTGAAGAGGCCTCATCAGCACGGTTGTTGGGTGCTATCCATGTCAAGTCCTCAACCAAAATCTCAGACAACCCCACGACCTGCCTGCCTAGTCTATATCAAAAGGGTCATGCAGGGTTTTGAAGGGACTCTTTACTTTCTTTTTCTTTTCCTTTCTTTTCTTTTTTTTTCTTAACCATCTTCTTCAAACGCGCACACCACCTCGAAAGCATCACCCGTCTCAGGTATCAGCATACCAGTCTTGCGAGTACCACTGTGACAGCTTCAATTGAGTTTTTTTCCTAAAAGTAACCCTATTATTAGCGTTGCCGCTCATTTCCATCTCGGCATTTTACCTGCCAAGACGCGCTATTACGATAGTTGGGTGTCAGAGCTTCTGCGACCTCTTGGCGCACCTTGATACAAGCATAAATTTTTTGCGACACTCGAGTAAACATGATCTGAGTGCTACCAACATGTAATGAGACGCTGCAAAATGGCAACGTGCACCCCTTGATTAGGGGGGGGGGTGCTGTGAAACCATTTGTAGATTTCGAATCCCCGCAATCGTCATTCACTATTCGTAATCTTGGCCGGCGGCCTCAAGTCGCTACACCGTTGTACTGGTCGGCCGATCCTTTGGCTTCCGTTGTCCCCTTCTTTCTTGCTCTCCGCTTGCACGTCTGGCCGAATTAGCAACGGCCCAATCTTGGATCGCGGCCCCCCCCCCCCCCCGGGTGCCGACGTCCGGCCCAATGCCGCGACCCCCTCCGGGCCGAAGCCCCTCGGGCCCCCGGGAGGTGGGGTCCTAGGAGGGCTGCGCGGTCTTACCGGCCGCGGGCACCGGGGGACGGGTGGTCGGCCCGGTTGGTCAGCCGCACAAGGAGGGTGAGCCTTCGACCCAAGCCTTCTAGACGGACTTCGCCTTGGGGACTGTCGCTGGTAGCCTGCGCCGTGGCGTCGCTGTACGACGGTGACGGGTCACTCATTGCCAGACGACATTAGTGGGTGCGACTTGATGCGGAAAATGAGGATGAGGATTGAATTGGGGTGCGGTCAGCTGTAGATGAAGCATTCATGCTCTGTGCCGAAAAAAAAAAGGAACCTAGTTTCTCTAGGGCGCTGATGACCATTTTCATAGCAGATGAGGGCATCGCGAGGCTGTACCGCGCGGCCCTCTGGTGAGTGGCGTGGCTACTACGCCTTGGCCATGTTGTATCTGGCTTGCGCCGCGGCGTCGAAGAGCTGCTGAGAACGCGGGGCGGCTAGAAGTCTTGATACACACGCAACTGCTTTGCAGTGGCCTGCCCTTTTTCTTTTGACTGGCTTGAATAGGCCCGAATAAATGTGTCTTTTCCGCTTTGCCACCCATTTTCGATTCTATAACCTGGTTTCACATTTTTTTTTTTTTTTTTTCTTTCCGCGGAGGGTTGGTTTGCTTCGTCATTTGACATTGGTCTGAGCCGTGCTAACGTTACCGTCAGGAATTTTTTTTTTGCTTCCTAGTCAGTCCCGAAATTTTTATACATGCTTCTTGTCGGGAGATTTTTTTTTTTTTTTTTTTTTTTTTTTGATTTTGTAAATTTGAAAACAAGCGGTCGAACCCTTGGCATCCATCTGTCAGCGTGCTCTCAGCCGCATGCCGGAGGACCTTCGTCGCTGCGGGTTGGGCAAACAAAAAGCTGAAGCAAGTCCACATGATTGCTCATACCGTAATAACGGCGAGAGAGACTGGCGTGCTATCCTCCATGATTTCGCGTATAATGCAACTCAGTCATGTCGACGAATGTTCGCAGACAAAAGGTTCATACTTTTGGAACTTGCCTAGTGGTCGTACCATGTCGTCTGCAGAGCGGGAGCTTCGAAAGCCGTTTCCGCACATCTCGGATAAATTGACAGAGTATAATCAAGTCAACATGGACTGAATTGAATTGAAGGACCAAAACTGTGGCTTTCTTTCGTTGACCAGAAAACAGAAATCACACCACCAAAAACCGTTTTCGGGCCATCTGTCACGCGTGCAGCCGCATTTCAGCCTGTTACCAGCCTCTATCCGTATGCCGCAGTGTGCTTCCCATACACGTAAATTCCTCGACGCGTTCTGCATCAGCCTGTCTCTGCGCAAAAGATTTTGGTACGATGCAGATTCTTCCAGCGCCATCTGTTCGAATCGCCCGAATTTATTGTCCGTGCATCGAGGGGTAACCCCTCATAGTCGGCGACCTGGAACTAACATTGCATAGCAATTAATCCTCGAACTGCAACCTGATTGCATTTCGCCGGCTCATGGGATTCGTAGTGCTGCCTTTCCACAGAGATATCCGGCTAGTGATAAAATGTGAAAATGATTGTTGCCATTGTCTTTCCTCATTAGCCCCGCGCCAATATCGAATATTCAATGCATGCTATGCGTTCCATGGCTGGGCCAGAACAGCGTCCCACTTTGAGATGAGGGGGGTCTAGCAGTCCAGCTGAAAGGATGTTGTTGCATCGCATGCGGGAAAGACTTGCTGCCAAAGAAAGACGGCTCGAGTGTAACTAAGCAGCTTGTCTGTTCTTTTTTTTTTTTTTTACCAGTGAGAGATGAGAGGATTGTGATTCTTGGTGAAACCACCGGGACATGCTCACATGATATAGACAACGGACGAACAGAAAAGACGCCAAGCTTGGCGCGCGATTGATGTGTTGTCTTAATGAACTGGCTGCTAATCTGACCTATCCACCACCATTCCTTATTATACCATTGTTGCTGCATAAATCGGCAGTAAATGCCGAAATATTCGGGCCTCGTATTATGCAAGACGGCGAATGGGGCGACCCGTTGCAGGTTCCATTGCATCGTCTTGGCGCTGGGAGCTGAAGTTGCAGGCGTCGCACAGGGCGCGCCAGAGACCATTCATTTGCCGTATCTATGTCCTACAAAAAAGACAAAAGGCTCTCACCAGTTACATAGAAACAAGAAAAAGTATAAATAGCTAGTCCAAAAGGAAGTGGTCTTTTTGTTTCAACGTTATTCGAAAAAATCATTCCCCAATCGACAAGGAAAAAAGAAAATTGTCACAAATGTGGTTTCCCAACGCCTTACTTGTTGTCTTGCTGTCCGCCAGCTCGGCCCTTGCGTGTACGCTCCCGACCGATGTGCCCAGCAACAACGTCAGCCAGGGCTTCGCCATTCAGGTGCAGAATGCATCGTACCCCGTCATTCACAACCGCCGCATGAACCTATGGGCCGCCGGCGGAGGCGATCAGCACCTCTATCTCAGCCCGGCCGGGGCGCCGGCAAGCGACCTGACTCTTGTCAATGGTGTCATTACCCAGCTCAGTGGCGGCAAGACCATTAGAGCAGTCATCAATGGCGAGGTACATTGGGCCCAAACTTTGTTTCAAAGCATGTTTATCAAACCGCGCAATTCATGTTAATAAAACGTGTTTTAAAAAAAATATAGTACACGGCTTTTGACGACACGACCAAAATGTTCATGACGGAACGGGGTGATCCTCGCGCCATTTACGACGTCAAGTACGGATGCAACCAGGATACTGACGCTGTGCAGACGGAACTTGCATTCAAGGAGCGGTCTGGTGTCACTGGTGGCCACTTGTGCGTTAGATTGGCCTCTGGGGACAGATATGAGTTTCGTTACTCGCCGCCAGGAAACAACTGTGAGTACCTTTTCTTTCTTTTTTTTTTCCTTTGCCAATTGGGGCTTTTTATGAAAAGTAAGAAAACTTTCTGACACGTGTGGGCGTCAAGTGGTCGACAATCCCAGCCGTCTCTGCATCAAAGTCACATTAGCTATCGTGAGAAACTAGAGCGCTATAAAACATTGAGAACTTTTTTGTTCGAATTATGCCAGTTGTTATATACAGTTCTTGGTTACCTCTAGCAAAGCTAGGGCCGGCCCCCTCAATCGTCAACAAAAAAACATGCCTCCAGTCAATATATAATACATAGTATACAAATGTGGTATGCTCGCTAAGGGAAATGTAGATGCATATCTATAAAATCTCAAGTCGTAGGTGTAGCAGCATAAGGTCCATACTCATATCTCTTGTTATTTTCCTCCACCCACCATCGTGCAATGAAAGCGGCCTCCTCGGCCCACCGTGCTTCTTCTTTACTGTAGCGACGCTGAATCTTATCCAGAAACGCGCGAAACTCAAAAGCCTGCACCGAATCCGTGTCGGTGGGATCTGCCTCGAGGTCTGTAAACTGCCACTCCACGTCATGAATGACCGGAACGACTAGCCGCCAATTCTTGCGGCGTCTGTCGCGAACGCCCAGCATGGCGCGCCCGGGGTTCATGACCACAAATTGCCAGTTGCGCAGTTCTTGCTCATCAACGACCCCAGTAGCGTCCTCGACTCTGTAAGTAGAGTCTCTGAGTTTGCGAATGAGGGACTGGCCCTCGTAGTTTGCCAAGAGGTCACCAGCAGCCTTGCTCGCAGCTTCAGACAAGGAACCCGTTTCGCGGAGCAAATCTAGAATGGTGGGCAAAATCTCCATGGTGCTCACAGAGTCATCAATGTCAATCGGAGGAAGACCCGGGTGAGACATGACCACGGGTACATGATTGCAACCGACATTGGGATTATGGTACGAAGCGGGCTTGTTATTCTCCGGCAGAGAGATGCCGTGATCTCCCGTGACAACGACAAGAGTCTCGTTGGCAACGCCTTCATCGTCTAGAACGCCCAATATCTTTCCAAGCCACCGGTCATCGTATCCAATCGCATTAATGTAATGCGACAGATCATCCCATCGGCCATTGGCAAGTGGAACATACGCATCTTCTGCGGGAATGGCGTATGGGTGGTGGGTCGTGCTGGTGAGATGCGTCAAGAATACACGTTCATTACTTTGTTTCGCAGAGACAAAAGCATCGCGAAAGTAGTCCAGCAACGGAGCCTCGGCCATGCCAAAGTAGTTAATGTCCGGGAGGTCAACCTTGCCAAATTTGGCGGATTTGGACCGCAGATAGCGCGCGCCAATAATGTTGTCTTTCGGGAAGCCGAATTGCTCAGTGCTTGCGTCGGCGTGGTCGTAGCTCAAAGTCACCGACTGGAGGTATTGAGAGCGCCACGGGCTCTCTGCAGCGTCGTTTTGATCCATGTACGAGAAAGCCTCGAGGATCTGCGGCAGGCATGGCTGGTAGATGTGATGAATGTACTCCTTGTTGAAATCAGCCACGAGTGGCCAGATTCCGCACATGGTTCCAATCATGCTTTTGCGAGTATATGTCGAAGCTGTGCTTGCGTCTTTAAAGTTGATTCCTCCTCTGCGAGTAGTTGTTTCGTGCTCGAAGCCGTCGTCGTAATCGCCCGTCAGATAATTCGCGGTCGGTGTCAGGGTCTCGAGGCGAGCAATGGCCTCGCCCGAAAGCTTCTTGTGAGGGGCTGCTTCTTCAAATCGCCTCCAGATTAGGTCGTCCTTTTTCAGGGGAAACACGTCCTTTCGCGTACTCTCGAGCACAATGAGGACAATATGCTTGATGGACACATCAGCCAGGCTATTATTCAGCTCAGGCAGCAAATCTTGGTCGAGGTTGGAAATCTTGAGGGGGTCGGCCTTTGCGTTGTAATGTGGTCGACCTTGTTGGTACCAGTCCTCGAATCCTTTGAGTACGGTATCTTGGGGTAGCCAGTCGAAATGTATCGGCTCAGCAAGAGCCGTTTTGTCGTCCCATTCATGGTTTATACCGACGTTGTTGTAGGGGTGTATCTCGCGCAAGATCGAAGCTGACTCCTTAAAGTCGACAAAGGGAATGAGCGGTGTTGTCCAGGACATGAAGATCAGAGCGCCCTCGTATGGACGCAGTAGATGGAAGATTACTTGGAGAACAATGAAGCAACTCCAAACAAATCGCCAGAAACGGCTTTCGACTGCATGTCCGAGAACACTGGGTTCGACGTCATCGTTTCGTTTCTGTTCCATGCCAAAAGGCAGTTGGAGGGGTTCAGAAGGCAGTCGGGAGAAGCTATAGTTGGATTCGGATCGCAATCGTCGCGCGAGGTATTGAAATGGCCATTTGATAGCATCGATAGCCGCGCCTCCAATGATGAATATTTGATTCTGAAGGCATCCGGCAATGACTGTAATCGAACACAGTACGGCGAATAGTGTGACGAGACCGGAGAGGAGGACACCCCGAGAGCTCGAATCGCTCGCAAAAGCAACATCACGCCAGCGAACCTCTGCTCTCGCGTAGAGGAAAAAAGTAATGTTGACAACCGAAACCAAAGCTGAAAACAGACTGGCAATCGAGTTTAGCGCCCTGGCCAGTATTCGCAACAAGAGGCTCTTTCGGCAGCAGCTGCTGCTGTGCGACCACTCCGTCAGGAACCGCAGCGCCAGGAGCAGCACAAAGTCTTGCCAGAAAAAGGACAGCATCCATACTACCAAGTCTCTTCTCATGAGCGCTCTTTCGCGAGCAACGACGTGGATAATCTTGGCGGCGACAATCGCGACGGCAACAAAAGCAAAGGCGAATTTTCGGTTGGCTGCTTTGGGAACGAGCGCGAGCAGAGCCATTGGCACGCGCAAGGCGAACAAGCCTGCAGCAGCAACTGCATATTGACGCGCCGTTGCTAGACATTGGCGTTTGCCAGTCGACCGGGTGTGGCGGCTGCTGCTGCTGCTGCCATTCATATTAGTGGCAGCAACGGGCGACTGAGTTCTTCTTGTCAATGGCAAACGGCGGCGTCTCGACAAATTTTTAGATTTTTTCTTCTTCTTTTTTTTTCTCCCCAAAATGAGATGGGCAAGATGTCGCGTGAGCAAATCAGAAACTATCCAAAAGCCAAGCAAAAACAGGCACACTGGTTCCTTTTTAGTTTATAGAGTTCCAACAGGGCAAGTCAGTTGTCTCGCCAAGACGGGGGCCGCTTCGGCGCCGCCCAAAACGGCACCACATAGTCCACCAACAAGTCCACCCCAAGTCCACCCACCAAACCCCCCTTTGCAAAGTCCGGATTTCTCATCTGGGAGCAGAGCGGGCTTGAGAGCCTGGAGTAGCGGCTTGGCGTCGCCCCATGTCCGGCCAGTAATTCCCGTCCGTCTCTAGAAAAGTCCGGTTCAGTGTAATTAAATACATGTTAGTGCCCCCCCTTCCCTTCTTTGAAGCGCCCATGACGTTGTGTGGATCGTGTCAAGTTGTGGCCGAAGTTTCCGGACCGTTGAACAAGCTGGCAGCTGGCAGCTTTGCTGGCTTTTTTTTTTCTTTTTGCACAGAGTTCAAGGACTTTTGATCTTGTGCCGTCATCACAGATCGGTAAGATGCGTTGGGAAACTGAGACAAGATTGGCGACCATTTATCTGCGACGCCATATCCTTGGCATGCATGCAACTTCATGACAGGAGGGCATCAAGTTTTTGGTTTCACATTCTGAGCGGAGACAGTCAAAGGAATTAAAATTGGGGCACGTGGAAAGAGACTTAAAAATAGAGCTTGTTGTTCCTCCGCAATTTCTTTTTTTTTTCTTTTTTTTCCTTTCTTTCTTTTCCCAGCGAACAGTGCGGCAGAATCAAGTCCGCCGGTAATACGCTGGGCCTAAATTGGCTGTCAATGCGATCAAGGTACCCCACGAGGGTGGGGGACATGCGACCAGGCTTTTCGAGCTACCTGGTCACTGACGCTTTTACTCAAAAGATCAAAACTGGAAATTGGAAACTGGGTTCGCAGTGGCTTTCGTTAGTTTATGCCATTGCTTTTCTCCAGTCACGCTCGACACCCTGGTAAAACACGAGCATTAATGAGTTAGTTACATTGCTCGTTGGCCGACGCCAAGCTGAAGCTAACGTTAGAGACACCATGGCTCCCCGCGCTGCTGATCCTGGGGGGCGTCCCCTAACTAATGAACCTGCCCGCTTATAATTCGTGCTGGCATACTGGCACGCCCTCACGTTTTAGAAGAAACAATTAGTCAACCAGAAAAGTCACATTCATATTGAAATCGCAGTATTGTGGAGTGACCTTGTCGGTATACGGGAGTAGACAGAGTCTCAACTATATATAGCGCAGATGAATGGTCGCATAAACAGATCCGGGGCTCTTCTACCCCTTGTGTATAGTCCCTTGTGTATAGTCCCTTATGTGTAGTCTCGTAATCACAGGTTGCATCTTCGGCCCGTTCGATCTTGTGCCATTTCTCCATCTTGACCTGTTTGAGCGTACGCCCCCGATGCAATTGACTGGCAAATCCCCCCTTTTCTATTTTCCGAAACGCTGCTCAAAGCGCATTTGAATGCATTTAGCCGTGTCTGCCAGTGCCCCCAACTAGTCATGATATCATCTTGTCCGAACAAGTACACATGCACCGTCCGGAACGGGAACGGGCCGCTAGCCTGAAGCGTTGCGACTACGCGCCTCCAGAGCGGCTTTCTGCCAGTTGACCTTGACAATGTAAAAATACTCAATCGAAGAAACGCTGTTTCGAAATCAGTTTGCGTTCGCGTCGGGTTACTTGAGAAAAAAAAAATAAGCTTACACGAGAAGACCGACGGTAATGCCTGTCCACATGCCCTTGATCTTCCAGTCGAAATGGAAGGCGAGCGTCAATGATGTAGGTAATGCAATCACATAGTGACCAAAGATATTCGCCGGTCCCCCTATAGACTGCTTGCCAATGCCGCGGAGGATGCCGTGCGCTCCTGCGCTTATACCGTCCCAAAAGACAGCGACAGCTACCACAGGGAGGGTTGTTGCGACAATGGCAATGACTCCTTCATCGCGGGTGAGAAGCAAGGGTATGTACCATCGAAGAGAGATGCACAATACAATATTCAGTGCGCTAATAAGAAAGGAACCAATGACCAACTAAATCCGAGTATTAGTCCCAAAAATGCTTTTGCACAAAGAATAAAACAGACGGCGTGACCTTACCACTTGCGATGCTAGCTTTGCCGAGTCCACTACACCACCACCAATCAGGCTGGCGATTCGCGTCGAGGATGCAACAGCCACTGCAAATGGAATCTGGTACAGAAGCGCAACAATGGTGAAGATGGCGCTTTGTGCGGCGAGATAATCGGTACCGAACCGGCTTGACAAGAGTGTGATGAGCTCAAACGCAAGCCATTCAGCCAGCACCATGACCATTCCGGGCAATGCAAGGCGAACCATGATGCCCCAGTTGACAAATGCCTTCTTGTCGAATCCGCCCCAGCACTGCGAACCGTTGACGAATTTGATGTAGAGTACGAGAAGCGCGGCGAGCAAGTTTCTAGAAATGACTACACCAATCGGAGCACCAATGAAGCCAAGCTCCAGCTTCCACACCAGAAACCAGTTGATGACAATGTTTACCGGCGCAACAAACATGATAATGTAGGAGATTTCACGGAAAAAGCCCTGCGCCTGCAAGATTCTCTTGCCGGTTTCAAAGACAATGTACGCCGGGATGCTGAAAATCATGACTTTGAGATAGATGCCGGCGAGGCGTGCGGTTTCTGCGTCGACGAGATGCACGAGTATCGGCTCGGAGAAGAGCCACAGAATCGCCACGGGTACGGCGGCGCAGCATAGAAACCAAAAGCAGCGCTGGCACTGCAGGCCGACCAGGTGCTTGCGACCGTCGCCGTACGCCTGCGCGCACAATGTATCGAGGCTGGTTGCCAGGCCTATGAATGGCGCAAGGCAGGTCATGGCCGCAGTCATATTCGCCACTACATACAAAAAGATGCAACAAGTCAGCATCTTATCTAGTTTACAATGCGTCCAAAAAAAATTCCGCTGCGGCAAAGATCAAAAAGAAAAAAAAAAAGTTGTTTTGTGTTGAACTCACGTGCTACAGCGCCGAGCTGCTGCTTGCCCAGTCTGCCGACGGCAAATACGCTCGTCGCATTAATGGAAAATTGTAAAAAGAATGTTAGCACAAGAGGCGGAGAGCTCTTTAGCACCATCTTGATCTCTCTTGCCCAACTGGGGTCTCCTTGAGCGGGGAGGTCATCCCAGTCACGGCCCTTTTTCTGCTCGCCTCCACCACCACCACCCTCAGACTCATATCGGCCGTCGGTGTTTCCCAGCAATGCCGAAGATTCGTCGGCAGGAGTTTCCAAGATGCCGGCTTCGACATTATTATGCTCGTTATATAAAGCTCTTGTTTCTCGCGGTTCTGATGCAATGGCCCCATCTGCGCAGCAGCTCGAAACCGCGCGGGGATTGCGTGACTCCCCGCGCGGTTGCTGCTGCTGCTGCTGCTCCTGGGAGCGTCCACTGTCGTCCTGCCCGCTCATGAGTCAAAAGCTTGGCGGCCGTAAAAACGCTCTCGGTTTTTCCGACTCCGCGAACCGACTTCTGTTCCTGCGTCGAGGGGGCGGGAAGAACTCCTGTTCGACGACGACAGTGAAGAGAAATGCGGTAGGTAGGTAGGGAGGGAGGGAGGGAGGGAGAGAGAGGCACGAAAAAAATAAAGTCTGGGGCCTGAGGGCATTGTTTAAATGGCCAACATGAGGGAAAATGCTTTTATTCTTTCTGGGCCTCGCCGACGGTTTAAGTGGGCTTACACCGCCAGAATAGGACAGCCAGCTAAGATGTTGCCGATACAAAAATTTATCGGTGGCACACTTGGCACCGGCCGGACGCCGGTGACGGACCGGGATATTTGCCGCGTCACAAGACATGGCGCAAAGTGTCTGACCTTTTTTTCGTCGCAAAAGGGCGCGCAACGAAAAGTACAATGTTACGTCGGAAATACTCGAAAATTTCACGCAGAAACAAGGTATGTAGCCTAGTCGTTTCCCTACAAGCTTTTTATGACAGAGCAGATCATCTCCTCTCCAGGCCGCCGCCAAGGCAACGGAGGGGGAGGCTGATCTCGAAAATCTGCGCGGCATAATTTATTGGTTCTTCGCAAAAAAAAAAGTTCAGCCCGAGCCTCGTTCGTACCTCGCTGCAGTGTGGCCTCCATCGAAAGTTTTTTTTTTTTGGTGTGAGCGGATGACTTGAGGCCAAGGCTGCATAGCCGGATAAACGAAGACCATACATAGTACAACAACGTATCACGACTTCCATGGCGACGCAAGGTAACGAGAGGTGGCCGGTCTTTCGCGGTCAACTTCCCGTCGTTAGCCACTTTGTTGGTGCTGCTGCCCAACCAGGCTCGCCTCTCTCTGACCGCCAATATTTCTGACCCCGACGGAAATAAGCCACGTGATCTACATGAGCCACGAGTCACTTTTGGGTCAAGATTCCTTTACCCATGACTCACATTGACCTAGCATGCCACAGTACTAAAACTGTCGCTTGATTGCGTAGATGTCGCCGTGTGGCTTTCTTAAAGGCTGGAAAAAGTCGATAAAGTCATGTTTAAGTGTCTGTGCGTTAGTGACAGCCGTATATTGGAACAAATCGTGGCCGTGGTAGTCAAGACGTCACATGGCTGATCACGCTCGGTAATGATGGTTAATGCGAAACAAGATTTTCTTCATAAAAAGCATGACGAATCAAGGTATACAATAGCCGCCTTACCGAATCATGACTAACTACTATACAGAACGCTGTGGTTCTTCGCTCATGGTATTTTGAGACCCTTCTTTCCTTCAACGCGCATCCGTCTCCTTATTTCAAAGTCATCCATCAAAACTGCACTACAGTCACTCTTCTTCCGTGAGAACGAGGAAACGCAACTCCAGCCACATCACATCAACGCCGGGGCTTCCCCTACCGCTTCTTCGTTGAAGGACGCGGCTTGCATTCGTCGTTGAGGATGGGGTGCAGCATCACTTTGATGGGCAAGTTTTGCGTATTGTGCTGGTAGCCCTTGCTCCAGTCGTAGCCCACGGCGTAGGCAAAGATGCTACCGCTCTTATTAAACGTCGTCGCCGTGATGCTACCGCCAACGTTGGGGTAGCCCTTGAGGCGGTGCTTGGCGTCCTTGTCCCAAAAGTGAAACGTGCCGTCCGAGCCTGCGGTACTAAATGTACCGTGGACGGGGTGAAACGAAATCGCGTTGACGGCGTGAACATTGACAATATTGTTGACGGCATTATCGCGATGACACTTAAACGAAAAGTTGTATCTGTCAAAAGTTAGCAGACGCTCCAGAATCTAAGAGAGGGGGTGGTGGGAGTCACGTACCCAGAATCCTTTTCCTCAACATATTGAATCGCGCATCGCCCCTCAATGCTGCCAATAGCAAAGCCGGCAGCATCGGTGAAGCAGCTAACTACCCTTGTCTGCCATTTAAGCGGGCTCTGGAGAGTCTTGTAAATTTTGGTCGGGTCCTTGAGGTTGATGATGTTGATGTAGCGGTCTGCGGTGCCCACAACGCAAAGGTTATCGCGCACATCGGCAGTGTAGACACGCTCCTGGCACTGCACGCTGGCGGCAGCACCTTGCTGGCGCAGATCCCAGTACTTGACCGTCTTGTCCCACGAGCCCGTCACCACCATGGGCGTGCCGCTGCTGTCGAAGAAGCGGCACGAGCGCACGGGCTGTTCGTGGGTGCCAATGACAATGTCCTGCTGCGAGGCTAGGTCGCAGACCTTGACGTTCTTGTCGGCCGACGCGGACACGACCTTTGTTCCATCCTGCAACGCGATCAGTCTCGATCCCTGGCTGTTAGTGCTACCATCGCACCACTCACCTTGGAAAAATCGCAGTCAAAGACGGGTTGGCTGTGCTCAAATGCGTGGCGGCCCTGACTCTGGCCGTTTGGGGCAATTTCGTAGATGCGAACCTTGTTGTCCCAGCTAGAGATGGCAAGGAAGTCCTGCTGACTCTGGCCCGGCGAAAAGGACAGTGCCGTGATGGTGTCGGTGGGAGGGTCGCTCAGGGCGACGTCGGACTTGAGATCGCCGAGCGCATTCGATGTGGCCGTGCTCGACGTGGTCGCGGCTCCAAAGAGGCCCGCCATGTTGTTTTATGCAGGATCGCGTACCGATGCAAGCGAAAAGTGGTTCGTGTTGTATCTCGAGGCTTTCGAGGAACGCGTGCTCGAGGCCGTCGAACCCAAATTGATTTTTCTTTTTCCCAGCACGTCTGTCAACTTTTGTCGAGAGGCGTGCAGAGCAAAAGGTTGTTAAAAGTTGAATCTTTCCACTCAAGACCTATTGATCGAGCGCGACTAGGTAGAATAGGCAGCAGTTGCTAGAGGTGCAAGGCAGAGAGGTAGGAGTCGTGCATGGCCGCCGCCTGACTGCTAGCTGAAATCGCGAAGTCGAGCAAGCTCCCGCTTAGAACGACACTCCCCTGTAAATGCATGCGCCAGCCTTCTGCGGAGCCTCCCCACAACAGCACCAGGCGAAAAGCATAGCTCCAAAATTTTCTTGTTCAATTTTTTTCCTTTCCTTTCTTCATCTCCCCTTCGCTCAACAGATCGCTGTCGAAGCTCACACACAGAGACGTTTCCTATGGAATGTCTCTTATTCTAGCTTTGGGAGAAAGTCCCCGGACACCTTCTTTTTTCTTTACGGAAAAAGAACCTGCGGAAACGCGCCGCCATAAAAGCACTGCGGCTGACTTTCGTGTCTTGGCCGCCTCTAGCAACGACCATGCCCAGTCTACCGCTACATTCGCCTGCCTGGAAGCCGATGCGTCTCTTCCCAATAGCCCGTCGCTCGAACCCCTACAGGATGAAGATACGAGTCCGAGTCGGGTGCGGGCTGGAAAGGAGCGTGCGCTTGGCAGACAGCGGGTGGATGGTAGACCGACGCCTGTGGCTCTTGCTGGGGTGGTTTCGGGCGCAGAAGATTTTTGTCGAGATCGATAGTTATGCGATTGCTGGGCTTCACGGCCTAGTTACTCGATGGGGCTCATTCTTGAGGCGAAGGGGGTTCCGAGCTTGGTTCCGTTTGGGCTGTGCTCGTATCTGTCGATGCTTTCCGGCATTGATCCCAACCCCTTTTTTTCAACTCTGAAATTTCACTGGAAGTTTCCCGGGAGATTTGCCTGTTACGCGGAGACGATTCAAGCTTATATGATGATGATAAATATTAGAGTCAAGCACCGAGCCAGCAAAACTGGCGATGTGGACTATATATATTATGTTGGCTGATAGCTTGGATCTCTCTTTTCTTCTTCTTCTTCTTCTTCTTCTTCTTCTTCTTCTTCTTCCTTTTCTCCTTATTTTTGTTGTTCCTTTTTTTCTTCTCCGTTCATTCGCCCTTCTTTCTTTCCCCCTTTGCTTCTTGTGGCAACTGCATCATTTGCTTCTGTTAACCCTTGAATTGTCATGTTTTGTGTCTAGTCGTGTCTGCTCCAACCATACCTCTGGATGAGTCGATCTGCGTAGTCTAAAGGTCGCTGTCTCAAGCCTACTAGATAGAACCCTTGCGTGTAGTCCTCAAATGTCTAACGCCTTGTTTACCCCACCCCCATAAAATACTTCATATCAGTGCATTGCCAACAGACACGGCCATTTCCAGCACTAAACACACGGCGGCAGCAATTATTACGGCTGTTAGAGGATTGTGTCCTTTAATACAGGCCGTCAGCAGAAATCCATACCCAGCAGCTACTGCAGACCATCCTCCCAGACAGCCCGCACGGTAACCCCGAATTTCAAATGGCCAGATTTCACACTGCCTGTTAACCCAGGGAAAGCTTTGCGCGAGGCCCAGGGCGAGTATCATGACCGAGAGGAATGTATTCGAGAGGGTGTTTTTATAAGTTGTATTTGCAGCAGTTGATGTAACGGGCGTGGCTGCTTGTATAGTTTTCATGGCTGCGGTGCCGTCTGCTTCATATTTTCTTGGCTGCCCTGGTGTTCTTGTTTGTTCCCTGGGGCCTCGTTTGTTCTTGCAGCCGTCTACGTTAATACTCGCGTCCTGGGGATGCACTTGGACTTGTTTTTAGCTAAACTGATGGAGCTGGAGGGCAGCTTCTAAGGCGGACAATTGATGAAATCGATTCGAATGCAATGTTTTGTGCATTTGTTCCACTAGGCTCACTCATAGCTATCCAAGTTCTATTAAAGGCTAAGAAGCGGCTCCAATCCCCTAACAACAGAGATGGAACAATACTCTATCGTGTTCCAGGCCTTTAGAGATTCTTCTTGGCACACTGGTCAAGCTTGGTGAGCTCGCCGAGAGTAAAGAACTCCCGTGCTTGACAATCCTTCGCCTTGTCCAAGCACTGGTCAAGCTGCAACTTGGCACCTTGGTCGGCACACACCTGCATTCTATCAATGCACTGGAGAAATTGCCACATGTCGGCATCCTTGTTGAGCTGGGCCGTACAGCGGCGCGCGGCAAATATGCAAGCGTCCTTGTCCTTTCCGGGGCGGTCACAGTGAGCCTCAATTGCTGGAAAGTTCGGTTTGGCTGCCTTGCATTCCGTGAATACCGCATCAGACTCATCTAAACACTTGGTATGAGAGTTGCCCAGGATCTTCTTGCAATTCACATAGGCGTTTTCCTCTTTATTAGAGCAATCTTCCTCGATTACTCCCTCTGTGCTTCCCTCACTCTGCTCGGGTGTGTTTGTCGATGTCTCTTCGCAGTTCAGTGCCGGGCCTGCTGCAATGGCAAGGCTAGCCAGGCTGGCAAGAATCAAGGGAGTGAACTTCATGTTTGCGGTGCCTTCGAAGGGGTAGGTAGTTGAATGGATATGAAAAGATGTCAAAAAGCTTAAAGATGGTGATGATGGTGGAAGGACGTGAGGAATCAATATTGCACCGTGGATCCTGCTCGTTAAGTAAACTTCTCTATGGAGCGATAGCAATGTGTACTTGTCATCGCATTTGAACATGATTATTGAGAGGGTCTTTGCTCATCTCTCAGGATGATAGACCAGCCATGTACAAGTAGGCCTGACCATGCCGTCTGACTCAGTTCTTTGAAGGAATCGAGGATCCACGTATATAAACTGGCCGACTTGCCAAACTTTACGAGTCAGAGAGCCTATCGAGGCGAAACGCCTTGTCCGTTTAAAAAAAAAAAATGCCCGAGTCGTACAGTGTCTTAGAATTGTCTATTCATAACAAATAAATGAGTTAGTACTTTAGATTATCGTGACTAGTGTAAGGGTTAGGGTTATTAGTCGAATTCAACAAGGTAGGTAGGTGGGCTGGAAATTCAACAGATAGCTCGCCTATACTGCATGGTCTGATGTTGCCTAGCTTAACTAAGTTTATCCCTTAAAAAAAGCCATTTTACGCCAATTCTTTCTTCTTTGTGAAGTCAAGAGTCAAGCAGGGCAGTAGTAATTACAGGATATATCAGGATATTTCAGCATTTTGGGCCCCACACTCTCTCCCACGCAACATGGCGTCCAACTCCATCTCCTGCGCCTTCAATCAACCATGTTACGCGTTCGTCCAGTAATTCACAGCAACTTGCAAGGATGGCTGATGTAGCCCGACTCAGTGACGATTATATCCGACGCGCGTACGAATTCGGCTTTGAAACTTGGGCTAACCTGCATGTACTTGGCAGTTACCCACAGCTCGGCACTTCCAAGCTTCCCACGACTGCGTCACTGATGCCTTTCTTCACCAATCTACCTTCCCCACGCACGCTGTGATTATAAAAGAAAATGAATGTGGACTTGCTTTCGCCACCGGCTCTTCTGCCTAGTGTGCGGGCGGAAACGCATGTGGGTTACCGTCATTTTTGTACAGCGGTGCAAATTAGGGTAACGAGGAAGGCGCCAGTTAGGCCATCTATACCTACGACCACGCAGGATAAGCCGAGCCATCTCTTTTTCTCCTCATGAAGATAACTACATTGCAATTGTTATACATACCTAGGCCTATATTCTATCATTCCGCTAGGTGGAAATTATGCATAAGCAGCTGTACTAGACAGATTACTTGGATAAATGTCTCACTTTGAGCTGCTATACCAAATGAATACGACTCATTCTGCCCAGTGTTTTCTGCCAGTCTAGTATACATTATCATGTAGTTACAGCGTGGCTACAAGGGTCACTCTCGGCAATGAACACTCTAGCGGCTTTAAAGCCTAACGTGTTGTTGCCGTCGCGAGCACCTACTGCTGCCTGGCTCTGGTTAGGGTTTTATTATTATAGGCTTCGAATAAACGCTTCTGCGAGACGTGAGGTATGGGCAGATTCCTATAGACCCAACTTCGCTCATATAGTCAGGGACAGTGCAGACGATTATGCAGGAACCGATAACAAAAGCTAATATACATAAAACGACGTATTAAGCGTGCTGATAAACGCAGACTACTTTTCCTCGCCTAATCTAGCTACTACTCGCGTTTACCTGTTTATCAGTGGAAGCCGTTTAGCTCAACTCCACTGGAAGATACTGATATCGATGTGCGCAATCATGTCAAGGTCAAGTGCCAGGGGCCATGGACATTACTATGAAGGGTTTACGTGGGATTGCATAGATGGCAAGGTCATCTCACAAAACGCAACTCGAAGTGTTTTGTTTTTTTTTTTCGCTAGCTCCATTTTTGGCGGATACGCGTCGCGCGAGAAGCTAATATGGGACCACGAGCAGTTTATAATATTAGAGTCGGATGAGGACGACGATGATGGGCTCGAAAATGTTAACACACCTATGAAGCTATTCCTACTCCTGACGTACGCTTATGGGTATCAAATTTGCCAAAAAGGGTGATGGCGACGATGTACGAGCGGGCTTGGTAGCATGAGTAAGCAACTATATATTTGAAAAGCAGAAATCAGCTCCAAGCCATGCCTTGTCGTGGATCAACATACAGCCAGAGAGGACTTGTGGATGATGTCTGTAAAAACCCGTCGTTGACCGCGGGTATGCCGGAAGCACGATGCAGAGCAGCCTACCTTGGCAAAATGGAAAATAGACTTGAAATTCAAAGAAGAGGCACGTATCCAAACTTGTTGACCCTGGAATCAACACTAGATGACAGGATTGATAAAGAGAGCCTCACAGATCTGGTGGAGCGGTCGATGCTGTCTTGGCAAGGGGTGGTTCGAAATGAGGAAAACATGCCCTTTTTTTATTCTCATTCCGCGCAAAACTGGTCGACGTGCCTGCAGCTGATATGTTTTTTTCCGAAAATATTTAGCAGGTGTCCTGTCTAGTCATGCAAAGGGTGAAAAGTCTTTGTACTTCTGCCTAGTGTGCAGTTTCAGCGAGTCGTGAAATATAACCATGGCGCAGGACTGTACTGGTCCATGACCAGGCACTTGAATAAGCCCTTTTTTTTCTTCTTCTTTTTTTTTTCTTTTATCTCTCATCCCTGTGGATCAGGGATGAGCCGGGCGAGCAAAATTGCATTGTGCGCTGCGAGTAATAAAGGAAGGGGAGGTCAGGGACTAGGCCTGCAATTCGTCAACATTCCGTGTTAATGCACAGGAATATGAGCTATCCCGAGCGATCAGCAGAGATGCAAAATGCAGCCTACTTTGGCTTCGAGGGGCTGTATCGGGCGCGCCATTCCCGAAACAGAATTACTAAATACAGCACTTCATCCGTCTTGGTAGGTCAAGAAATGTTTGTAACTTTTTGTATTCATGACCTAGAACAAATTCGCAAGTTCTTTGTTCTAATTACCTCGAGTGTTTACCCTGCACGTTGATCAATATCCCTTTCAGAGTTGACGATTTAAGACTTGGTTCATTCTTGTTTTCGTTTCTACATTCTGCTCAAGCACTGTTCAAGGTCCTTATTCTTCTTGACATGTTGCGACTTATATCTGATCAAACCGTTCGCCTTTGGCCATTAATTTGTATCTCATGACTATAGTCTGGGGCCCCGCAACTAATCGCCAACCATTTAAGACAAAAGCAGGCTTACATGATTGTAGCAATCTATCAATCGGGCAACGCAAGTTGCATTTTCAGCTTTGGTATGCACTGGCCAAGCCTTGTCCAGCTTCTTCCCGCCTGACTGCAGAAACGGCTGCTCACGTCAGCCGTCTGTGTATCAGTAGGGATGATCGGCAATGAAGAAAAAAAAAAGGCGGGCGTTAACCAACCCTTTTCGCCTCACGCTAGCTCAAACTCTCTGCAAATGGTCACGTTTTTTGCTGACCACCAAGGGGGTAAAACGACCGTGACTGTTCATGTCTCATCAATGTCTCTCATCAAATTCGCGGGGGTGAGCGTTCCAAAACCTCATCCATCCATTCAAAAATCACAGCTACAGCTAAAAAAGCAACCAACGAACCCAACCGGAATCGATGCGACAGATGCGTTGTCGCTTGAACGCGATTGTCGCACCTGGTTCTTCAGAGAGCTCGCGCAAGGTAGCTTGGAGGCGAAAGAGAAATGGACCACCACCGCTGGAGCAGAGACGGCCGCGCATCGCCGGCGGGATACCTGATGATGCAGCCGACCGTTGAGGAGGCGGCCGAGGCAGCACATCCGCCGCGGATGGAGCGCTTCTTTCAAGGCTTCAGGCGGGATCCGCAGTCGGAATTCTACTCGAGAGACGGTGCAGACACGGTGGTGCGCTCAAATGTCATCGGGCCGTATTATGATTTACGCAGCGCCACGCTGGAAAATGCGCAGGCTTCGGGAGGACTGATGCGCAGGCTCAAGGGGAGGCATCTTCAAATGATTGCCATTGGCGGATCAGTCGGTATGTTTACAAAAACACGCCATATACGTAATGGCAAAAAAGAAAAAAGAAAAAAGAAAACGTCATGAGAGAGAAGAATGAAAGCTCTAATCTTTTTTCTTGCAAAGGAGCGGGATTGTTCGTCGCTAGCGGCAAGGCACTGTCCGTCGGCGGTCCTGCATCGCTACTGTTGGCGTTTTCGGTCGTTGGCATTATGCTGTTCTGCACTTGCCAGGCACTCGGTGAGCTTGCCGTCGTGTTTCCCATTGCAGGCTCCTTTTCGTCCTGGTCTACTCGATTTCTAGACCCTTCGTGGGGATTCGCCATGGGCTGGAAGTAAGTTTGGTTACTTGGACCTATTTACCTAAATACCTTATGCCTGGAGAGCCCCGAAAGCACAAGAAAAACTGACGACATTTCTCTCTCACATAGCTATGCGCTGCAATGGCTCTCCGTGTTACCGTTGGAAATCATTGCTGCTTCACTTACCCTCGATTACTGGAACCATTCTCTTCCAAGAAGCGTATTCGTAACCATTTTCCTAGTCGTCATCCTAACCATCAACATGTTTGGAGTCAAGGGCTATGGAGAAGCCGAGTACATCTTTTCCATGATCAAGGTGATTGCCGTCATTGGCTTCATGTAAGGCTTTTTTCTTTGCCCCCAGGCAAATCTCTGGTTTTTTTTTCCATGTTTTAAATCTGGCAAAATGGCTTACAAACTGTCAACGCAGCCTCCTCGCCATTGTCCTCAACCTCGGCGGCACACCCGACGGCGGCTACATTGGCGGCAAGTACTGGCACGATCCCGGTGCCTTCCACAACGGCTTCAAGGGCATCTGCAGCGTCTTCACCACGGCCGCCTTTGCCTTTGCCGGCACCGAGCTCGTCGGGCTCGCGGCCGCCGAGACCGCCGCCCCGCGCAAGTCGCTCCCCACGGCCATTAAGCAAGTCTTTTGGCGCATCACCCTCTTCTACGTCGTCGCCCTGACCCTCGTCGGCCTCTTGGTGCCCTACGACAGCCCCCGGCTCTTTGGCGGCGCGAGCCCCGTCGACGCCAACACGTCGCCCTTTGTCATTGCCATTGAGGCCGCGGGCATCCAGATCCTGCCGTCCGTCATGAATGCGGTTATCCTGGTGGCCATCTTGTCCGTCGGCAACTCGGCCGTCTTTGGCTCCACGCGCACGCTCGCCGCCATGGCGAACCTGCGCCAGGCCCCGCGCATCCTCGGCTACGTCGACCGCAAAGGCCGCCCCCTGGTGGCCATTTCTCTCGCCGCGCTCATCGGCTTCCTCGCCTACCTGGCGCATCTCAAGCAGCAGCGCGTCGTTCTCGAGTGGCTGCTGACGGCGTCGGGCCTCTCTTCCGTCTTTACCTGGGGCTCGATTTGTCTCTGCCACATTCGCTTCCGTCGCGCGTGGGCCGCTCGCGGGCACGAGCCTGCCGAGCTGCCCTTTCAAGCGCAGTTTGGCGTCGTGGGCTCCTATGTCGGGCTCGCGCTCAATTGCCTCGTCATTGTCACGCAATTCTGGGTCGGCGCGTCGCCGATCAACTCGGAAAACATGGCCACGCGGGAAATTGTGCAGCACTTCTTCCTCAAGTGGATGGGCGCGCCCGTCGTGTTCATCTTCTTCATCGGCCACAAGCTGTATTACAAGACGCGCTACGTCAAAATTGACGACTTGGACGTTGATACAGGCCGGCGGCAGTTTAATCTGCCCATATTAATAGAACAGGAAAAGGAAGAGCAGGCAAACTGGCCGCGATGGAAAGTCTTTTATAAGCTGATATGTTGATGGATGGCGCGAGGTAAATGCGGCCCTGTCTGTAACACCACTTCTTCACTCGACAACTGGCGTTTGGCGTTTTGTCTAAAAACAATGTAAAATTACACAAAGTGCACAAGGAGTGACACTTTCTTATATTCCAGCATGCACGTAATATACACGTTTATACTTGACGGCGGAACAGGGCCTTTTTTCTAGACACAAATGTGCGTCATGATAAGAATGTGCTCGCCTTTTCCCAGTGCCACCCGGTCTGCAGCTCGAATCCCACCGTGTAGTCACCAGGACTCTTTTCGACGACTTTGATAGTAATGACTCTGTTCTCTCGAGGGATATCGGCACATGTCGTGGGATTCACCAGCCCTTGTTGTTCAAGTGCTACGAGACGCAGGACAGTACCCAGAACCACCCTGCTGCTCCAGATGCCTTCTTGGCGGTTCTGCGATGCGAGAAGCTGGATGGCGCGCATCCGAAGGTCCAGATCGCGGCATTTCTGCACCAATCCATACAAGACAGGCACGGGGCCCGTGTTCATATGAAAGTGAGGCTGGCTTTCACTGCCCTCGTCGTCTTCGTCGCGCGCCAGGGCAATATCCGCAAGGGCCAGAATCTTGACAAAGGTCTCGCGGTGGGCATCCCATAGCATGGGGTCAACGGGCCCGCGGACAATGTTCACAGAGAGCTCGGCGGCAAAGTACAGCCGGCGCAGCTCGAGAAGCGCAATGGTGCGGCGCTCGGAAGGCGTGACGAGGTGGTCGGGCATGGTGCGTTTGAAGGCGTCAAAGGCTAGAGTCCATGCGGCTAGATTGAAACGCGCAACCTCGATGGCTCCTTCTTCGTACTTGTCAAAATGTAGCCGAATACTGCTGAAAACGGACTGCGCGTCGGTGGTTGTGTTGAAGCGGTACCCGCGAGGGCCGGGTCCATGGCCGCTCTCAATGATGTTGGCGGCGATGGCATTGACATCAGGATCAAGGTCATTTATAAGCTGACTTTCATTAGTGGGAGAGACCAAGTGTGAGATGCATGGTTGCCAAAAAAACTCACAATGTATATTTGGCAGACAACTTGACTCAGAAAGTTGCGGGCAAGAGCAAAGAGCTTTCGTCTGTCTGATGCGTCCGGTGCCGGCGGACGAAACGTTTTATCCAGGGCATCTTCTGCTTGCAATATTCGATAGCCCAAGGTTACGAGTCTGACGACTTGGACAATTTGTCCGCGAAGCGTCTGTCGTGTCTGTTAGTGGGCGCGCGACAGGGGCAAGAACGAGATTATTACCTCGACGCATATGAACAGTATACAAGACGCAAGCTGTATATGGGCGCTTTGGGAGCTTTTTTCCATGCTCAAGACTTGCTGGATGGAAGAGTTGTATTGATGCAGCGCAAAGTCATCTTCCACCTGCTGGCGCGGCATGCGCTGCTCGGAAAAGAGCTCGTGGTACGACGAGAGCGCAATGAGAGAGTGCCATATGCTTGTCTCAGTATTGGCAATCTTGAGCACGTACGAGGACCAAAAGTCGTCAGGAAAGAATGTGCACAGCTGCTTGAGCGTTTTTTCATGAAAGTATTGAAATGACCGCCATTCCCGGCCCGAGTACTTGGCGTGAGAGAGGGTGGCCGGTGGCGACGGGGTGGCGGCGATTACGGGGCCGTAGCCATCGCATGTGCGGCCGGTAGATGTGCCTAGTTCAAGCTATTAGTGAATGCGAGATTTTATAGAGTTGTTTTAAAAAAAAGATTCGTCTGGGCTTACATCTCTGGCAGGCCGGGCGATCCTCGTCGCACTTGACGCGGCGGACTAGAACTTGTGTCAGTGTATTCTCACAGAAGCAATAGTCCACTCATTGGCGAATGAGCTTTGCAATTGACAGGTAGATTTGATCGCCTTACTTCTAAAGGCTCATATTGTTAGCAACTGGTACTTGACTTGGGTAGAGGATCATTCAGCTCAAAGCAAATTGTAGCTCTCGTGCTGTTTGTTCGATTGGGCTTGTACTCACTTGCAAGTACGGCAGCCAGTGCGGACTTTGGGCGCCTTGGCGCGGCGCCGCTGGCCAGCCTTGACATGCGTCATGAGGGAGCCACGACGGCGGTGATTCTATGGGCTGGAGGTGCGACGCTGGAAAAGCTGCCTCGGATCGCTGCGTGATGATGACTCCGAGTCAAACGGGCCCTCGTTTGATGCGACTTGGAAGCCTAGTTAGTACTTTCGGGGACGGCGGGTTGTCTCTGTTTGGAGAGTCCACACCCCACCGAAGCTGGGGTAAGTGGAAAATGCGTTGTCGTGGCCGCGGAAGATGCTCGACGCTGAGCAGTGATGAGGTACTGAGTAGAGATGATGAGAATTCTCACGGCAATGTGTGTGCTTTGTCTTTTGAACGAGCAGACTGGTGGATTCAGGTCCGTGGTTGACGGTGGTGACAGTTGCAGCACCTGACAGGGCCGAGCTCGAAATACTAGGTGGGGCCTCGATTGATTAAAGCTATGGAGCTATTCGCACAAGGATTTGGTAGTTGGCTTCACCAGTACAAGGTTACTGGTGATAAGTACGTGAAATAAAAAAAAATATCTGATAAATAACAGGCTAGGTTCAAGTAAAGCCGGATAATGAGGGCCAAACATGTTGTGGCTCGTAGGTCCTGCGGGCTGATTAAACAGGCCGCCCCTGTAACAGATCAATCGGACGAGGTGTCAAAGATTCGATACAATTTGGAATTCCGTCGGATGGCCATATTGAGTAGAATGACATGTCCGGTGGTTTCTCTCTGACAACTTGGGGGCAGCGGCCACCTAATTTTGTGTGAGGGGCGACAACCTCGTGCTGTGCGACAACCGAATAGAGAGAAAGAATGAACACGCGCAATTGCAATCCAATGTTTTCCAGCAATGCGTAAATTCAAGCAGTCTATCATGCCAAGTTCCCACGAAGCCAACAACTAGACTTGGCCTTCTGCAACTGTGTGCACTTACGTATACTAGCAGAAATTAGAATCAGATGAAAGCATGATTGGATGATTGTATGGAAAGGGTTGGCATTGTTATTCACGAGCAACAAATAGATGGCTGTAATGTTGTGCCGTCATTGCGTAGCCACCAAGAGCTGTCAGGTCCAACCAACTGTCGGTGGCGTTGTGCATAATTCAGCCACAACCTGTCAACCTGCGACGGCCCGTTGTCAAGCAACCAAGCAACTTGACAGATGCATGTGATTACGCCCCCAATACGCCAAGAACTCTCACGATGGAGGACGCAGCCCGAGCTCCCGGAAGCCTGGGCATGCATTATTGCTCCAAAGGACGAGAGTAGGGTGAAAAGGTAACTTGAGTTGTAGGACTATTTCTGACGCTGTGCTTGTCTAACAAAGAATATCTGCCCATTGTGCAGAACAGTCAGGCAGGCAAGCAGGCTGGGTTCGGGTCTTCGTATCGTCCAGCGCACGGTGCACGGCAAGATGGGGTGGTACACCGTACACGTGTGTTGTTTGCGACACCCCCTCGGGCGAACTGCCGGGTTCGCTGGTTGGCCCGGCCCCGAAGGTTGGTCGCCCCCGCCGGCTCAGTAATAAGACAGGTTGATTGTATTGTTAAATTGTACATGTGTACATTTCCTATTCAAGTCGAGATGTTCATCTATCAACGACCTCGATTACCTAGGTATACATCCGTAGAGAATACATGGTACGGACTCCTATGCCCCTGGAATCAACTGTTTTGCATACCGGCGCAGGCGGCCTCGCCTACCTAGGTACCTATTTCCAGTGGTTCTGGCGCTGCATCTCCCTTGAGAACGTGCTAAGAGGCAAGAAATATGGTGGATTTCCCTCCTGAAGAGCCCTGTAAATCAATCTACACGTAAATCGCCCCATCCGGCCAAATCCAGTTAGCGCATCGGTTCTCCAGCAAAAACCCAAATTCCCCAGCCGACAACAAGCTTCAAGCCGAGGATCAGAGCTACTAAGCCCCTCCCTCCAAATCCGGCCCATCGTCAGTCTTATTTAAATCTTTTACTACCTTTCTTTTTCAATCTCCTTTCTTCTTTGACAATTGGGTTTCTCTTTTTTCCCTTACTAGCTGTGATACCGTCAAATTCCCTATTTCCGCAGCTTCGCCTCGATATCCCTGCCCGGCCCGCTTCGCTCCAACCCATACAGCCGAACCGCCGTTTGCTAAAACACCACCACCAAAAAAAACCCACCATGACGCTCATGCATTACCTCGAGTCGACGCCCGTCCAGGCCTTTGGCTCTCTCGCCCGCCTCCTCACGAGCCCCGTCGTCACCGGCGCCGCACTGCTCGCCTTTACGCGGGCGCCCGCCGAGCTGCAGGCCGAGGTCGTCCGGCGCCTGTCGTTTCTGGGCGACAAGGCGGCCAGGCCCGAGACGGTCGAGCTGGCCCTCAAGGTCGTCTTTGGCTGGGGCCTGGTCAAGGGCGCCAACGCGGCGCTCAACTCGGCCGCCTCCAACGCGTGGCGCTTCACAAAGGCCAAGGGCTGGGACGACTGGCCCGCCGAGGTTGCCGTCGTCACCGGCGGCTGCAGCGGCATCGGCCTCAACGTCGTCGAGCAGCTCACGGCGAGGGGCGTCAGGTGCGCCATTCTCGACGTCCAGCCTCTGCCCAAGCGCCTCGAGGGCCACCGCCACGTGCGCTACTTCAAGTGCGACGTCACCGACCCAGAGTCTGTCCACAAGGCCGCCGACGCCGTCCGCGCCGAGTACGGCCACCCTTCGATCCTGATTAACAATGCCGGCATCACCGTCCCCAAGAACATCCTCGACATCCCTCCCGCCACCCTCAACAAGGTCTTTGCCGTCAACACAATCTCCCACTGGTACATGTGCCAGGCCTTTGTCCCCCACATGATCGAGGTCAACAAGGGCCATGTCGTCACCGTCGCCAGCATGGCCTCGTTTGTCGCCCTCGCCAAGGGTGCCGACTACTCGGCCACCAAGGCCGCCGCCCTCGCCTTTCACGAGTCGCTCAGCTCTGAGCTGCGCAACACCCACGGCGCCACTGGCGTCCTGACCACCGTTGTCCACCCCAACTTTGTCGCCACGCCCCTCGTCGCCAAATTCAGCGGCGAGCTGCAAAAGGGTGGTATTCGCCTCCTCACCAGCGACGACGTCGCCCGCCAGCTCACTGACCAGGTCTTTGCCTGCAAGGGTGCTCAGGTCGTCTGTCCCGAGAGATTGTCCTTCATCACCGGATTCCGCAGTCTGCCCGCTTGGATCCAGTTCCCTGTCCGCAACATGATTGCTACAAGCTCCAAGAACATTTAAACGATACCCCTTTCCTTTCCTTTTTATTCTATAGCAGTGTCTAATCTGCAGGATGGATGCTTAATGACATGACAAAAAAGATTACTTTGTTCCTTGATTCTTTCTTTCTCGACAGGCTGCCGTCTCCTCTGACCTCTACATTCATGTCGAGACGACGCTGTGCATGCCAAGCGGGTACCCAAAACCATGGCCACCATTTGGTAGAATGTGTAAAAGTATCGGCCATGTTTTTTGATACAGGCTTGGCATGCAACTAATGCGCATCCGTCGGCAACTTATCGGCACTCATCTCTCAGCACCCACCGATGCTAGTGGTGGTGCCGTCGCCGCGGGAGCTTGCTGCGAATCCTTGCCCGCCAGCACCATGTAACCCTGCCATTGCAAAGGTGCCTCAACTAGTTGCCCGCCTATGAGTGAAGTCACTGTGACGATATTCTAGCTGAAACAATACCTGCATGCTCCATCCGACGGCTAAATAAGATAACCCCCTGACTAAATGTCTGATTTGCTTCCCCGCGAATTGATCAGCGCAGGCAGACACTAGAACAGTTGAGCAATATGCCTCAGTCATTATTTCCCGTGGGCATGACCCCGGCGGATAAATCTGGGTAATCTATCGATGGTACTCGATGAACCAATGTACTGGCAATGTTTCCTCGCTATATAAGCTTGCACGTACCGTCATTTTTTGATGCAGTCCCCTCTTACACTCTTCTCAACCGGTCCAAAACATATCTCCAGACCCATCCGAGTCATCCCTCTTACATCAAAGGCAATGAAGACGACGGCTGGACTCATCACGGCCCTAATCTCCGTAGCGGCGCACGGCCTGCGGACCCGGGACGGCGCCGGCGGCCCTACGCCGCCCGGCAAGTGGCGCATTTCCCCCATTGACGGCTCCAAGATTGCGCTGCCGACCAAGGAGCAGCTGGCATTTCAGGACCGCGAGATGGGCTGCCTAATCCATTTCAACATGGCCACTTACATTGCGCAGGACGGCTGCAACGGCGACCCCGCCCTGGTGCCCCCGCGGTCCCTCTTCGACCCGGCCCGGCTGGACACGGACCAGTGGATGGAGGCCATCAAGAGCCTTGGTGGCAAGTACGCCACGCTCGTCGCCAAGCACAACTGCGGCTTCACCACCTCGCCCACAAAGGTCAGCTTCAAGGACCTTGCTGGCGAGACGGTTCTGTACAACTACACGATTGCCCAATCTCCCGCCCAAGGCAGAGATGTGGTGGAAGATTTTGTCGAGTCCGCGAGCAGGTATGGGTTTGGGCGTGGCTTGTACTACAGCGTTGTTGTCAACAACTACCTCAACGTCCAGTCTGCGCATGTCCGCAACGTTCCAGCCGGGCCCGGCCAGGCCGGCATCACCACCGATGTCTACAACGATATCGTCTTTGAGCAGCTCGAGGAGCTGTGGAGCAATTATGGCAACTTGACCGAGGTGAGATGATAGAACTTGAGCTCTGCAGGGACGTGGCTTGACTAATAGGGACAGATTTGGTTTGACGGCGGATACAGTGGCGACCAGAAAGACCGCATTCAGTCCCTACTGCAAAAGACACAGCCCAACGCCGTCGTCTTCAACGGCTGCCAGGACGACGGTTCCTGTGTATCAGATAATTCAAGTATATTCTACAGGCACGGGATATAGTCGCGCTTCTTCTAATGGATGATAGTCCGCTGGATTGGTAACGAGCTTGGCCATGCCGAGGAGGAAAATTGGTCAACGTAAGGCTTCTCACCTACACTTGTCAGGAATTACTCTTGACTAAACTGATATACAGTGGCCTCACGAAATCTGGCGAGTCCGACAGCCCCTGGTTTACGCCCTCCGAGTGCGACACCACGCTGCAGACGGGCGACCGCTGGTTCTTTGGCGTCGACACGCCGCTGCGCTCGCTCGCGGAGCTCATCAAGGTCTACCACGAGACGGTCGGACGCAACTGCGTGCTCGCCCTTGACATGTCGCCCGACCGCCGGGGCCTGATCCCCGACTCCCACGTCGCGCGGTACAAGCAACTCGGCGACTTTATCCGGCAGTGCTACGACGACCACCCCGTGCAGCCGTCGTGCGAGAAGCGCGACGAGGCGCAGGGTAGCTGCACGCTGACATTTGATAAACCGGCTGAGATTGACCGGGTCGTGCTCATGGAAGACCAAACAGACGGCCAGGTCATTCGCACATACCAGGTCTGGGGCAGGCAGGGCAAAGACGGTCTGGATGATTGGAGCTTGTTGTCGAATGGCACGAGTGTCGGTCATAAGAAGATAGACCTCTTTATGAAACCTGTGACCGTCAGCGAGGTCATGGTCAACTCGACTTTTGTCGACACGCCAAAGTGGCGTTCCGTCACTGTTCACAAGTGCTCATAGGCAGTCTATACAAGCATTCATAAAGTCATTTCAAATTTCATTAAGCGATAGTATTTCTCCACAGCCGCATGTAGAGAGATCTACTATAGACACCGCGGCGCAATGCATATTTCACTATCATATAGTACATGTCTACATAAACTATCTAGCCAGAATCATAAAAATGAGAGGGACACAGCGCCATTTTACTAAGGATTTAAGTATATAGAACTAAAAAATACCTAGTTTTATATAAGAAGTTATATATAAATAAAAGTACCTTTTAGTCCCTATACTACTATTACTACTATTACTACTACTACTACTACTACTACTACTACTAATACTAATTTTCCTACTTACGACTAGTACTATTATTAGGCTTCTTATAGCTACTTCTTATAGCCTATTAATACTTATTAGGTTATTAAGAGAATGCCTTTTTTACTATATTTAAGGTATATTGCCGGCCTCGCATGTGATTTTCGATGCTTCTACCTGCATCATCGCAGTCGTTCTTTAGGCTGTGGCTTGCTTGGCTTGCTTGGCGTGCTTGGCTGGCTGTGGCTGCGGCTGATGTGGTCCGCGTCCATTTGCTAGGCGCTGGCTGGTCTCAATCAGCAATCAACCTATTTCAGAGCAGAAGCGCGAAATATATTGCATCGAGACCGGCCAACGAAAAGGGAAGGGGAGAAACTTCAACCATTTTCTACGGTTGAGGAAACACATTCGGCGGCAAGCGCATCTTTGGTTGGTGGATGGTGTAGACCGGGCGCGACGCTAATGCGAGGAGGTAATTGTGTGGTTTGGAGATTTCTTATATCAGTGCGGCTAGCTCTCCAACGCTCTCGCATCATGGCTACTGTTTGTTTCTTTGTTTAATTTTTTTACAACGCTAGCATGCAGACTACACTTAGGACGCTCACTGCCAAGCTCGTCAAAAGTGATCTCGTTGACTGTATGATATCTATCACCGCAAGAGTGGCGACCGAGCCAGCCTGTTAAAGTTGTTGTAATACTAGACAAAAAGGTCGTTTCTATAGCTGCGGTTTAAAGTTCTGCCAAGTCTATTCAGTCGTTGGCGAGGGTTTTAAACCTAACAACGGCATGCCTAGCGAGGATAACAAACACAGTAGGGTTCTTTTTTATTCTTATTCTTAGAGTATCTGGAAGAGGCGTAAAGAGCTGCCCTGTAGTCCCTGATATCGATCCCTACTCTTCTAATGCGTTTATCTTAGTGCTCGTGTACATTTATCGCCCCCTATACTAGTAAGCCCTTAACCGAGAGCAGGCATGATAGCCTTGCTTCCGCCATTGGCGCTTATAGCGGCACCGTTGATCCAACGACCTTCCTCACTTGACAAGAACCCAACAATATAAGCAATATCATCGGGAACGCCGATTCGGTCCGCAGCCGTTGTGTCTCGAACTAGTGCATCAAGGAATTCCTGGCTCAACTTCACAGAATCAGTGTCAGTCGGTCCCACAACAACACTATTAAACGTAGCCTTGGTTTTCTTTCCAAAAGCATCGGCAAACGAGCGTGTGTATGCTTGTAAAGCGGCTTTGCTGGCACCGTATGTAAAGAATGGGTCCGGATTGCCCTGGTAAGCGAGGGCACTGGAGATGTTGATGACGCGACCGCCATACTCGGGTAGGTAAGGCAGAAGCTTAGTTGCCATCGACAATGGGGCGTAAACATTCCCTTGCATCACTTCTAGGAAATTTTCCAGAGTCGCCTCCTTGATTGGAAGAAGCTTTGCGTGATCTGTCAAGACCGCGTTATTGACAAGAATGTCGACGACTTTTGTGTCTAGTTTCTTGAAGACTTCGGAGACAACAATAGAGGCAAAATTGGGATCAAGTGCATCGGCTCTTATTGCAGCTGCGTCTCTTACTCCAAGAATACGAAGCTGCTCCAAAGTTGCCTCGGCTGCCTTGACGTTAGAGGCGTAAGTAATGGCGACTTTGCTGATACCCTTGCGTGCTAGGTGAATAGCAATGGCTCGGCCGATGCCGCGAGATCCTCCGGTCACGATGGCGGTTTTGCCAGCGACAGACCAAGGAGTGGTAGAGGTGGTTGGAATCGACATTTTCAAATATGGGCAAATGCGGTGATTGCAAGGTATGAGTGGAGCTGCTGATTCTAGGTAGTTCTTTAGGCCACTTTCAAAATAAGCAGGTGAGTGTCAAGAATATATACTCGTGTTATATATCCTAAGGTGTTTTTCAACGGTGGTGATGTCTTTGTAATCAGCCGAAAGAACTAGGGGCGTGGCAAAGGTTGTCAGAAGTATTTGCACGGCCTACCAAAGTTGTTTATCAATCGTCAGCTTCATTACTCCATTGTGAAACCCGCCCCTCCACTAGCGGACTTTGTGGAACTAGTCAGAAAGCTAGAGGAGATCCTCGCATATTCGTGAATCCTGATGAATAATGTAAAATCGCAAAGGCTATTCTCAACCTACATATACCTCACCCTACTTTGTTGGCACTTGAAGAAATCGCAGCAGCGAGTGACTCTTTGTTTCGTTATAATACTGCCGAGTATCAACATACGCGTATGCGATGTAGCTATCTATACCTCTCCGAAAGGCTTGCTGGTTTTTCTTTTATAGCTGGCTTTACTAGTTGAGGTTAAGTCCTTGCCGCCGAATGGGATAGCGGGGTCGGAGACCAGGCCGTGGTTAAAGCCGACCATCCCGACATCGAGCCGCGCGGACCCACGCATCCCGCGGGCGAGGTCGCGGGTGTAGACGTAGCAATAGATTAACTTTGCCCTTGAAAGTTAGTATCCTTATGACTGACCTACTTAATCCCCCCATTATACAAAACAAATACTAGTAAGAGAGGGAGAGAGGGACAGTAATGTATATACATATACGACAGTAATAGATAGTAGTAGAAACCTATTATATAAGTTAAACTACGAGTTCATGCCTAAAAACGGAAGTTTAAGTGAAATAGCCCTAAATAAAGTATTTTATCGAATATTACCTACGTATATAGATCTATAGAGCTAAAGGAAAGTTTACGGACTTTATAGACACTGATATTTATAAGCTCGTAAAAGTTTCTATATTAGTAAGGATATTATATATAAACGGCTAGAAGTAAATGCTGATTAATATAGGTTATAATGCTATAGCTACTCGTAGTAAGATAGATACTATAGTCTCTAAGATATAGTTAGCTTTTCAACGGCAAGGCTTTACAAATTTAGTTATGTCCTTATAAGCCGAGGTACTTTCTAGCGAAAGTATATATTAGCGGACTGACTCAGCTGATATGTAAACTCCGCACTCTGCCAAAGTCGTATCTACGGATGGCGTAGACTTGATCAAGGGATCGCTCGATAAAGCGGCCAGTCAGACTAGTATCTTCTATCAACGATCAACTCTGGTTACGTCACTGGCATACAACTAAACCAAGTTTCAAACTTCGAAGTAAAGTCCGCAACTTAATTTCTATAGTAAGAGCACAAGAGAGTCTATGTCTTCTCTAGGGTGTGGGTCACGCTATATATATTATCATATAGCATATGCATATATAATAAAGTAGTTTATCAGTCGCTGTAAGTATAAGCTATCTTTTATCGCTTTTCATGAAACTATTATTCTACTATCTAGTATGATGAGTGAAAGCAAAGAAAATCCTAAAGTTCTTGTGGTCGGGGCTGGCTCGATGGGTACCGTCGTTGGTTACTACCTGAGCCTCGCTGGCGCTCAGGTAACCTTTCTGGTCCGACCACATCGAGCGGAGCAGATGACTCGCCCGCAGCGTCTTTATTGCTACGACGACAACAGCCTCACGGAATTCCGGAATTTTACATATATTGTTGAACCAGCAAAGTTGGTACATCGTGCGTACGACTTCATTGTCGTCACACTTGACGGCGCTACGCTGAAGACCGAGACCGGCCAGGACCTGGTCAGGATTCTTGGTGAGACTGCCCGTCAAACTGACACGAAAGTTATATTGGGAAGCGTCTCAGTCGGGATATTGAGCTGGTTTCTCAACTTGTCTGGCCTCCGCCCGGACCAGGTTATCAATGGCTTGTTTACTGTTGTTGCATTTCCCACTACCGCAACTCCTATTGTCGAGTCATCCAAAGATGATTCCGCAATTGAAGGGATCACCGAGGCTGATCAGGCTTACTGCGACCGTTTCGGATACGGTATGCTGGTGGATGATGCCGCTCCCGCGGTGGCCGATGCATTCGCGGAGCTTTACAATGCCAGCGGGAAGTCTCGCTGTGTTATTCGAACCGTACAAGACCTTCAACTCTTCATCAACCCGATTTTCGTCGCTCTTCTGGCTTTCGATCTTCTGCAGTGGCCAAAAATGAAGGACCTCGACACACAAGGCGAAGTGTGGAAGCTCGCGACCAAAGGTACACAAGAGGTGCAAAAACTACGTGTTCACGGTGACGCCGGCCAGCAGGCAGCGAGTATTCTCACTGGCACTGGCCTCGCGGAGATGCATTATCAAGCCGAGGATGTCCTCCCCTTCGACTACCAAGTTTTTAATCGATATCATCACGGAGAAAAGGTTAATGCACAGGATGTTAAACACTTAGAGGAGTGCGTTCGACTCGGCGAAGCCGAGCAACTCACAATGTCTAATGTAAAGGAGCTACTTCGGCGCTTTACAGTTCGAAGTCAGAATTAGAAATAGAGTACTACGATCTAGATGAGCCCTAAACAAGGACCACGATATCAACAAAGACATCGGCAAAAGAGAAACCCATTTAATATTTAGACGAAAGGAAATACTAGCAAAGCCGGCAAAACAGCAAAAAAAGAATGGATCTCCGATGCGGGGAATCGAACCCCGGCCACTGCGGCACTCAATGTCACTTGAAAGCGCAGGATCCTAACCTCTAGACGACATCGGATATTCGCCTAATGGATGTTCCGACGGCCGATTATTTCTGCTTCTATATGTATACAAGCCCACAGCACTAAAACCTGTGGCTTGGTTGCGTAGATATCGTCGCCGTGTGGTTTTCCCAAGGCTGAAAAAGAACGATAGAGTCACCAAACCAAGCGCACGCTTCTCTGCGCCAAAACACAACGCAAGAAACTCAAAAGGCCGCCGCGACGCTGCAGGAGGGAGAGATTTTCCTGGAAGTAAGAGCTTGTGCGTCCTTTCGCTACTCGTGTGTAATGACGTCCCACTCGAATTACAACCGGCTGACATGGTGTAATTCAATTTCAGACCATTGAAAAAACACTCATGTCTCTCCTGCTGCACTGTATCTGAATAGCCAGCAAATACAGGATTTATCAATGCGGCGCTACGGTTGAAGAATGAAAGATAAAAGCAAACTGAAAGCGTCAACAAGAGGAACAGATTGCACTATTCCATTATTGCAAAGGAGGTCTGTGATTCCTTGTGGCAACTAAAGCATCACGACACTAAATATCATCCACACAATCATGAGCCGAGTCTTCATCCATTACCACATTCTACGGACTGAAACTTTTCTGGCCCCCTAGACTCGATACTCTTTGTGTGAGGTTACTAGTGTGGAGTCCTTAGTCTCAAACAGTCTCGGATGGGACGCAGTATCGCTACGGGTCTTCAGCTGAATTACGACAAGGAGCCGTTTTTGCTCACGTGGATTAATCCGCAAGGTAAGTCAAGATCTAATCGCTCACTGAAAACAAAAGAGCTGTAAAATAGGCAAAATGCACCTGCGAGGCGGTAGCCTTGACCCAGAATATGTACTCAGAGGACTTTTTGTTGTCAATCACTGCTGGATCACAACGACTCGCCAGTCAAATTGATACTTTTTATGCTAGCGTACTTACGACACTTTATGAGACTCGTGTTAACTAAGTTCCCATTTTCCAATTCTAGCATTGCTTTCACCAATTCTTTAGCGGAAGATAGATCGCCCCCGCAGCCTTTAGCAGATGGGACGAAGGGCTTCTGGCCGGTGAGAGGCGCAAAAGAGTGGGCAAAGTCAAGAAATCTAGTTGCAGCATGAAACCAACACCCGGTTATCTCCGTGCCGTGTGATCCGACTCGGCCCTACTTTACCACCTCCGTGTTCCCAAAACAGACATTTCTCAGCCACTGCCGCATTTCTTTTCTCGGCCTAAAAACAATTAACGCATTTAAAGTTTGGCCAACCTCATCGGACTCCTATGAACCCGCCCACGTCGCGCGATATTGCAGCAGGTATCATGGATCTACGCGTTTTAGAAGCATCACAAGTGATAGATAATTCGCGATCCAAATCAAAGGTCACAGATTAGATTTATCAAAGAATCCATACGTTTGAAATATTCAGCTGGGTGTATTGTCTAAAATAATAAGAAAACGTTCTAAAGGGCTCCAGAAAAGACAAAAAAAAAAAAGGAAAAGAAAAATTCCTGGTCGGTCAAGATTCTGTTTGCGGCCTCGATCTTCCAGAGACCATCGGCCACCTTTCCTGCCACCGTTCACTCCGTGACACCCTTGTTCGCGACTCTCAGGTTCGGCGAGACAGGAGGGCTCCATAAAGGGTTGAAAAGTCATGCACGGGATAATGTGCCATTTGGCTCGGCAGTACCGCTGTCATCGATATGCTTTCCGGGAGCGCAGTAGCTGATGGGGGGAGCCAGCTTGTCTGCTGCCGCAAGCTCCTCTCTTGTCGGGCATTTGCCCTCAATGTTCATGTCCTTGGTGATTTCCTGACATGCAGGTGTCAGCGCAGTTCGAAAGTCCTCAGCGTCGAGCATGTAGAGGCTGTTGCGCAGCGGCTCGCTCAGCCAGCTGCTCAGAAGCATGCCAATCTGTTCATCCTTTTCCTTGCACCAGAATGACCGCAGGGGATCGTAGCGGAAGGCCTGCGTGATGATCTTTTCCGACCCTCCATCGTTGTAGCCGGAGCAGAGGACGGAGTCGGCGCAGAAGCCCTGTGCCCTGACGTGGTCTACATGGGGGTCGCGGTCTGCCACATGCTCGTCGGTGCATCCGTGTAGTTTCCCGAGCAGCGAGATGGTGAGGTGCGGCTTGCAGAACTGACAGAGATCCTTGTATGTTGCGACGTCGTTGCTAGCAAAGCACTTGGCCTCTGCTTCTCTCTTGGCCGCCAGCTCTGGGAACTGGGCCGTCTCGAGACCAACTGCAATCGTCTGTATCAGGCCAATGAAGCCGGGCAGGCCGCCGAGCGGGCCGACCTTGGGGAGAAACGCAAGGGAGATGGCACCCATGTTCTTCACCCACTGCTTCCCGTTTTCTGGCGTAACGCTATAGTCGGAATTCGCAAGAAGAGACAGAAAAGTGGCACCGTGCGAAATCCCTGGAGGTAGGCTACCAATTAGGTTACCACCAACCTGCCATCCAAGTCCTTCGGCTATGCCCTGTATGGTTCCCGGGAGGCTCTTCCTGTTAGTTTCCTCTAGCTCCTGGAGGGCATTTCGCATTTCGGCCTCTAGCTCTTTGGATATACCGTCGGTGGACGGGTCATTCTGGGGCAGGGCGGTAGCCAGACCCAGGATGGCAATGACGGATGGCAAAGACACCTTCATTTTTTTGTAAGGGAGTTTTTAAAAGACAACTTTTGATTGTTCAATAGTAGGTTCCAGTGATTAAGATGATTCTTGAAAGTGTTGGTGTTTTGAGATGAGGACTTGTACAACAATGTTCTCGGGCTTGACATGGCCATTTATACATTTTGGATATTTAGCAAAGGCTACACTAGAACGTAGCCATGAGTGGCTCAAACACTCTTTTACTTAATTAATTACCTAGAAACAGAGTCTCTTAGAGAACTTCAAGGCATTGGTGCGACGCAGTCGGTTCTAACGGACGTCGGAATGGTGGCGGACCTCCACTGGCGATCCAAATCGCATAATGATCCGATGGTATAGGGCGACAGAGTGCCAGCTTGCATGAGTATGGCTAGAACAGACGAGAGTTTTCGGCCTAAAACCAATAATGCCATTGTAGGGCCGAAGAAATCGTGCCGGTGGACAGGTCTGTGGCTCGGAAGTCGGAAGGGTTACGCGGAATGGGAAAAAAAATCTGTGATAATCTACAGAGTCTGAGGCGTTTCTTGTCAATGTTTGTCTTGGATTCCGGAAACACGTCGATGCATTCGTCAGGCTACCTCATTGACACTATTATTTTCTATGATTTTTGAGTCAGACTACCAGCTACCCATAGCTGATGGGCCATCGCCATAAGTCCATTCACTCACCCCCAATTGGTTACCTGACGTCACCTTTATCGAGAAGACCTACTGTACTATAAACTAAAGGAATAACCTCTCTGTACAACTCATCAAGTCCTGTGTATATCATCAAGGGTTATCATCAAAGTGGCATAACGCGCTGTTAAACCTTTAGAATTTCTAGACTCACAGGTCGCATTTGAACTCTAACTCGAGCTCTCAGGTTGCCGCATTTCCGAGCCGCCTTGGTGTATGATGCTTTAAAGACGCTTCAGAAATATGCTCGCAGGTTTGGCCTTCTCTGGTGGCGCGAATTTTCGCTACAACCCGAGACAGGTTACAGTCAAATTAGTGCATGATGGAACTGTTTCGTCGAGACTGTTGGGGAAATTGCCGTTATGCAACTGCAGCATTAGTTGACACCCCCCACTCCCTCCTCCTCTTGGTCCTGTTTTGGCACCCAATAAACTGATCTAGAGGCTAGATTCTAGCCGCTGCCATATGGGAGAAAGACCGGACGCAAAGATGATCTAGTCCAGAATTAGGAAACCGACGCATGCTTCATCCGACGTCTGAAACACGCGAGGGCAGCAAGCATGTACTTGCACGAAGCCTGGGATTCTTCACAGTACACAATGACCAAGGCAACCCCGTATCCCCAATGGGGTAGGCTCATGTATGGATGACTACATGTGGCTCCCGTGTCGGCAGATACCTATTCAACCAAGCCTATCGCGACATCGGGGCAGTGGATGCGGACTTTCACTGAAACTACATGCCGTAATTGCATGCGGGAATACAGAAAAACCAGTCCGATAGGGCAGACTTGTATGCCGCATTTCCATTGCCCTTCGCATATTGCGTGCCAAGATACAGAGTACAAGAGTTAGCATGAACCGCACATCCGCCGATTGTGGCTGCACAGACCACATGCGAAGGTCAAAGGCGACGGTGCCGTGCTTATGGTACGAAAGGACAGACTCACGTAGAGATATCAGGTAGTTGACGGGCGAGCGTATGGACGGTGTAGGCATCTCCAACTCGGACCAGTCAAATAGCCGAAATGGCTGCATAGACCATTCCATCTTGCTGATGACTGAAGAGATCAGCGATTTTACTTCTACTGCCTGAGTTAAGGCGCCGATAGATTATATAAGAAAAGTATTGTTAGCAAATGATGTTTTGTATGATAAAATCAGTAAAGCCGCACTTGAAGTGTAACGAATGTAGCGGCCCAGGCCGTCGATGCATGTGGTGCTTCCCGCCGTCATTTGCAGACCATGTTGGGAGCCTGGACCCCAGTCATGTAATTGCTGGTGTCTGTATCTTCAACATTGTTGTTGAGCGCCTCGCTACATTTAGTTAGTTCTGTCCTGGCTCTTGTTCAAATTCCGATTCCGCGTCGAACTGTGAATCAGGGTCTCCGTCCTCAAGCATCGAGTCGACAAGATTCTTTGGTGACGGCCAGATCCTTGGGGCATGGGTACTTTGGAACTCACGAAAATTTGCCTAGAAAGAAAGTATAAATACTTGGAAGACTGCGAATGCCGCGCACCTAACCGCGGGCGTTTCCGGCTGGGTGGCACCAAGTTTCACCTTTTCGGGTGATGCAGCGAAGGATGGTCTAGCTATCGACCTAAACACCATTAGATACAAACTCGCCCTAAATCGATCATAAAATACCCTCAATCTTAGCAAGCATCTTATTAAATGCGCTAATAAAGCCGTCATACAGGTGCACCCGTCCTAGCAGTAGACATGCCCGTGCCTAGAAATAATTCCGCCTTGTCTCTAAACAGCAGCCGTCATAAATAGAATAATAGCTTAATCTTAATCTAGAATTAATTAATTTCTTAGGTAATAAGTTAAGTTAAATATTATAAGATAATAATAAGTAATATTTTTAATATAAAGTCTTATTAAGAATAAAACTCTTAAAATTAATTACTTAGAATTACTTAAGTTAATTAGTAAAGATCTAGACTACCTAGTTATAAGAATACCTCTTCCTAAAGTACTTATTTATTTTTTATTATAGATCTAGATTAATAAGCTTTAGCTTTAATTCTCTAGACCTTATTTCTTAAATTAATAGCTTAATAGCTTAAGTCCTTAATCTTAAGGAGGTTATTTAACCTCTTTAGCTTTATTAGTCACTACTATATTAGACCTTATGTTACGAACGCTCCTACGTGAGGCGCGGGCATACACTATGGCGGGGTTAGCCATAGGTAAGACGCAGAAAAGAGGAACACGTAGTTATATAACTACGTTAAGAGTAATTAATAGATTACCTATTAATTACTATAATTAGAGATTAATAGATAGTTAGATAATTAAGGTAATTAGTCTCTATAGTAAAGATATAAATAAGTACTTAAGGAAAAGGAACTCCTATAGTTAGGTAGTCTAGATCTTTACTAATTAATCTAAGTAATTCTAAGTAATTAGTTTTAAGAGTTCTACTCTTAATAATTCCTTATATTAAAAATATTACTTATTACT